AATCCTTCCCATTGACGTTCATATTTTTCAAGATGGTTAAAACCACCAACCAGTGATGCATATGCTTGGTCTACACCAGGAGACTTATGATGACATCCACAGGGACATCTCTTGGTGGAAGGTCGAAGCTCCGAAGGAGAAGTCCAATGAAAGGCGCATTGAGCCATGAAAAACAACCTGGTTGATGGGTTAAAATTAAGGGACTTATACCCTCTGGTAAACTAACATAGCTATGGAAAATGGCCATTTATAGTGGATTTTCCCTTTAAAATTGTGATTTTCAATAGCTATGTTAAATTACCAGAGGGTAATTAATTAATATATTCAATAATTCATTTCAGATGATGATAACCCTTAGTCGGGAAACCTGTCAACCAATTCAGATCTAGTGGAACGAGGAGACGCCGCAGAATGCAGCTTAGAGCAGAGTTTTAGATCGATAAACTCAGCCGAAACCAATCACCGCTTCAGGTTTCTTATTATCTACTTGGCGAAAGCCAATCACCGGCCATGGACGTCCCCATGGTTTGACGGACCGCAGAAATGGCGAAATGTTGTCGATCGGTGACGTTTTGGATGAGATAAGAGATTCATTTCAACTTGGGTGAAGTTCACTTTCTTGTAACTTCATCGTTTGCCATAGATGCCTTAGATATAGTACATATATATATATTATTATATTATAGTGATTTAGTGACCTAACAGAAAATGCAGGATATCTAAGAGTGGACATGATACCAAACGTCATGTTTACAAACTTTGCAATTTCATCTGAGTGGTTTCCGAATTTGCAACAGCCGGCCATGGAAGATGATCGGGTACCCCATTCCATTCCATTGATTTAGTAAGCTTTTTGTCCCTTCTAAAATAGCCACAACCGGGGGGAGTAGACCCCAATTTTGGGCAAAAATGCACATATACATACATCTACAGTACTTCCTCGCAGGTTTTAGCATGCTTTAACTTTATTTGTTGGTAGGTTGAAGTGCCATGGTTGCTGGCAACGAATTATGTCATGGATTTGCTAAAGGCCATGTTCGAATTTCCAGTAGGAGTTCCCAGAAAGATAGAACAGTCTGCTGCTATTTTGATGATGAGTTCCTCCAGATTCTTGGGGGTTACGCTTGTTTGTCCTCCATTTCGCATCGTCATTCTTCAATTTTGGGGATGCTGCTGCAGCAAAAAAAACTCATAGGATCAATGATGGTGGGGGGCACAACGAAAACCCCCAGTAGATGTTGAATGTGAGTTTCCCAGAGGTTTCCCCAGGTTTTTTGTCCATGTTTGTTTGTATGTTTGCTGGAGAGTATAACAATCCCATAGGATCCCAAAACAATAGAGTCCAGTCAAATCGTCCTATCACATTGGCACATGTCTTTTGTATTTTGTGGAGGTTACTGTCATATTGCTGGTTAATTAATATCCGATTTTCCATGTTTCCACTAAATCCACAAAAATACCCCCTGATGTTCCCATAGACATAGCTGTTCTGGGGCTTCCTCGGTTTCCACCGAAAAGGACCGTTGAACTACCACAAAAAGCAGCTCTTCGCATGGCACGAGCTCCAGGTTCTTTTTGGGGCGATGGCAGGAAGGGAACCAGGGGAAACTCGAAATGTTGGGTGCTTCAGTGGCTAGGAACAGAATCATATATCTTATATATAACATATATATATATATGCATACATATACATATCATTATATCATTATATCATGCATATATATATATATATACATAATCATATTCATTTGTATATACATATATGATATTATATATATAGAGAGATGTGATTGTATCATAATCAATCATGAATATCTAAACATGAACATAGTCACAATCAATTATCCAGCAAAAAGTAGAACTAGAATTCAAAACAGCTGTGTTTTGATCCAGTTCTGAGCCAGGGCTCCAGAGATGTATTGAAGGTGCCGGATGGGATGGGATGGCATATTTCTATTATGGGAATCTCATGGGGTTGCAATGGGTTTGCGTTAGAACATGCCCGAATCCATTCATAAGTGGGATGGTTACCTGAGTTACATACGGATTACAGTCACTCGTCAACGAGGGTTCACGTTGAAGTGGCAAAACAAGACAAATCCGCGAACTCCCCGCCCCCCTCTCCCCTCCCGCCCTCTGTTCCCCCCCTTCGGGAGCGTTCCCCAGCGGCCCTGCCATAGGCCCCTCGCCCGGTCCCAGGCCGAAACAGCGAGTGAACACACCCCCGGCCCCCAGACCCCCACAGTTAAAGGGGAACCCTTCGCTGCCCCTTCGCTCCGCATTCGGGAAAAATCCAGACATGATGGTTGCTGCTACCTGGAGCCCATTATCCGTTTGACATCTTAGATTCCATAGCTTTTCATATGGCTATGGATCAATACCTATAAGTACCATTTTTAGTGTGATGAACATCCATTTACCAGCTATTTTGAGGTTCACCAGGGGTACAAGGTTTTGACACTGCCATATAAATGAATAAATGATGCAAGGCTTTGGCTCCTCAGCAACCAAATCGCTCCGAGCAGTCCGTGCCATTGGGGTCCAGCTGTGGGAAGATTCACCCCCGCCACATCCCATGCAAAACTCATTGGAAAAGAGAATCCTCATTCATCAACCATCACCAACCAGTAGAATGGTAAAACTTTGTAAAACTATCAGATTTTCACCAATCAAGTGAATCATGAATTACGAAGTATGATGAATTACAGCTATAAATCGTAGAGATAAATGAAGAGCATACCATTGGTTTTACTTATAGCTTATTACCAACACAAAACTTGGGAAGGGCTGAAACCCAGGGACTGAAGATCGACTCCGAGTCTCTGAAGACCATCGAACCCGGCGAGCCGGAGGAGTCGGGAGAAGCTGTTGGAAGTTGGAAAACTGGACTTTTCTTATACCGGGAATAGGCTTCAATAGATGGATACTTGAATAGTTGACTGGGAATACCTTACAAAACTTGCTCAATTTTTGTGACTAGATCATTTGATATCCCCTTAGAAAACTTGCTGGGAATCTACTGGAATTCATCGTGTGAGGGGCAGGGGCAGTGCAGGACTGGAACCATGAAATCAGCACTGCGATGACGCCAGAGCCACTGGGACGTCATGATGTCTGAAGCACTCGGTGGGTGGTTGGTGGGTGGTTGGTAGCACCGGTGTCATCATTGCCATGGCCCGAGGCTAATCCTTTCCCATCCTTTCAAACATGAGGGTTTCTGGGGTTCACTCTCAAAAATGGTGCATTCACATGGTCTTTGGGTGGTATTTATACTAAGGGGATGGGATTAAATTCAATGCTGAAAAAACGGTGAAAAGTGGTTGGTGGATGGTTGGTGAACGGTAGATAAGTTGTTGGCGGGTGGTTGTTAAATGGGATTTACTTCACATGACCAGAAGTATTGACTTCCCGGAGCATCCCAGTGTTATCTATCTGGACGGACACATAGATTTTATAAATCCATCCGAATTTAAATGGTTTATAGATTTTATACCTAGCTTAGATTAAATACTGGTACAGTACTAACTAATTAGACGGTTGTTGGCTCAAAGTTCAGACTACGTGTTCTCAATGTCGCGAGTTCCTCACACATCATAGCGGTTCTTTCCAGTCGAGCTAACAGTAGTTTTGGGACCAGGCATTATGCCAGCTGAGCGTCTACCCTCCAAATGTCTATCGAATTGACACAGAAAAGTCAAACATGTTATACGTATAGCACCGTATAGCTGATATGATATAGACGTACACACATATATATATATATACACATACATACATGCATGCATGCATGCATACATACATACATACATACACACCAATTTCATCCAAGTTCCCACTGAACATGGGAGCTAACTCATAGCCGACTCACAGCGACCTGACAATAGGCGCGTAGCCGCCCATTTCTCATAACCTTGGGGGTTGTATATGGTCTAGGGTTTACCGCATGAGTTAATCAATCATCATCAATCATCAATATATGTGGTTTTTCCAAAACCATAAACATCCATAAACCAGAAACATCCGTAAACATCCATGTGTTTCCTATTACCAATAATATTAAAGTTTGGGCTTTGACATCGGGTCCAGCCCAGGCAAATCTGCACTGGAATTGACATCATGGAATCTGAGAACATGGTCCAACTTGTGCCTTGAACCATCGGAAATCTCAGGACCTCCCGAAACAAGTACCCTACTGGTTGGTTGATTGACAGAGTGTTCCCTACCTTCAACAACCAATAGTTGATACAACAAACCGGCCCCTCTATTGTTCTTAAAAAGACAATCTTGATAAATATAGCCTTACAATGCAATATACATCATATCATGTCATATATTATATACACGCATATTAGGAATTACTAACCAGCATCATCAACCCTATGGAAGAGGAATCGCAAACCTTATTGTTGGAAAGTGTATCGTTGGGGAGGCATCACTTGATTTCCATGATTCTCTGACCCTCAGAAAGACCGTGAATGGAAGGGATCTATGTCAGCCACCCAGACAGATACAGTAGTCCATTGGATTTGAAGTTTATATTCAATCTTGAGTTCGATGGATAGTAGACAGACTTTTGAATCATTCATCACAATTCTTTAACAAGGGAAGCACTGTGTGTATTGCAGTTTATTGCGCATGTTTTATGTTTGTGTTTCTAGCAACGCTGGTTGATGATCCACAGTTCCGACTATTTAGGCCTATTTGCAAGGTTTTCAGGGGCGAACAAAGCCACACAGCCGATACAGTCTTGGATGACGGACAATCATTTACCAAAGGTTGAGCAATGATAATTCCACATATTCCACATATTCCAATCAACTACCAACCAGAGATGATATGGAATTGTTTGAAAATCTGGTTACCACACCCCCATGGTACCCAAAAAGCCAGTAGCACTTTATCATTTTCCTCAGTTCATGGGCATGAATTGGGGACTCACCCGTTGTATTTCTGACATGCTCAGATATCATGTTGTTGGTTATACAAGTTATATATCCCGCTGTATCCTCATGATATGCTTTAGATATCCCATTACTATCCCCAGATCATGTGGTTGGTTTTATACCCAAATCCGCATGTTTGTCTTATTAACTACTCATGTTCATTGTTAAAACCCTATCAAGTGTCATTAGATCACATGTAATTCACAATGTGTGTTGGTAAAATCACCATAAATTCACCATAGATTACCATAAAACCAATATCTAGTCACCATGTTTCTCCCATTTAAATGTCATCAAATCACCACAAATCGCGACATGGTAAGCTACCGTGGTTGTCATCAACCCACCGATCCGCTAAGATGATTCACCTCAATGAGGAGGCCCTCGATGGCGCCACGGTGCCCCAAACCGCGGAGTTGATGGGTTAACCATGGTTAACCAAATACAAGAAGCTTGGGGTTAGTATGGGTTATATAGTTCCCATGATAGCAATGGTTCTTAATGGTGAACATATTACAATTATTGATGGTTGTTGTCATGAAGATCATGGGAAACCATTTGTATAACATGGTATATTTACAGTATATATCCATCAAACATATGGTGACATTAAATATTATCATATATTTTAATGTATATATTATATATTATAAATAATCGCCATCAATGACAAAGTGGTGCCCCAGATCGTAAGCTAAGTTGGTAGACATCAGTCTACTGACTAGGGTTTATTGTTCAATGGTGGTCGTAAACATCACTGGCGAGCACGTTTGGCCCCTTTGTGAAGTTGCTAGGGTTTTATCCGAGGGACTTGTAAAATCTGCCTGAGTGGATGGAATATGATGGAGTCTGGTATGAGGTTAATTTTCTTATTTGCTCATCCAGAAAACGGACTCATGTTGAAGTTCCACATTCAGGTTTTACATCGCATGGTTCTACCATATGTTTTTTTCTTGCTCACGTCCATGTTCAATTCTGCTAGCTGTAACAACAATTTTCCCGTGCTTTCCCCCTTAACGTTGCATAGCCATCAGATGGCAAAACTCTCATCCAAATGATTCAAGAGTTCCATGCTATGTGGCTATGGCTCAAGGTTATTCTCACCATTGTTGGGTATAATAGCCTCATGTTCAAAAAAACTCCACCTTTTTTTCAGTTAATAGGTTACCGCATGTTACCGTCAATTTTTGAGCCAGACCGACGTTTCTTAGAAATTTCCCATCATTTCAAGGATATGTCACGTCCATCAATCCTTTCCGAGTTTGAGATATTGAAATTCCATGAGCAGATCACTAGTGTAATGTGTCTTATATGAGGGTTTCACCTTTCGATGGGGATTAGCCCAGTGATCCAGTCGTCATGGACCATGATTTAGTATTGAACATTATTGAACCAACATGAACCAACGGGGGCTTACAAACATTATTGAACATTCCTGGTTTCCAACATTTTCCAAGCCTGGTTTCACCAAAGGGGCACTGGGTAGCACCAGGCGCGGGTTCCCTTGGAGGAAGTCTTTGCTGCGGACGTGTCCCCTTCGGAGTTGGGCATCCCAATGATCCCGAACGAGTCGCCTTTTTTCAGCTGTGTGAATTGTAAAATGCCCAGATTACATGTAGATGCTGGTATTTCTATTGTAGGGTGTAATATTTATAAATTTCACAATTAGAAGCCTAATCAAGCCTCACTCCATTTATAGATTTATTTAAAAAACACACGTTTTTAATATTTCAAGCCATTCCCATTGACTTAGCGACTTAGCATTTTTATGGGTGGTAGAAACCATCAATCCATATGGCTGGTTTATGACATTGCTTTAGCAGCATGTCGGATTTTCATAGATTTTCTGGTTGTTTCTTCAAGGTAAAAGCAATGATACTTCAGGATACTTGAGGAATTTATGAAGAAAGAACGGGAACAAATGGTGATGTCACTATGAATGGGTTCAATTATTGTTCTGAGTGCCCTGAATTGGATGGTTTCACAATGTTCAAGGATCGAAATCCAGTTTGTTAGGACCTAGGACTGGCTAGGAATCTTGGAATTCCATCAGCAAAAAAAGGAGGCCGGTAGACTTATATAGAATATAAGAGTACTTTCCCATTATCTGGATCTATTTGGTAGGGTTTCTGTTTTCCTTTCTTTTTTGGTGGTTGCTATATTGTGTATTCTGTCAGGGTAGTTGGCCTGTGCGCCACCTGTTGTTCACTGAGGGTGTGGGTGTTTCTGCGAGGAGACAGGTGTCGGCCTCAGAAAGGACTTCTAGACATTGGGCCCTGAAGTGAAACATGTGTAATCATGTGTATATGTATTATGTATATTTATACATGTATATGAATGTATATACATCATACATGGAGGTTTCCTAAAATATCTATATCATCGGGGTACCCCAGTTGTCAGTCGTCATGGATGAAAAATCCCCTGGGTTTTTTCAATGGGATTTTCGGATCTGCGGGCACCAGGATTTCATGATGGATTTTATGATCACAACTAAAATTGGAAGACTGCGATGTATTTTCTCTGGAATCTTGTTTTGTGCTCTTTGAGTCTCACAACTATTTGCAGTGAACCAGGAGTCTTCATTTTTACTGGTCACTGTAAATCCTCACATGTTGCCATATTCTTCTTTGTTTCTGTCGAGCCCTGTCAGTAATATTCCTATTGTTGATTTGAACACATTGCTGCTCGTCAGTTCTCTATTTTGTTAGGTGAGATGTGCTAAAAAAAAAACACCGCAACATTGATGGTGAATATCTCCATATATTCGAGACATGCCCTTGGAAGCACCGCTGCTTTCTCCTGAGTTTCACCTTGTGCAACGGCCGCTTTGCGCAGCCGGTGCGTCCGGCACAAAGCAGTTGGCAGATCCGCTCGGCGCCTTGGTTGAAAAAGGTTGGATGGCTGGGGAAGTGATGCGGACCTGACCACGAAGTCATTAGGTGATACTAGGTGCAATTAGAGACTGGTATCTACAAATCACCCAAGATGATGATCATGATAGTGAATGATTTTGTTTCAGCAAAATTATGGGTGTGGGCTGGCCAGAAATTTCAACAGCATTTTTTTGCGCAAACTATGGCACAATGATCTGGGAAATTTTGAGTTGTGGAGGAATATACCTTTTTAATATTTTACAAGCTAGGCGACATTTGGACCAAGGGTTGGTGATGAAAGCTATACGGGCCTATCTGGAAATGGGATACCCCCAATGCATGGCCATTTTAATAGCGAAAATGATGATGAATCGTGATAAACAATTTCGGGGGTACCCTGTTTTCAGCCAAATCCATATATTATAGTACTGCAATCATGTAGCATCTTAAACTCAGACAGGTGAACCTTCAATTATATAGAAGCAGCAACTTCTTGGGAAATAAACTAGACACGGGACTTCAATCAGCTCGGAATCTGTAATGTGAGATGATGTAATCAACAAGGATGGTTGGTTGCATTGATTGGCCACAAATGATCCTATCCTATCCAAGTCAATTTTTGTAGACTCAACATGTTTCATTTGGGGTACCTTAACATCCATTAACAAGGTTTAACAAGGCCCATCATTTTGGCCAGGTGCGACGGAAAAACCTGCCGGAGGCAGGGCGGAGGGAACCGGTTCCCTGTGCCGGGACCTCCTCAAAGTGGTGTCGTCGGTCACCGCTCAGGGCTGCAACGTGAAGGCGCCGGCCTTCTACAATCCTGCGCTGCTGATCAGTTTGGTGAAGGTGTGGCCAAAACCAGCTTGCGAGAGCTGCTTCCCTAGTGGTCAATCGGGTCCCATTAGTAATTATAGTTGTCTTTTGGATTGGAAGAAGGTGAATTTCTCTCTGTCTTCTATGATTCTTAGTTCTTGGGGGTATCGAACATGGAATGACGCTTAAAGTTTTAAAGAGTTGTCAGGTTGTTGGTTCCACGATTTCAATCATTTTTTTTTGAACGGACCCCAGATATCCTAGATCCAAGAGGTGCTTGTGATAATGGATGATTTGAGGTGCAAGTGCTTCAGGTAGACCAGCTCCCTTGGTCACCATGTGCGGGTTATAGCCTGCCACTAGTGGGTCTTTCTCATGTGACTGTGAAAAAACAAGGGGTTGTTAGCTTCAAAGTACGTTCACTGAATATGAAGATATTTGGCGCGTGGCTCAAAATCCTTAAGGCAACCCCCAAAACTAGATTCCCCAAGAGTGAAGAGGTGTTTCGCTTGGCACCACAATTCCCAAAAATTCTGTAAAGTTGCTTCATTGCTGTCACGAGACAAGAGCTCCAGTCGACGAAAGACATCCCGCTGGGTGATTTTCGCCCGATGTTTTTCTTTCGCCTCAGCATGCCTCAGTATTTCCATTGTTTTGTAATTCGAATTTGGTTTTGCCATAAGCATTTTGGAATGTCATGTGTTTCTGGATAATCTCTAGCGTAGCATCAACTGCGTATGCAAGTCAACTTGAACCTTGTTGCCCCACCCCCACATCCACCTGCCCCATGATAGTGTAGCAGATCTCTGTCGTAGCAAATCCCTACTTGCATGTGCAGGTCAACAGGATTATACATGTCAATACATTTTATATAATTACATTTTATACATACATACACATACAATATGGTAAAGACAGAAAAGTACAAAACGCCAGCGCGGTTTCCCTCGGCTGGCAGAAACATCACTTTGAATTGCCTGACATCGGTGGTCTTTGACCCATTTGTCCCCGCATGTCGCGTCGCCCACAAGAGTTTTAGTATGTCACAGTAATGAGGGAGTCCGCAGTGATGACACATAAATGGTTGGAGTTCTCCGTAGCTGACAGCCATAGTCATTCTAGTTCGATCTACTTGAAACTCTTGACGCCTCCATGTCATTGCATTGATTTATGGCAACAGTTCCAGGAAACCAAGATTTCCACCATCCGACTCAAGCAAAAGAGTGGTTTTTCCTTGTTTCCTCTATAGCTGATTTGCCCTTCAATCACCTCCAAAGGAGTTTTTTTGTGCGAACTGAACTGAACATATTTGAATTGCAAATCCTTCACATCATTCCCTGGAAGGAAAGCAGTGGTACTTGGGACAAAGTCTTCCAGGCTCCAGTTGTGTTGGGCAGAGGCAACTTTCACTGAGATTTTAGGAGTGCATGGCCGTGCATGGCCAGGTACAAGTAGAAAGTTTGTAGACACTGGGCAGCCCACTGGAAGTCGGGATGGGTCACCTAGGTGACCTGAGTATCGATGGTCAAGTTTCTGGAGATCAAATGGTTGCTTTGGAACACACAAATGAGGCCCAACGGTCCATGGTCCCCAATCACTGGCTCCCACCTAGGTTTCAATGCATGAATTGAAGTAGCCCAAAATGAAAGGCCTGTTTTTCCCAACCAAAAAACATGTCCAAAGTCTTCACTTAAGTGAAACACCTCAAAAAACAGCAGTCACATGCAATCACCATCAAATTTCAAATGGAAATCGCATGCCCATGTTAAATAACCAGAGGGTATATCCCATTAAATCCCATTAAACCACCATTTTCCTATGGTTCTCGATGTGCAGGATTTTCATCATTGCAACTACGGCATGCCACGGGATCGTATTGAATGGAGCGAGCGAGCCAGGGACCTGTGAGGACGAATGGCTATCGCTTGATGTTTGGCCCTTCTTGTATAGGGAAACACCTGTAATGGCCATAGCATGTGTCTGATATATTAATATATATATATATATATTTATTATATATATATCATGTGTATACATATAATATATGAATATATGACTAGTATACATATAACAATATATCAATTATATCTATAATCTATAATATATATACACACATATTAGACATATAATTACATAAGTAGATCTATCCTGTTTGCATGACAGTAGTTAGTTTGTTAAGGAGTCTGTAGTCAGCCATGGCATCACGCTTTTTCAATGGTGGATTGTTGGTCATCATTCCATTTGCATGAAACCATCCGACCATCCGACCTTTGTGATATGTGACGAGACACCATAGTTTTGACCATCCCATTTTAGGAAGTCTCAACAAAGGGCGTAAATTATGTTGACAAACCCTAAAACGATAATCTATAATTTTGTCCCGTACCAATTGGTTTTGCCCAATGGAAAGTCTCTAGGTGCAGAGATGCATGGTCTTGCTTCCTGGGGCTCCAAACAACAAGGCTCTGTGGGGGAGGGGCGAAAAAATATCAGTCCAGTGGGGCAGTCATCTTTGAAAAGTCAGGGCATTTGTGCACATTGGTAGGATTCATATATGATTTTCCGTAATGCTTAGTATTGTATGCAAAAACATATTGATGTACCCTCTGGTAAACTAACATAGCAATGGAAAATCACCATTTTTAATGGGAAAATCCACTATAAAGGACCATTTTCAATAGCTATGTTAAATTACCAGAGGGTATGGGTCGAGATCAAACACACCCAGCATGTTGCAGATGAACATCTCATAGTCCAGTCACAGCAGCAGTTCCTGGTGAAGTTCCTGCAGGTTGGAAAGGCATCCAGAGCGCAAGCGCTCGTAAAGAGAGCCAGGGAACCGAAACGTCCGGTACCGGTCCTGGGTTTTAAAAAGGTACCATGATCATCCATGATCTGGTTGGTGGTTTGGAACAATTTTTATTTTTCCATATATTGGGAATAATAACCCCAACTGACTAATATTTTTCAGAGGGGTTCAAACCACCAACCAGTGATAAGTTATAAGCTTTACCTAAGGATACCAAAGGTTTCAAGTCTGGATGGGCACACCATTGACAAACTGCATTGCCATCTGCATTCAAGTACTAGCATGAACTATACTGTAATGACTGAATGATATTGATATGAGACTATAGGACTGCAACTTGGTAAAACAACTCCCTCAAAACTTCATGACTGGGATAGCCAGCTCCCTTGTAATTTCAGCTGGAACCTCAAACATGCACTGCTGCCGAACTAATAATGCTCTGGGCACACTACAATCCAGCAACGGTCACTGTGCTTATTGCTGGTGTTGGTCTCCCTTTTTGTCGTTATTATTACGGGCATGATTTTTTTGCAGACATTTGGGGACAATCATGTTTAAACATGGTTTAAACTCCATTCTTTGAGATCTGGGTTTGTCATGGGTCGACAAAGAAAAAACTCAAAATCGGATGTTTTGCCACCATTTTATAGCCATTTTGTACTGGGAATAGATTGGCGATCCATCTCCCATTTTGTGACAAACCCATTTGTCCGGGCTGTACTGAAAAAGTTAGGTAGATGATCGTGCGGAATGGACGCATGGATTTTCCATCAGTTTGGGGTCTTGAGTTTAGCTCCTCAACACATGTCCAACATACACAACATATCACAACATTGCAAGACATTACAATTGGCATGGAAGTCATGAAGACTGGATCAGTTTAGTTCCCAAGGATTTTCATAAGTTCATCCCAATAATTCTGTACATGCACTACTTCACACATAATTTAAGCACTCCCAGAAGATCCCAGAATGACATGTCCATATATTTCCAACATTATCATGTATCGGTCTCCCAGAATTTGGATAACGAGTATATTTTTCTTTACACAACACCATGGTTATCTCAATCTATTCATTCAGTTATTTCCTTTACATCTTATACATCACCTCGATATCCCCATTTAGCTCATCATTTTTTCAGCAGATGAAGCCCATGATACGCAACATCCACCATGTAGATCCTACATCCAGCCTTATAGGTGGCCTGGTATAAAAAACCCTGCTTTCCAAACGTGGCCAAAAAAAGGTGGAAGCGACTCAACACTCGCTGCTGAATCGTGGGAGCCTCGAAGGGCCGACGTTTTTTGTCGGTCTCCGATTTCTCGCCGAACAGGTGCTTTTGATGGATATTGATGGACAATACCCTTGGGTTATTTAACATAGCTATTGAAAATGGTGATTTATAGTGGATTTACCCATTGAAAATAGTGAATTTCCATAGCTATGTTAGTTTACCAGAGGGTAGATGATAAATATTGATGAATGGTGAATGATGATAGCCATGAGACACAGTGAAAACTGATGATAAATGATAAGACAAATGATGAGACATGATGAGAGATGACGAGAGATGATGATAAGACAATGATGATCATGATGATATGATTGTGACATGATAGTGATAACCAAACGAAACCACAAATCCTGATCCATAATCGCTCACATTTGACAAGGCAGTTGTTACTGTTGGTTATGGCCAGAACACCCATCATCCACCTCTCAATTGTCAATTTTAGTCGGGAAAACGTCCCAAGTTTGGGGTTCCCAATTCTTTGACATACCATATGTCATTATCTAAATATACGACTTGGATAGGCATGAAGGGCTACTTGATGAGACTTGATAGTACCAGTAATGTCGTAGCCGTTCTGATCTCAAGTCAGTAGCCATAGTCCAGGCATAAGTTTTGAGGTTATTCCATTTGTATTACATTTACTATTATGGAAAAATTAGTCCATTGACTATTCCATAGTCCATTCAAATATAAGTTGGACCCATCCGTGCTGTGCTTCGAAGTGATCCTTATCCTCCCAGAATCGTCGATGATTAATGCCGTAGTTCCAGCCGTGGCATGGCCAGGTATCATTATCCTCTTCCACTTGGAGGACGTCAGAACTATGGGATTTTGGGGGAAAACCATGGCGTACCTGGCGTGCCCCATTTTCAAACATATCGAAGTGGCAAACATCAAACATCCAATGTTTGTAGATGGTTGCCCTGTTGGAACATGGTAATTATCGATGATTGCATCATGCTTTGCTGGATTGAACCTGTCAGTGCGGCCCTTAAACAAAGAACACCAAAACAGAAGCATCATGGGTTCTGGGCTGAATGTTTCGACCAGGACAAACTCACCAAGCTCTGTGAAAGCCACAGGGTGTCTATGCACGACTTGTTCACTTTGATGGTGCCTGCTGCAACTGCCAGGGATGTTCTGCCTTTGTTTTCTTGGTTGGACAAGCACTGCAGAAGGTAGAGGAATCTATGATAATATATATATATATAATGTTGGATACTGATTAGTGTGGGGATACACTATTGTGTCCACAGACCTCAAAATTATTCTGTAACTCTGGAAATGTTTGAGGGTACACTATTGTGTCCACAGGATTTTGGTGTAAGTTTTTTTTTTCATTTTTTTTGTTTTTTAGTTTTTAATTGTTTTTTATTTTATTTTTTAATTTTTAAATATTTTTTATTTTTATTTTTAATTATAATAATTTTTAATTTAATTATTTAATTATTTTTTATTTTATTTTAAATTATTATTTATTTCTATTTTTAATTATAATAATTTTTAATTTAATTATTTAATTATTTTTTATTTTATTATTTATTTATTTTTATTTTTAATTATATAATTTTTAATTTAATTATTTAATTATTTTTTATTTTATTTTAAATTATTATTTATTTTTATTTTTAATTATAGATTTTTTTTTTTTTTTTTTTAAAAAAAAAAATTTTGTAAAATTGTGTCAGGATACACATTGGTGTCATTGTGGTCAGGATACACCATTGTGTCTTGTCTTTTTTTGTTGTTCAAACATTTCATTTTTTTCATTTTTTTAAAGCTTTTTCCTTTTACTTTTTATTTTCCATCATTGAAATTTTCCAGATGCCTTCCACAGAAAATTACATCCAGGTACAAAAAAGTTTGGTTTGTTTGGAGGGTACACTATTGTGTCCAGCTGCTTTCCTGAGGTCATGTTTTTTTTTTCCAATCATTTCCTTTACCTTTTCCTTTGCTAGCTAAAGTGTTTTCCTTTCAATTAATTTCTTTCTTAGTTTCTTTCATTTGAAATTCTCAGCATGACCAGTTTCCCAAAATATATGATGCCTTATTAAAACCCAATTAAAAAACAGAAATCAATTTGAAAGTAAATTGAAATCAATATTGAAAGTAATTGAAATCAATTTGAAAGTAAATTGAAATCATTGCAAGTAAATTGAAATCATTGAAAGTAAATGAATCAATTGAAAGTAAATTGAAATCATTGAAAGTAAATTGAAATCAATTGAAAATAAATTGAAATCAATTGAAAGAAAATTGAAATCAATTGAAAGAAAATTGAAATCAATTGAAAGTAAATTGAAATCAATTGAAAGTAAATTGAAATCAATTGAAAGAAAATTGAAATCAATTGAAAGTAAATTGAAATCAATTGAAAGTAAATTGAAATCAATTTAAATCTATCAATTTTTTTTGATTTTACACTATTCTGTACCCGGTACCTTGTTTTTTCCACACTATTCTGTAACCCAAATTTGTTTGGGGGGGGGGGGCTCCCCACACTAATCAGTAACCTACATTACTGTATATATAATACATACTACACAACCAATAGGGGGTTCATCAATTGGTGGGACCCCAAGAAATCCAAGTTGCGTGTTTTTTTTTGAAGGTACCCCAATGTTGGGAAACGCCCCACAGGCATGCACTGGAAACCATGACTTGAGAACTGATTTCCAGCCTGGGATGCATCCTCGCAGCTTGGCTATTTCAGCGTCACAGCATGAAACTCGGAGCCATCTTCCGCGGCATTGGGCAGTGTAGCATCCCCAATCCCCGGACATCGCCCTTGGCTGATCTAAAACAAATTACCAGATTTGCTTTCAAAGATTCAACGTCTTTGTGTAGCTGGGAAAAGCCATGCTATCCCTCAAGCGAGATTCAACATCACACCATTTTTTTGTTGTCTCCCGGGTTGCACGGGATATATGGCATTTGCTTGCCTGTATGTTGATTTCTCAGGCCAATAAACAAATCCTGGCATCCAAAAACCTGCCCCTGGCGCCGGGAAAAGCTTGGGGACTCATGTCTTCGCTGGGTGCATGCCACAGAGGCGCATCTGACCGCATGTGCAAGGTGGTGCTCCCCAGTGATTTATAAGTCGGTTCGCAACTCCCATGAACTAATGGATGATATCTCTACCCTAAACCATCCTAAACCCTTCTTGATTGGAGTTATGTTTGCCAACTTAGCCAACTATGGGGCACAAACTTGTCGGTGAACCTTCAGTTGGCTCATAGTTCGATCTTTGCCATGGGGAAGTGTTAATCATGGTTCAGCTAAGCTTGACCATGTTTTTTTTTCCCAAGTTTTCCAGTTTTTGTAGTCGATCCTGTCAGACAAACCATCAAGATCCCAGTAGGTATCCAACGGATGATGTCAATATCAATCATGTCAAACTTTGATCCATATTTGATATTGGGTTAGCCATGTTTTGGGCAAGTATCAACGGATGATTGAGATATTCCCAGCTTTGGGCACTTCCGTTGGTCAAGACTTTGAGACCCCCAACGATCCAAAAGAAAAGACCGCAGGCCGAGGGGGCTTTCGAGCACCATGCGGCACGGCTAGAGACGGGAACTCGATGATTCATCTGGGATTGGAAGTTGCGGACATTCCAAAATAGCCATTGAAATGGGAAACTCATGATGAACAATCGATAACAATAGGACCTTTGGCCCAACAGGGATCCTTTACTGGGTAATTTTTACACAAACCGGTTTTGGACCTCTAAATGACCAAACATGCAATAAGGCCATTGATGGTTTAAACATGCTTGGATATCGTTGGATGCATTTTGGGAAACAGATTGGCGAAAACTGCCGATCATTTCTTCGATCTGAGGATAGGTCAAACATGAAAGCGAGTCATTGATTGGGGAAAATTTGGGGTTTCACATATTTAAATGTAATTTAGAATACCCACTGAGTTCTACAATAGTTAAAGCTAATTCGCTTTAAATACCCAGATATAACGTGATTTGGCATGTCATTTTTCATCTTGTATGAAGCCACTTGGCGATTCCTCAGCTCTGTAAAGGTTGGCCAAACCTACGTCAGGCGCCGCCTCAGCATCTTATTGGCCTGCGCCTTCCTGGTTCTCATCTTCCAGATGTATCTCAGTGAGGAGCAGCATCAGGCTGGGATTGCGGCTGGTTTGGGGAGCTATGAGGCTTGGTGAAAGTTGAGAGTTGATGAAAGTTGATGAAAGTTGGAGATGTCTTTATGGATCATGATGGAATATTAATGAATATATTAGGGATCTATTGGAGCCTTCCAGTCATTGCGAAACACATGTGCAAATGGCATTTTTTTGGATGCCCAGCTGAGGGCCATTGCTCCCATGTGTGATGCAGATATAGTACTTGATGCTACTCAGTTGGATAGTTGGATAGTTGGATGAATGGTAGTTGGATATAAATGATAGTTGGATAGTTAATGGTAGCTATAAATGGATATAAATGAATGGATAGTTGGATAATGTTGGATAGTGATAGCATATGGTAGCTATAAATGATTCTAAATGCTTGGCACCTCAGCGACGCAACTGGGGCAATCTCCCATGATCTCACCTCACCATGGTATAGGATTCCCCAATTAGAATTACACCATAGGGCTCCCGGTCTCAAATCGGCTTACAATCCTATCAGACTGTGTATGTATGTGTATATAGATAGATAGATAGGATAGATAGGATAGATAGGATAGATAGGATAGATAGATAGGATAGATAGGATAGATAGGATAGATAGGATAGATAGGATAGATAGGATAGATAGGATAGATAGGATAGATAGGATAGATAGGATAGATAGGATAGATAGGATAGATAGGATAGATAGGATAGATAGAATAGATAGGATAGATAGGATAGATAGGATAGATAGGATAGATAGGATAGATAGGATAGATCGGATAGATAGGATAGATAGGATAGATAGATATATATATATATATAGGAATATTAGTATATATCTGCTATCCGGAAACGCTAAGTATATCTTCGGATCTGATATATAGATCGTATCCTCTTCATCGATCTTATAGGATAGTATTCCTAATCTTATCGCTCGATAGGAATAGATAGATAGATAGATAAATAGATAGATAAATAGATAGATAATTATATAGATAGAGATAGATAGATAGATAGATAGATATATATATATATATATGTAGGTATAGATAGATAGATCCATTATATGTAATAATAAAATTTATTATATGTAATTATATGTATATCCAACAGTTGGCCCAATTATAAGCCAACTTACCTATCCAGGTCTGGGTAAGTGATGCAATTCCCAGCACTGCAGGCCGAACCGGCACTGGATCAACCCGAACGCATCGCGATGGATTTGCCAGACGCTCCAGAGGATGCCGGTGGACATCCATTGTTAGACGGTGGGCCCCTAAAATTGTCGAATAAACTCGAATAATATATATATGGGGGTGGGTCAAAACCTATTATTATCAATTCTAATGGGATGAACATCCATTTACCAGCTATTTTGTGGTTCACTAGGTGCCAGGGTTTTGACCAATAGCCATATATATATATAATTATATATATATATTATGTTGTATGATAGTTATAATCTTATTTACTTATATGGACTTAATGGGTACTTAAAGTGGGAATATAATGGGGATATATATATATATATATATACACCAACAGACACCAACAATACTATATTTGGATATATTTGGGTGTGTCCGAACATAGAGAAGTCAATGTCATTTTGGAACATGATGACCAACGACGGCATTTCTGGTTTATACACACACACACCTTATGCTCAGAAAGACCGATATCTGAATGATTGAATGCAGATCAGGTCGGTCAAACCCAGTGATGTGTACAGTATTTATATAGTTTTATTGCCTCATCTACACTTGATAGGGGACTTCCTTGTAGGATGAACGAAACCACTGGCAATTTGTTGGCCACCATATGAGCAAGATGTCAATTTCCCAACTGAAAGCTGACACCTTAACATGACTCTTCTTTTCCAGAATCTCGGATTCTCCCTGCATGTTTAATGTTTACATATATATATATATAAATGGTCAGCATTTTTCCATGCTGTGGATGGAAGACATCACCAGTTGGTCAGTTGGTCAGTTGCGCCAGGCGGAGATCTATCGCTGCGAGCTGCGGTCCTTTGGAGCTTTGGGCGATGGACAAAGCGACAATTCCAAGGCCTTTCGTGAGGCGATACGAAGCAGTAGCCGCTTGGTGGATCCAGTGGGGATGATGATACCAGAGAATCCTATCAGAGATTCCTACATGGTGATGCCCCTAAGATATCCTAAGATAACATGAAGTCAAGGAAGTTGTGATACATATAAACTGAGTTGACATGTATAAAACAATTGGACTGACTTGTGCTAAACGTAGGGAATTTTCGGGAATGATCCACTGGCCAACTATCAATATAATCCCAGCAACCCCCATTCCCATCCATTCCCTACGTAAAACGCACCAGTAAGTAGAGATTCCTATGAAACACTGACACTTTTTTAATCATGGGATCCCAACAGGAATACCTATCAGATCCTGGCGAAATCATGGGATTCCCCCTTCATGGCCTTGGTTGATGATTGGGATACTCCGGACGGATACTTCCCAATTGGAGATGTGTAGAGTTTATATATATAATTCCTGAAATATTCCTGAACTAATCAGCAAGCAACAGGGGGGTTGTACACTGCTCGCATATGAAAATGACCATTTTGGTTCTTTCACATAGTTTGATGGTGTAAGATGGTGTAAGTCTCTACATGTTTCTTGGCGAATGGAACTTCCATGAACCAAAGATCTCTTTCGCTTCACCGGCCAGGCGCAAGACTGCAAGACATCATGGTTCCCCTTTCCAGATCTTGTTGGTTCATTCCCCATGTTTTTTTACTGAACCCCCTAATAGTATCTAATAGTCTCCATGTTGGTTACTGTTTTTTGTCTTTGTTTCAGATCACTCTTCATGGAATTTCATGGACAAAATCCAAATGTTATGAAACCCCAATGTTGTTTAATAAGATCAGCATGTTAATGATTTCCCTATGTTTGTCCGGTTTGCCACAACAATCACCATTCATTCTGAGACTGTACCTTCGTTTTGTCCCTCAAACATCGAAACATCACCACATGTTTGTTAATAAATGCAAATGTTGCAATCACCACATATTTGAGATAGTATTCAGTATATAATGTATATAGAAATCCGCGGTTGTTTTGTTTGTTTTGCCACAGAAAATGCCAATCTTATCGAACTTCCCCGAAAAAAGCCAACTGGTGGCTTTTGAGGCACCTCACGCACCGCAAAGCAGCGGCTCCTTATGGAGAAACCTGGCCGCCTTTTTCGGAAGTTCGGTGGAGAAGGTGGGAATGGAACCAATGGATCTTTGTTTGCCATGAGAAAAACATGTTTAAACAAAAATTGAAAAAACATGGATCCAGTTAAAAAGATGGATCTGTTGCCAAACATGTTTTTAACTTCCATGATTTACCAATCCAATCTTCTAATTGGTAGATCAAGCTAGAAGTTGGATCCAGCTGAAAAAAAAAACATACGGCCAGTTAGAAGTTGGATAAGTTGGAACCAACGGAAAAACAAGATTTTAATCCAAGAAACCCTATGACATCATATTCATTTATTTACGTGGGTTGATTATAATGATTACAATGTTTGAAAACTTGTCAGCAAAATCCACCCTGCTTGAGTTGGGGAGAAGACAATTTGTTCCAATCTATATAGGCTGCTTTACAGGGTCGTTTATTTGGCGGATGCAGATGAGGATTTTGACCCATGGAAATGCCTTGTTCCCCAACGAAAAGGTGGATCGTATTGGCAGGATGAATGAGTTTTATAAATGGCACTTATTTTAACCAACAAAACATGGGGAAGTACTTATGTGTGTCTATTTAAATCATAAGCAAGATAGAGTGAGGATTCTTAGCTTTGAATTTCTGAGCACCACAAGCATGTAATTGCCCAACACGAAGCTATACGAAGCTGGTGATTCAATCAGTGAGACTGACTAAACCAAACAAAGAAAGATATATTGATGAGGAATTTGGACTATGGATGTGGGTGCGGTGCTGAACCCAGAGGTTTCTGGTCATTGATTGGCTCCACTTGGCTCGAAGTTATTTAATTTTATGATACCCCGTGGCAATAAAACCTGGCAATGGGAAATCCCCGATATGTGGGGTTTAAATAGGTTTAATAGGAAAAACATCTATATGTAAACGGTTGATTTTCCATTGCCGTGTTTGATTGCAGGAGCGTACCCGATTTTGACCATAGAACTGCACCCAAGAAGCCCGAGAATTTGTCCGATAGAACATGGGATACGTCATTGAGATCACATCTTAAAAAGTGAGCAGAGTTACTCAGCCAATGATGTGTTCCTCTGTAGCTGATAAGAACCCAACATAAGGCCCAAAGTGAAGGAATACATGATGCTAAACCAGACATTAGAGAGGTTGTTTTTGTAGGTGAAGAGAGTGGGAATAGTTTTCTTAGTACTTTGCATGTTGGCTGGAACCAACAACCATCAACAACCATTCCATTCATCGGTGCTCAGGGTTACTGGAAATATCAACAAAAACCTGCGTACTGGAACATAACACCCTAAACATTGTGTTCACCTTTCAAGACCTCCAGTGGGTTTTGGTTCAACTCATAATTGTTTTTTTTTCTGAGCTGAGGATACCTGCAGGCACCTTCCTCACGGGTTCTTTCAATCTTACCAGCAAGATGACTCTTCGCTTGCTCAAAGGTAGCAAGCTCTTGGGGGTTGCTTGGCATGGCGATCCCCCGGAAATCATGGGATCTTGGCTCAGCCAATATCCCTGGAAACCATACCCTCTGGTAAACTAACAAAAAGCTATTGAAAATGGCCATAGAAATAGTGGATTTTCCCATGAAAAACATGGTGATTTTACCATAGTTATGTTAGTTTACCAGAGGGTAGATGATTTGGATGATAGGGACCCATAGGGACCCAAATCACATTCCATTTTTGATCATTGGGTCCCCAGAAAAAAGCACTGTGTAGAGGGAGAATCTCAATTTGTGTCATTTTTCAGCAGCAAATCCACACCAGGCTGATGTCAAGCCGTGGTTAAACAAGACTCATTGATGACTATTTGGAGGTACAGAAAACTGAAGATGTAGCCAGTTTCTGCTTTTTTAATGAAACAATCGTAGATTGAGATTATAGTATCTTATAGTATCCCCTAGAAAGATAGAACATTACAATACTATAAAACATAGTTACCATTAGTTACCTTGCTTTGCTGTATCTTTTTGGCCTTGACCTGAGCCTTTTGACCGATCCATATTCTCCCCCTTAGGTCACGAATTTATCGGCGTATCCATTAGTTCCGCCTTTGCCCAGCTATGGGCTGAACCGGGACTGGGCCAAAGATCACAGACAAAGGCGCGCTGAAAGCCAGTGTCGTGCCCGTTGTGGTGGAATGGGGTAAACATAGTCCATCCTCCCAACTAGCATAGAGCGGAGGCCGGAAGACTACTTTCATCTTTAAATGGCTATGGATCAATACCTAGAAATACTGTTTGTCTTTTTAATGGGGATGAACATCTATAAATCCTGGCTATTTTGATGTAAAAACTCAAAACCAGAGTAAATCCGGGTTTTGACATGTTTTGATCCCATCGCCTTATCCCTGCATAGCCATCAAGCTCCATCAACTGTGCCACGGCAGGCCAGCAGCGTTGATTTCCGGGTTTAACTTGACGGATGTGATCATTGAAGGTGAAGCTGAGGATGGTTTCCTGGCGGATCTTGGGGGATACCCCTTACAATGCCATCAAAATGATCTCAAAGTGGTTTTGGCCATGGGGATTTTTGAAGGAATTCCCCAGGGGTTCAGACCCCAGATTCTTGCTCTTGTTGGATAGATTTCTTTTTCAGCTGCATTTCTGATGTTTTTTACTGGCATTTATATACTAGATTATACTAGCATTGGCTCGAGGGAACCGATAGAACGCAAAAACTGGGCCCCAGAAACTCCTGTCAGCTGCATGGTTAACAACCATCACATGCCGTTTCTGTCGAAGGTCGTCTCAATGGAGTGGTGGATGGAAGCGGAGAATGGTGGTGGGCGGAGTTTCGCAAGAAATCCTTGCCTTTCGGTCGGTCACCCGGCGAAAGGGCGAAGGGTTGGTTGTCATGTTGTCTATGTTTTCGTCAACGGAAAGGGTATGAACAAAATACTCGCAATTGTATATATGGTTTGTGATTCCATGTGTATGTGATGTGTGAGCTATAGTAAATATAGACATCATATTATGATTATACTATGCATATATATATATATTATATTCAGTATTACATATATGATCATATATGTATCTCTCTCTCTAATATATATATATATCGTAATTATATATGATTATATGTAGTTATATGTTAATATATGTTTACATATATCACAGTTTATATTCATCTCTTTTTTCTGGCGGTTTCTCCAGCGAGCGCCTGCCGAGGCCATCGCTGATCCAGTTCATGTACAGCTCACAGCTGGTACTTCGTGGCATCGTCCTGCAAAATCCACCCTTTTGGAACACACACTTCTACGCCTCCGGAAACGTTCTTGCGGCTTGGTCACTCAACGTCAGAGTCAACGTAATTGTTGTGGGAACTGTTTTTTGGATTTTTTTTTCTTGCAGAATTGGAATGGGGATTTTTTGGGGATCATCTGGAATGATGGGAATTGGATTGGGGTAACTATCCTCCAATGGCCGATTTTTGTTCGGGTCGGGTAGGGTCGGCTAGCTGAAGAGAGTGGCCGATTTTTTCAGGTTGGTGAATTGTGTCGATTTCTCCGGATCTATATGGGTGTGTCTGAAAATGGTGATATCCCCCAAATTGCATCAACTTGCTATGTCTATATCTTTTTTTATGCGGAAGATTGACGATAAACCATGATTTGATCTTGGAGAAATCATCAGTATGGCGTATGATGGACTGTGTTTAACCGAGTTTTTTTATACCATCCTCAAAATCACCATAAATGGGCACTATCCCTAAATGGCAGGTTTATTATTGGGTTTACCACATTCATATACATTAATATGTATTGTTTCTTTCATTAATTTTTACCTGTAGTACCGCACAAGGTGGTGGCGGAAGTTTCAGAAATAGGAAACCTATAGGAGAGGTTGGTTGTTGTGAATCACGGATGGCAGAGCAAATCCACTGATGGACCGAAAGGTGGTTGGAGTTGTGTTTTTGGAGTGGCTGCAATGGTTGCAGTGGTCACCTCACCCACAACTGCTGGATGTAGTGTGGTGTAGTGCAGTTGTAGGTGTAGTTGTAGTGTAGTGGAGTTGTAGTTGTAAGTTGCAGTTGTAATGTAGTGTAATTAGTGTAGTGTAGTTGCAGTTGCAGTTGTAGTTGTGGTGTGGTGTACTTAGTGTAGTGCATAGTGTAGTGTAGTGTTGTGTACTGGTGAAAAGTAGAGTAGTTGTAGTTGTAGTGTAGTGTCGTGTAGTGCAATGTAGCCGTAGTTGCAGCTGTAGTGTACTGTAATGTAATTAGTGTAGTGCAGTGTTGTGTAATGTAGTGTAGCTGTAGTCGTGTTTGCATTTGTAGCTGTAATGTACTGCAGTCAAATTAGCGTATTGTAGTGTCATGTGGTGTAGCTGTAACTAGAGTTGTAGCTGTGGTAGTGTTAGTAGTTTTAGTAGTGTTAGTAGTGTTAGTAGTTTTAGTAGTGTTAGTAGTAGTAGTAGTAGTAGTAGTAGGAGTAGTAGTAGTAGTAGCAGTAGTAGCAGTAGTAGTAGTAGCAGCAGTAGTAGTAGTAGTAGCAGTAGCAGTTGTAGTAGTAGCAGCAGCAGCAGGAGTAGTAGTAGTAGTAGTAGTAGCAGTAGCTGTTGTAGTAGCTGCTGTTGTAGTAGTTGCTGTTGTAGTAGTTGTTGTGTAATTAGTGTAGTGTCGTGTAATTAGTGTAGTGTCGTGTAATTAGTGTAGTGTAGTGTAATTAGTGTTGTACAATGTAACGTGGTATATTTGTACTTGTAGTTGCAGTAGGAGTAGTATGTAATAGTGTAGTGTAGTGGTTCTTGTAGTTGTAGTTGTAGTTGTGTATTTGTCTATCTATCTATCTATCTAGCTATCTAACTATCTATCTATCTATCTATCTCTCTGTCTATCTGCAAGCTTGAAAACGGAGACATTCTGCGAGACTTCCTCAATTTGTCAAAGTTGACAACATCAAAAACGCAGAAATTCTGCGAGACTTCCTCAATTCTTGAACTTGACAGCATCAAAAACGAAACAATTCTGCGAGACTTCCTCAATTTTCGAAGTTGACAACATCAAAAACGAAAGAATTCTGCAAGACTTCCTTCAAAAATGGAAAGTTGAGTACAGAGCTGACATTCTCGTGCCAATGCGTTTTGCGATTTTTCCAGTCCACCTGTCTAAAGTATTGCGGCTGCCACGAAAAAGGGATGCCAGGTCATACGAAGTGCTGCACTTGTCACGCAAAATCATCTCAGCAAACCTGAAGATCTGATGCTCCAAAATGCAACCTCGCTCAGGAAATCAGCGCCCGGACCTCCTAACAGCTCTGATGAACATGTCTCTTGTACTGCGCCTGCCACGGAAAATGCATAATTTCCAAAAGTGGTCCGGACCTGGTGTGTTTTGTACATTTTGACGTGGAAATGTGCTTCGAGCCACAACGGTGTGCACTTTTTCAACATCTCAACTTCCAAAACTGGTCCGAACGTGAGGTGTTTTTAGCTTTTTCACTTGCAAATGTGCTTCGCGCCAAAACGGCGTGCACTTTTCGACATCTCAACTTCAAAAAGTGCTCCGGAGGTGAGGTGCTTTTAGCTTTTTCACAATTTTTCACTTGCAAATGTGCTTCGCGCCACAATGGCGTGCAATTTTTCATCTCTCATCTGGCCAGCTGGCTCCGCACCCGCCGCTTTAGCGAGCCTACTTTTCGACCCTCCGGAGCTTCAAATTATTGGAAAAACACTGTGGTTTGCGACTTTCCTACCTTTTCGCACACCTGGATCTTCTTTTTTCTGACTCTTTCTCTTTCTTCTTCTCTTCTCTTCTCTTCTCTTCTCTGACTCTTCCCATCTCTGCTTTTCATCTGTCCATATTGTCGGAAGCTTGACTTCTAAACTTCCTTCGATGATACCAGCACTTCTTCAAGCGCTGAAACAGCGCAGACTTCTTGGCGTTGAGCCATGGTTGCCATGGTTCAGCGAGGTCGAACACGTTCGAATTGAAGCTCCGTATTCATCGAAGAACACGGATGGTATCAACTTGGCAGCACGGCGACATTTATCAGTTGATGGACGAATTTCCTTTATGTGGTCTGTTTTGTTCATAGAAGCATTGAGGCATGGAGGGTGTTTGAGAAAGGGGTGCATCAAAGAACATCTCAGGGGCTTTTCTTGTACGCGACATGCCTACTACACATTGCACCATTTGCAGGAAACCACCGAAAGTGAAGCGAAACACCAGTGTTTCCTTCATTTGTTCATATTTTTGTCTCTATTGATTGATATTAGCATCAATTTCTTTTGCTTGACGTGTTGATGTGCAGGACTCCGTCAACAACGCTGTGGTGCGCCACTGTGCGGGAAGCTTAGTTCATCTCAAATCGGTCGCAGTTCAGCCGGGTTTCCTGCTGATGCCTGCTGCACTACGTGGCGTTGTGAAACAAAGTTGGGTTTTTTCTACCCCAACTTGTGGCAATTTTCATGGAGAAGATGATGATCAACCATCAAATTGGGCACACATGGTCTCCCCGAAGACATGCAGCAAATTCTTTTAAAAAAAAATGGGTACCCGGGCACCCTTATCACCATTGGTTTCCTCTAAAAAATACCAGCATCTTGGATAATCTGTGGTCCCCCATGACTTTTCGGCAAGCGTCAACTCATGGCTGATGAACCGCGCTTTTCCCTGCAGCTGCGGCGAGGTGATTTCCACGGGCGATGATGCCATTGCCATCAAGAGCGGACTGAACCAAGCGGGGATAAACTTTGGGATGCCTAGCTGGAACCTCAGGAATTGGCTACCGGAAAACATGGGAGAGCATCAAACATCGGGAGTTCACCAACATGTATGGGATTTAATTTAGGCAACAAAGTCGAGAGTTAACCAACAAACATATATAAGTAAACGAAGAGAACTTAGATTTGGGGATCGTGAATGTGATATACCGGGAGAAGTTTGGATTCCCTTTTTTGGACAAACCATGACAAACCCATGTAGTTAACTGTTGGGGATGTCACTTTCAAACTTTCACATAGTATATCTCACAGGGGAAAGCGAGAGAAAATTGTTGTGTGTATACGACCAATTTATAGCATGTCAATGTTTAAATGGGGTAGAACACCAATCAATGTGTTGAACCATGGGATTTTGAGGTGTTCCCTTGGCAGATTTTCAGGCCAAATCTGCCAACCACTGCCATGGGCCAAGCTCAGAGCATCTCAGGACCCTAGAGCGTCCAAAGAAGCCCCCAAAAATGGGCATGGTGCTCAAATTACGGGGTCAACACCATTTATGGGTACTTGGAGGGTCTAGGTATATATATATATATAAAATAAATAAATGATCAATGGGAGGGAGGATGTAGTTATGGAAAATGGTGGGTCTGTATTGTTACTGAATAGAGCCCAATACATGTTTGGATTCACACCCTGCAAAGGGCGAATGGGTGCAACATGTTCTTACACCACCCGCGGCACCCAGCGACCCAGTGTTTCCCAATTGGTTTGGGCACATGTTTTGGAAACCAAAAGGAGAAGTATGAAGAGAATCTCAATAATTTGGAACATCCCCCAGGATCCCAAACCCAACAAACCCGTTGCTGTGTTGAATCTATTTGTCTATTGTTTGACATTGGATGAAATCGAATTTGGAGCCCCAGTTCTGATCCAATGTGTTTAACCATCATGTCCCCAATTTCAATGGCCCAACATTCGAGTATCAACTTAGGGGGGCCACGAGGCTTCCAAATCCATTTGCATGATCTGGAGATCCGTTCCAAGTGCTTGTCCCTGGGCAGTGAGATGAGTGGCCGGGGCACCCAGGGCACCCAGGGCACCCAGGAATCCATGGTTTTGGGGTTCGATCTCTTCATTCCGGAGGACCAGTGGAAACCCGCATCTTCCATAATTCCCGTCAGTCTTTGCAACATCTTCAACCACTTATAGTATTACTATATACAATATATATATATAATATACATCACCAATTTCCATCAATTTCCAACTTTCACCATTCTTTGAGCTTAGTTTCAAGAAATCCTCTCTGATTTCCTTCAAAGTCTCCATCACCCAGGTGGCATTCATGACGTGCTGGTCGAGAATGTTCGTTTTGGAGACAAGCGCAACGAGAACCGCTGGCACGGCATTTTCATCAAGAGCTCCAGGCGCCTGGGGACAAGGTGGTGCCCATGAACTACAGATATGGAGGTTTCCGAACAGGGGGAAGCCCTCCCATAGCTGGATGGTTTATAATGGCAGATCCTATTAAAATGGATGATTTGGGTGTACCCTCGTTTTGGCACAGCTCCATATCTACCATGAGTAATCGGAATTATAAACCAACTTAGAAAACTATGGTGCACCACCGTGTACCAAACTTGGGTTTTAAGGTGCAGTAGCTAATCAGAGGAATGTAACCTACAAGAATTGGCGGTCTGGGAAGTTAAGTGAAGTTGATGGCTAAACCGACTGGTGAAAGATAACTTCCCACGGCGAAGCTATACTGGGGAAAAGTGTTCCAAGAAATCACGAGAAATAGCGGCGAGGATACAATCATTTTACACTAATTTCAATATTGAAGTTGGGATAGAAGATATAGAAGGGGTAATCTTGATTTCAAGTATAACTACAGTTGGGTATTTTACCATGTTACTATGATTTTCAGGATCACCCCTGTTGTAGGTGGAGACATCCCCCGACCTCGCCCGCAGGGAGCGTGGTGGCATCATGGAAAATCTCATGTTCCGCAACATCTCGGCAGTCTTTAGGCCCACTGGGAGGGGCCCCACAAAGATGATGAACACACACATGTAAAAACCAGGAAGCAGTGATAAAACACGTTTAAAAACCAGGATAAACCTTTGGAATACGCTTAATTAATCTTAATTATATAGACAGACCACCTCGATAGTTTGATATTTCAGTGGTGTGCGCCGCATAGATTTCATTTGAATTTACATCTTGAACAAAGACACCACTTTGTCTTTCAGGCATCCAACAACGGTTCGACCACTTTCTGGTCTTACTACACCAAAAAAACATGTAGTAAAGCTAAAAAGATAGAACAAGTAACTTAGCAGGATTTTAGTAGGATCTTACTTTTCTATTTTTCGGGGGTTGCTATACTATATATGTCCGTGAGGATCAAAAGATGGTGCCATAATTTCACTTCTCAGAAATTAGCTGTTTTTTTACTACTTTAGGGTTAAAAGGTGTGAAGTGCATCAGATTTACTTAACCGAATGTGTTTTTTCCGATAAATTCTGGAGTCAGACTCAGGGCAACACCAAGATTCTCAAAGCCCGGTGTTTTAATGTGTTCTTAGGCTATCCATGAATATGTGGTTGCAAAGGGGCTGTCACAGGCTGTCACGGCCATTTTCGGCTAAGTCAACATGTTTAGTTAAAAATAATACTATTTGCAACAGGGCGTCATGAGTTTGTCGGCCAAAAGCAGATCCGGACAAGTTGTGACATATTGTGTCTACTTACCACTACTGTTGCCTAGACATCCAAGATAACCCAAGAAAATCCGACAAAAGTCCGATTATGGGAAAAGTATAGCCTTGTGGGACCTACTTTGCCGATACTGCTCTTGTCTACTTCGATCCTCAGGGTATATATATATATATATGTATATACAGATGTATAATTGTATGTATATACATATAACTATAAAGATACACCGCATATAGTATGCGTTGCAGGTCCACGAGGCAGACGAAAGTCTTCATCGAGACACCCAGCTTTGGGGCCGACGAGGGGTGATTTTTTTCAGGGATACCATGGGAAAACATAAAAAATATGAGAATGTTCTGGGAATATGGGAATATCATGGGAAATTATGGATTATAATGGATTAATTACATATACATATATATATCTATATATCTATATATCTATATATTTGGATATAATTTGGAACTTTATAGAAGATGCATCCTAGTATTTTAGAAAATCTAGGGAATGATGCTTCCCTATAAATGATGACGAACTCTGAGATTGAAAATAACACATATGTGGCATCATGGAACTTCATGGGATATTTCCATATATTTCCATATAATATCGTGATGGGAATATCATGGGATATGATGGCATAGGATGGTGTGAAATGGGATAGAATGTTTTCTACACAAGCAACAATACTGTTTAACATCCAACCTTCAAGTGGTCCTCACCTTCAAAGATCCTGGGCCCCAGGGCACTCAATTTCTCGATATTCTCCAGATGATAAGCTGGCCAGCTTTGACTTTCATCATGATCAAACTCCAATGGATCACAGTGGAATTTTTTAACACGAAACATTGCATAGAATAGATCTTGGGCTACCACCTAACAAGGATTATTTGCTGAGATGGGATCCCCAGTTCAAAGGGCCAAAGGGCCAAAGGGCCAAGTTTCAAGGGATTTGTGTCGATTTTGACATTAAGGATAACATTGTAAGTATTGCTCCCCCAGAATAGTGGATGGTTTCATACGTGAGTACTAAAGAACCAATTTTTGGGGTTAAACATGTACCAGAATTTATACGACACATATCTGTTGAAACTGGTTTGGCCGGGGTATTCCAACTGGATTTGTATTTAGGCCAACATAATTTATCCGAAGAAATTTCTTGGTTTGGTTAAAACCAGGCACTTGCACATGGATAGGACGAATATTCCCAATGTTCTTTCGGTTCATGTTGATCGCTCCTCCCCAACTCAGCTGGGTGGAAAATATGATTCGAAAAGAGAAAACATAAATCTGGCTTCGAAGCTTGAAACCGAGCCAGACTTCGCCCAGGATTTCAATGCAGTATGGCAAGTGGAATGGACCGGAGGACGGCGTCATCCCGTGTCCGCTGGTGGATGGCACCATAAAGATTACACATATCCTACAAACACAAAACAGCTGCTTGGTAGTTTCAATTGAGCAGCATAAAAAAGCCGTTGGTTTATTAGGGTTCTAACCTACTGAACAAGGGATCCCCACAATCTATTTTTGGTATAGCTATGAATAAATCAGTAGCACCTGCTCGCAACCAGCTTTTTGACGCTACTCAAACCTGGTTCACCAGTGTCACCAGATTTCCCCAATTTAATGATCGTCTCTGCACAATGTGGTTTTTAATGTTATGTGATGTTAATCCCTCTCCACAATGTAATGTTTATGTCTATGTTATGTCTTTTTTATCCCTCCCTAGACATGCTGGTTGGTAAGTTTCACGATCGCAGGGCCGGGGTGCGAGTCAACCTCCACGCTTTCGAAATTTCACCTTCAGGCCTTGGCATGGCGGAGTAGCTGGGTAAGGGATTCAATAGTTGGATTCTTAGCCACAAATAGGGGAAAGTCATGGGCCAAAACACAAAGTTGTATGCTGAGTATCTGAAATTAGCCATCTTGGGTCACAGAAGATGTTCGCGGACAGTACCAACATTTGGTGCCCAAACTGCATGGGCATGGTTCCCAAATGACTGGTACATGATGGCATTGGGGTATCCCCCATCATCCTGTAGATATTACTGGTAAATGCCCCACTTTACAGATCCTTAAAATTTCGACATGTCCCAGTATCCGAATGCTTACCCTAAATTGCTGGCGTATGATCATCCGAATTCTGTTGTAATAGCCACTGCCCTGAATACCGCGTATGTCCCCTGTTGTTTTTCATGCGATGTCAAGTCACTGTCTCCAGATTTCATTTCTCATTCCAATGGCCACTGCTTGCCAGGCATCATCTGTCACGAAATCCTATTATAGTTTGATCATACTAACTCCTCGTCAAGATGAAGTACATCAAAAATGAACTACACCATAGTTCCATACATATGGATACATGATACATATATGAATACATATGTATCATATGTATTTGAAGGTTTCCAGAAATTGATCTCCAGACTAACTAATGAGTTTCAATACTGACATGGTCTAATTCTGGATGATTTGAGGGTAATGACCTCCACTTTAGGAAACCTCCATATATTGACGGGTACCCCCCCAGTTTAGGAAACCTCCATATACATATATCTTTATCAAAGGAAGTTTAGTTCAAACACTTCCGAGTTAATGACGAGTCCTGGGGCAGTTTTGTCATCATGTCCATCAAATCGTTAGCAAGAGCAGTTCGCGTGTGGGAGCAGTAGAGAAGAGTAACAATTCGGGCTCTGTTTTTGCGGGTGCGGGCCTCGATTTGGGAAAGTTGTCGACAAAATGTGCACAGGAATGTATATAGCGAGCTCCAGGAGCTCCATTTGCATTTCAATATGTCAAACAACGGAGGCGTTCCGAGCACTTTTGGAAGATCAGTTCGGCAAAATGTGTACCAGACTGTAGCGGGAGCTCGGTTTCACAAAAAAACACGTCAAAAATAATGCTTGGAGCACCTTGGAAGATGAAGTCGGCAAAAATGTGCAGCAGACTGTAGCGAGAGGTTGGCAAAATTCACTGATTCAGCCTTCCTTGGTGTTTCTTGGTGGTTTGATTCAGTGATTCAATTATTCATTGAATCATTGATTCACCGATTCATTGGTTCATTGACTCATTGACTCACTTACTCGGTGAACCATTGACTCATTGATTCTTGCGCAGCCACAACTTCAACCATTGACTCATTGACCATTGACTCATGCATCTCACAACTTCAACAGTTCATGGTTTTTGCATCGCAAAACTTCCCTATAAGCCATTGATTTCTTATAGCCAGTTCATTTTTGCGAAACTTCCGCCCTGGCATGTGCCGGGCTGTTTCTGGCATATTATATAAATAAGTATATATATATATATACATATATATATATACATATATATATATATATACATATATATATACATATATATATATATATATACATATATATATATATATACATATATATATATATATACCCATACCCACTGGGGGGAAGGTGGTTAGGGAGGGACATCCGCTGCTGTGAGGGACCTGCTCTCGGAGGGTTCATTTGTGGTCGGCAACATCAGCGGACTGCCCGACAGCCCCGTGACGGATGTGACCTTCGAGAACGTGGCGGCGCGCAACAACCACCGGGGCATCCAGTGCCGGGAAGCTCAAAAGTTCATAGGGACTTCAAGAAATGGTGTATGAATGTGTGATTTTCACCAACAATAATGGGATAACTAGTGAATGGATAAGTATGGATAAGTATCATGTGCATTTTCATGAGCAGTTCTCGACACCTTCAAAAGGAAACCGCACCGGACCAAACCAACTGTTGATGGATTTTGAGGCCGATGAATACAAAACTGTCAGTCCTTGTTGCGGATTTCAATTGCAATACCGTAATATATCTAGACATAGTTCTACATATTTCTACCTATGTATTGTTGTTTCTATCCCCCGCTGAGTTGATCCCTAATATTGCCCCATTGACCTTTACTGTCAGGGAAGAGCTGACCCCCCACTAACTAGCCCTGAGGTATGTATGCCGAGAATGTGCGCATCCTGCACGGTGTCAAGGTCAGGCTTCAGTTCCGTACTTAATACATTCTTTCAAAGTACTGTATACTAGTATACATAATAATATGCATACTACATTAAATTCTTGATAAACTATGTTTGTACTATATGTCTGCCCGTCACCGGTTGATTTTGAGGGGCAGATGTAGGACGATACACCATATACCATAGGTGGATGATCTGGGGTTGTCCGGAAAAGACCGGCAGCCCGAAGAGCATCAAGTCACAAGAACTGGATTGATTGGATGATCGGAGGATTTGGAAAAGGACACCATATCCATGTATATATATATATCCATGTACATATATATAGTAATCCCAAAAGAGACAGAAGATCAACCACCCACTCAAATGGTGATGAACTGTACTTTTATTTGTGTTTAGGGATTACTATAGTGGTAACACAAAATCGGAGGAAGTTTAGAAGTCAAACTTCCGACAATATGGACAGATGGAAAAGCAGAGGTGGGAAGAGGCAGAGAAGAGAAAGGAAGAAGAAAGAATATCAAAGAACAGAAAGAGTCAGAAGAAAGAAAATCACGGAGTTGTGGCGCGAAGCACATGTTGAAGTGAAAAACACCACATGTTCGGACCACTTTTGGAGGTTGCGATATCAACAAAGTGTGCGCCGCTGTGCGAAGACAAAATATCAAAGACACCACATGTTCGGACCACTTGTGGACGTTCAACCGCACCACACTACACAACAGCAACAACAACAACAACAACAACAGCAACAACAACAACAACAGCAACAACAACAACAACTACAACTACAACTACTACAACTACTACATCTCCTACTCCTACTCCTACTCCTACTCCTACTACTACTACTACTACTCCTCCTCCTGCTACTCCTGCTACTCGTGCTACTCATGCTACTACTACTACTACTGCTACCACCACCACCACCACTACTAGCACTACCACTACCACCACTACTACCACTACTACCACGACTACCAATACCACTACTACTACCACTACCACTACCACTACCACTACCACTACCACTACCACTACCACTACTACTACTACTACTACTGCGGCTGCTGCTGCTCTTACTACTAGTAGTACGAGTACTACAGATGCAACTACAGCTACACTCCACTACAGCTACGCTAGACTACAACTACAACGACACTGCACTACAGTGCCGGACGCTACATCCAGGAGTTGTGGGTGAGGTGACCATTGCAACCACTCCAAAAAAAACATAACCCCATCCACCTTTCGGTCTATCAGTGGATTCGCTCTGCCATCCATGCATCACAACAGTTCACCTCTCCTAAAGTTTCCTATCTTTGAAACTTCCGCCACCGCCTTGCGCGGTACTACTGGTAAAATCATGCTTTCCAGACTGTCAGCCTCAGCCAGGGGCACAGCTGTCATTCGACGCATCCAGATGTCGTGGAACTAGATCAGCTGGATCCTTTGCCACGAGGAGGGGAGGACCCCCCTGGAAATGGACATTTATATCTGGGAATATCACTTATTAATTAGGTATCTGTGAACCAACCAAAAGGAAAACGCAAAAATAAATGACAACAACATAGGGAACTTAGCCCGAACTCATTGGGATCGTTGAATTTGAACCAGCAAAGTCAGCAGAATAACCAACCACAGGGATTGCTATTGCAGATAAAAAATGTAGTTGCAACTGCACCCATGCTGGCAGCAGTTTGCAGATGACAGGAGTTGATGAGGACAAAAACGAGCCCCATTCAGACGTGGAAATTGCGTTTTGCCTCATCTTTGCGAGAATTTTGACACCCCAATGTCCACTGAAAAAATAATCTGGTGATGGGTCAAAACCATTCAAAACCTATGAAATTACCATGTTTTTGGAAATAATCATTCATAAAACAGATTATTATTCTCCTAAACTAAACCAACTATTTATTTTATGGTTTTGACTCATAGCCATTGCGGCTCAATGCCAGGCGGGAAGAAAGCCAGAGAAGACTTGTCCCTTGGCACCAGGTCATGAAACGTGTCGCGAACTCCACTCGGATGTGCCCCTAAACATCCCCAAAGGACACCCTTGTGTAATATTTAATCTGTTGATTTTGAAATCTAAAGCCATCCTTGCTTGGGATATTACCGCAAATTATATGTATATATATGTATATATTAATAATGATTAATATGAACTTTGTAGTTCATTAATGTATATATATATGATTATGTGTATGTATATATATATATGTATATGTATATATGTATATATGTATATATGTATATATGTATCTGTGTATATATGTATATATGTATATTTTTTTTATCTGTTTATATGTTTATTATATTAGATATATCACGAAAGGTAGCTCCAGAGGGGCTACCTTGAGTTTTACTTTACGAAGTAAAGGGGAGGGCGGCCAGCCCCGTTACCTGATTCTTCAGGAGATTGCTAGTCATTTTAGTACCCCCCCCCCTCCTCCACACCTCCCACGCACCCTAAGAGCAGACTCAAAATACTGTAATTTACAGTATTTTTGTTCTTTTCGGATCAAGAAACCACATTTTGCTACATGGTGAAACCTCCGTAAATACCAGTGTTTTTGCTAGGTGCTGGCCAAAAAACACTGTAAATACCGTGCTTTTTACTACCAGAGGCAAAAAACATCGTAAATACCGTGGTTTTGGGCTTCCGACCCGCCAAAAACATCGGTATTTACGGTGTTTTTTGCTCCGAGAGTTGCAAAAACACGCGAAAACACCACCGATTTGACGATTTTCGGCCACTACGGAACCGAGCAAAAACGCTGCAGGGGTAACACCAACACCAACAACAACACCAACAGCAACAGCAACAACAACAACAACGACGACAACAACAACAACAACAACAACAACAACACACAACGCACAATGCACAACGCACAACGCACAATGCACAATGCACAACGCACAACGCACAACGCACAACGCACAACACACAACACACAAAACACACAACACACACACACAACACACACAACACACACAACACACACAACAACACACAACAACACACAACAACACACACACACACCACACACAACAACACACACACACACAACAACAACACACCACAACACACAACAACACACACACAACACACGCAACACACAACAACGCAACAACGCAACAACAACAACAACAACAACACACAACAACACACAACAACACACAACAACAACACAAACAACACACAACAACACACAACAACACACCACAACACACACAACAACACACAACAACACACAACAACACACAACAACACCACAACACACACAACACACAACAACACACAACAACACACAACAACACACAACAACAACAACAACACACAACAACACATCAACAGCAGCAGCAGCAACAACAGCAACAACAGCAACAACAACAGCAACAACAACAACAACAACACGAACACGAACAATACCAACACCAACAACACGACCAACAACACCAACACCACCAACAAACCCAACCACACCAACAACACTAACAACACTAACAACACCAGAAACACTACCACCACCAACAACACCAACAACACCAATACCAACAACACCAACAACACCAACACCACCAGCACCACCAACCAACACCACAACCACCACCAACCCCAACCACATCGCCGAAGCCTTTCAGTCGCTTTTACCAGACTCCCCTTCATATTTTTGGAAAGAAAATGGCCGCGTCGCTTTTACCAGACTCCACTTTATGTATTTTTCCCTCCCCTCTCCCCTTCATTTTTTCTTCGGTTCCTTTCTTGCTTACCTACCTTTCGTGTTCCCCCTCTCAAGTTAAATATGTATGAAATTCCCAGTTCATATGATAAATAATGATAAATAAATAATGATACATGTTTCATTATGTATTTTTGATTATCCCATGATGAGTTTTTCAACCATTGGGTCATCCCACCATCCCGTCAGGATCAACGCTGTCTTCGGGCACAGGAGCACCACGTTGGGATTGTTGCATTCACAAGGCGGACCCATGAATATATAATATAATATAATATAATATAAATATTATAATATATTATGAATGAATGTATGTAAATGTATAGCGCATATGATCATATATCATTAGAATTGATTAGATATATATGATATATGATATATACATAATTACTTTACGGTATATAGACAAACTGACTTTGAAAGGTCATTTGAGTGACTTGTTTAGCAGCACCAAATTCACCATTTTAGCATACCATTTCTTCAAAACGTCAAGATTCAGGTGCAGTGACTCCACCCCAACATCCAAAGATTGTTTGTTTTGCAGGTTTGATTGGACAACCACCCTGTAAATGGAGGGTTTGATGGGTTTTCCATGATTGCCCAAAAAAGTATAAACAACCATAATTCCGTCCCAATAGGTCCCTAGGTTTTGGTTACATCCTTCTGATCACGCATTGCTGACATCTCCAGTCCTGCTGAAAATCAGGGTCCGAAGAAATGAAGGAACATTATATATTTCCCACCATTTTGCAAAAAGATATGTATATTTTACAAATATATATATATATATTTATATACAGTACACATGTGTGAATCAGTATATCACTGGTTGGCTGTTTCATTTTTGGTTCACCATATTTGGGGATGATGATTCCCACTATGTAATACACTTCAGGTGGATAGCAACCAGCAACCAGATCATGGTTCATGTATGTTCATATTCTTCAAACAAAAATGGTTCTCTGAAAATCATCATCCATTTACCCAGTTATCATTTACTATGGATCATCAATTATCATCATTATCATCATTTCCCCAGTGGTATTTGATGGCCAGTCTCCTGGGGGTCTGGGAGGACTTTGCCCAGTCGCAGTCAACCTGACCAGCAGCAAAAGATCCAGGAGGATTTGTACGAGTTGACCTGGGAACCTCGGCCGAAGGGATTTTTTAGCTGGGTCAATTCTAACAACCTCACTACGACCGAAGCCTGGAATGATGGTTCATAGTGGTACCCTCTGGTTATGTCAAAATAGCTATTGAAAATGTCCATTTATAGTGGATTTACCCATTAAAAATGGTGATTTTCCATAGTTATGTTAGTTTACCAGAGGGTAACAACCTCACTACGACCGAAGCCTGGAATGATGGTTTTTATAGTGGTAACTATCCCAACATGGGCATTGTTTTGTGGTTTTATGAATTGTTGTTTTTTGTGCCCAGATTGCTGGTTTCAAAGTAAAACTTGAAATGACTTGACATGACTAACCTTTTTCAGAAAGACAGCTTCGTGGTTGGGGACATCTTAGATTGGCCATGGTTGACATGATGGAGATATACCCTGATGGTTAGATGATGGTTGCGTTTAATTGTCATAATTATACCTATGGCTGGTGTTTTAATATGTCTTAATGGGTCCTTGTACTTCCCCCTCTAGTTTTAATATCCCCCCTATTTGTTATTTTGTTTTGTCCGGTGTAAAGCATCACCCGACATGTTGGATTGGTAGTATTGATCCATCGATGTTGCTATCGGCAGCAACATGTGTTTGTTCTTTCCCGAAATAGTAAGGTAGCCATAACAGTAGCCAGTTGAATGGAAAAGACGATGACTGACCATCAAGTTTGAGGGTACCCAGATGGTTGGAATGATGACCAGTTTTCGACACACCTGTGTCTGGGACATGCAAGTGAATTTTGTGAATTTTGAATCCATGCAAGTCCGACGAGAGCAACAAAGTCGGCCATGAATCGAGTAGCACAGGGTGCAAATATGGAACATTATGTAACTATTATTTGTCGTCTTTGTTTGTACATTTGTATGGAGCTTCTTCTTCTCAGCAACAATTGTATGATTTTTGATTGATTTTGCTTATCATTCTTGCCACAGATTCCACCGTATGTTTCGTACTTAGCTTTTCGTATGCTGGGTTCCCAGGGTTTCAGGCTGATTACATCCATTGGAAATCGATTGGTCAAATGTGTGGTCCTGGATTCAGCATTGACACTATTGTGGTCGCTTGACACCCCTGACTGGTGATAGGAAACAGCAACGCGCTGCTTTGTTAGTGTGGGTTCATGTGGGTTCCATGTGATTTAAAGTCATGCTATATAAAATAAATTAAAATAACACGTTTTCATCTTTCTTATGTTTGTTCAGTTGTTCAATACTTTTTCTAATGGTCCAAGATTACTGTATATACTGCTTATATTCATTGACCATATGATATCAATGTACCTTTCTGGTCGGTGGGTTCGTGGGTTTATACTTTGGCTAACTAGAGTCTCTGATGGATACACTTTTAGTTGGACGGGTTTCTAAACCAGTTTATAATTGGAACGGTCCCTTCTTGCAGCCATTGAGGTAAAAACTTCCAAGGACATCTCAAGGTCTTTTGACTTGAAGAGCAAAGCATCTTGGCAAATCTTGGCACTTGGTGCTGAGCTTCCCTGTCAATCTATTTGTGGGTCAAATTTGGGTGACCTAAACTTATAGCAACCCCCAAAAAGATAGGAAAAGTGACCACTACAATAGTGATTTTTGGTGGTAACTATAAATATATATATATATATATGTGTATGTATATATATGTATATGTATGTATATGTAGAAATGGTTCAGAGTATCCCTGAGGATATTGACCCAAACTCATTTGCAGGACAAACTGTACTTGGGCCCTGCAAAGCACTAAGTGGACCAGAAAAGAATTCTGAAGCCGCTTGGGCTACTATGTTCACGCGGAGTCTTGCATGATTTGTCCACAACAAAATCTGTTGTCTCTGCCTCTTCCACTCCTGAACAGTGATTTGGATCCAAACAAATGGATTCAACATACTAATCCCATGCCCTATTCATATATTATACGCCCCCATTCTATGCTCCCAGTCGTGGTCTTATCCGATATGAAACCATGGTGTTTCCGGTGTCACATGACTGGCTGACTGGGAGGATGTTGAGATGTTGAGCGGCGCGGCGAGGTGTTCCATGTCCCACGCGGCCAGGGCTCCAGAAGTGCAGTGCTGTGGCATCAGGGCCACCACGATTGCATTTGTCCGATGTTTCCGGCCCAGCCAAGCAGCTGGGATCGCCAATGTGATGCGGAGTGCTTTTTGGAGGTGACATTTATATATGTTTCTGAAACGTTTGTTACGTTACGTTTATGGGTTTGTCTTGGATTTTGATTGATGTGTTAATACGTTTTATACTTTTATACATGTATGGGTGCATGTTAAGATTCTTGAACATGATTCTAACTCTGTTTAGTGAGACAAGAGTCAGGGTTTTTGTTTCTGAGAGCAGTGCCCTGTACCCTTGACCCATAAATCAGGAGCAGTATGACCAAAAGGAGGTTGGGGCTTCTAGCAGCAATGTATTATTCGCACACATATCATTTGTGCCGTGGGATAGGACCTTGTCCTCCCAAGTCGTTTTAACATGTTTCAACTATTTTCTAACCATCCATGCTGTACAGATCTGTACTATGTATTTCCATCTATTTTCCTCATTCGAAGTAGCAATTTTGAGGTTAAATTCGGTTAAATGTTGATACAGAACCCCAGCAACCCTCCTGTGAAGCGCCCAAGGTCCACCAGGCAGCAAGATCCCACCAGGTTTCCAGCAAGGTGCTTGTGCACCCGGCTGCATGGGCTACAAGCACATCAAGGACCGGCTTGGTTTTCACATTCCCGGGACCTCAACGGTGGGGCGTTCCAAGGTTGAGACAAGGGTTTGCACGAAAATCACCAAGGACGATGTGCAAAGCAGTAAGATTATTCCGCAAAAAATGTTACCCCCAATGACGTGCGATTCCAAACTTGTAGGGATAAATCAATCAATCATCATGCGCTTTCCAAGCACTGCGCACCCGGCAGAGGATCATAAACTCAGACGACACGCAACTTGGTGGGATCTTGACAATGTCACCAGCTTCTTCCGCTCATTGGGCCATCATGTCGGCTCCTTAGATACCAGGGTTGGAGCAGAACCCGAACCTGGGATGGTGCCAGTGCAGGAGTTATAGTCCAGTTCCACCTACATACTATTATATATATATATATATATGTGTGTGTAACACTGTGTATATTTATAGATAAACAATAATACATATAGTATATATGTATGATATTATGTATATACACACAGTATATATGCATATATATATATATTAATATTTACATATATTAATATATATATATGTATATGTATATATATATATATATATTAATATATATATATACATATTAACATATATATATTTATTAAGATATACATATATATATTATATGGATAATAATATTGCCTAGACATAAAGAAAAGCTGACCTCATACATCATGCCTTAGGTCTTCATCCTGTCCATGCCCTTGGTGGGTGTGAATTTCGATCCTCAACGAAGCAGCAATTGGACGGATCATTGGTGGTTTCAGCCTCCCGGCAGTGGGGTTGTTTGAGGGGAGCTGGGTCTCAACATGGCATGTGACAATTTATATATATATACATACAAAGCACATATACATATAACTATATTATATTATATAATGTGTTTACATAGTAAGCAAACTTATGAGGAACAAACATGTGTACTTTTTAGGCAGCCTTGTTGTGTGGACAAACCCATGTTTTTTTTAAAAAAAATATTGGCCAATTCAAATAGACACATGACTGATGTTACATCTTCAAGAATGGTATGATGCCCTGAAACAGTGGTATTTTTCAGGGTCAGAAGATAAAACCACCAACTGCAACAACAAGACAGTTCTGACTCAAACTGCACAAGTACAAACCTACACAGATGCATTTGCTCTTGAATATCCACTGCTGATCAATCAGACATTGAACAAAAACAATCAAACCATGGTTCGCGATACATTTTCTTAACCTATACTATATTATATATGTATATATGTGTGTAAATATATATATATATATGTACATGTATATACATATATATATATATATACATATACATATACATATACATATATATATATACATATACACATATACATATTTACACATATCAATAGAATTCCATACAACCATGACTGCAGCTCGGTCCACATGCAGTCAGCGGTTTGAAGGCAACAAGAGGCCCTGGGAGACTTCACCATTCGCTCCGCGGACGAAGTTTGAAAATTAACTGTGTGATTGATATAGTGATCTATATTATTGGTTTATAATTGAAAATTAAACTGATAATAATTAAGACATGGATCTAGGGGGCTACAAAAAATACTGGAAAATATGATGATTAATTATGGTTTATTGTGTTTATCATGGGTTTGCAATGGATCTAGAATGGGATATGCATCATATACCATTTCCCCTTCCAACCCCTGTTTCACAGGATCTGTGTTAGTTGGAGAGAGGGCAACGTATTTCGTTCTTTTTTGGGACCTCTATGGTGTGAATAGAACTAACATTTTTGTTGATAGGCAACTGAGAAGCAACAGAAACAGAGATACTTTTAGACATGTCATATAACGTAAGGGTTTGTCGGAAAATATGGTACCCCCATTCATCATGTTCCCAATAATTGGGCGAGGGTCATTGTGGAGCCATTCTCAAGTCCGAAGCCCAAGATCACCATGATGGAAAGATCCTAATCCCTCCCCCCCCAGACGAAACCATGGTCCCATGGTTTCGTAGGGAATTTCCACATCATTTTGACCATGTTAGATCCATGGTCCCATTGGTATCTCATATTGACCTCCGGGCGATGGGATTGATCTCCGACCTCGGATCCCAGGCTATTTCTGCGAGCCGGTGATTCTCACCATGAACTATGCCTTAAGCCTGGGCCTTCAGGAGCTATTTCAATACGGGGAAGCTGTTGCTATGTCCAATCTCAGAATTGTCATGGTTCTTCTTGTAAAATAAAACTATATTTTATTATCGATTATTTAAGATTATTATAGATTATGATAGATTATGATGGATTGTTTGTGTGTATCTACATCTATCTATGAGTATGCATAGGCTTTATTCGGGGGACACATTTCTTGCGAAGCTGGACTATGAATTTGGCTGTCGATTCGTCGGTTTTTTTCGCTCCAGCTGGTTGAACCAGCTTTGGAGGAGATGAGCAGGTGAAATTGCAATGATATATAATGTCAACCCTGGATTAATAAACCATGGTTTATTAATTAGGGGGGGTACTCTTGCAATAGTCATAATCTAATACTTAAATGGTACCCTCCCAATTAAACAGCCTAGGGGTTTATTAATCCAGGGTTGACATTATATATATATATATATATATACATAATTCTCATAGCTGATATAAATCTAATATAGTCTCAAACGTGTGAAATGGTTGGTGAATGGTTTACATATGACTTGCATCCCTTCTAACTACTCTATTTGTAAGTGGTGTATAACTGTATATCGGAAGTTGTATCCATTTTTGGTATATTATATATATATATACATATGTGTATAATGTATTATTATCAACGATTTACTCGATCACAGTGAACTCACACCGACCTTCAAAGCCTCAAAACTACTCACCATGTGGGTCCAATCATCCTAGTTCGGAGATCATCGCAATTACAAGGTGGTGCCGTATAGTTAGCTAAGTCTGAAGTAGCTAGGGTTCATGGATGTTCATGGTACAAATCTTATAAACAAACCTATACTGCAACTGGGGGCACCACCAAAGGTATATTGCCTATCAGATCATATTAGTGGCTTCCATGGTACAAATCACCCAGAAATCGGCTTTTTACCCATCCAACTGCGATATCGGCCATAGATAACGCATATTGTGTATATATATATAATTATATATATACTGGTTGGTGGTTTGGAACATGAATTTTATTGTTCCATATATTGGGAATAGTAACCCCAACTGACGTTGATATTTTTCAGAGGGGTTGAAACCACCAACCAGTATATGTATATATATATATATTGTGTAACAAACCCATTTACATATCCTACATATCCTAAATCTAATATACCAATCCCCATATTTCCATATCCTTTAGTTGGTTGACTCCCGGAGTGACTCCTATTTTTTTGCTGGTAAAGCCTTAGTTCCCCGTGGTTAGGACATCCATCTGGCGGGCTTGTCGGGTGGCGCATGGACCGCTAGTATCGTGGCCGCCATGGATCAACGGGTCCGCACGTCGATTCAAGTGGCAGGCAGGAGCTGGGAACCGTCGGCGTGTGGCGCATCCCCCAATGACTTGCCATTTTGGGTGGGTATAAACCCTGAAAATATGGCTGGTTGACTATTGCTCTACTGGCATTTACTTGAAAAACATGTTCTTTTTTGGAGAAAGGAGAAAGGATGCAATTGTATATAGCTAAACATTAACCGGTCGAAAGACCAGCAAAGTTGGGACTTAACCAACAAAAATAGGACTCTAGGACCAACGACGTGTGGATGTTAAACTTCTTTAACAAAAACCCTGGGGGGTCATTTCTCTCGCCAAAGAACTAGGATAGTTTCCAACCCATCTGCCGTGTTTGATCCATCAAATGGTGATTCCATAGGATTCCCATATGGTTTCCTCAAGTAGTTCGGACACATTATGGCAAAGGCAAAACACTGATTTCCTGGAGATAGCCTTGGCCCACACCGATCACAGGTGTTCTTCCCTACAGCATGCGTGTCTCCGCTGATCAGCATTCCAGCGGTGACATTGGCCGTGATATGGGAGTCTTGGCCAAAGCTGGTGACCGCTTTCTTTTGTTGGCACAAATTTCTCATGTGAAAAAAAACTGATTTTGATTTCTTTAATTGAGTTCTTTCCAGCCAGATTTGGAGGAGACTTTGTTGAGTTTTTTTGTAGATCCAAACCGTGTCATTTCAAACATTGACTACAGTAAGAGAATTTGAACCACCAAAAACGACTGAGTCACAGGGCGTAACATATCCATAGATATCATATCATATCATGTGTATATAATTATATATATATGTATATTTACAAAGATACGTTTGAAAAAACATGAGCACATAGTTTTGGGTTGTTTCAAAGGTTTTCTATTTAGGCTACAGGCTACTTGAAGATACTCTGGGATGTGTAATTAAACCACCAGAGAACGGCTTTTGGCAATGCTGATTTCTTGATGATATTCCCATTATGTATCCCTATGATAGCCCCATCATTGTTTGTTGGGACAAGTGGTTCTTAAACTTGGGGTACACCTTTTTTGACACTGGCTTCCCTATGGAAGTATCCAAATTTTGTGTATGATTTGGGGTTTATCATGGTTGTTTTTCAGTAGATCCAATTGCCATTTTGGGTATCACCCTTTTTGGGACATTTGCAGACTCCCCACCCTGGATGAATTTGGGGTCCCCCGTGATTTGAAAATATAGGGGTTTGTTCAAAAAAAAATGTATAGCATGGTATGACGGTATGCCCAAAACTTGAACTTTAACTGGAAAAAAACAGTATGGCCACGGTTCGGTTCGGTTCGGTTTCACGGTTCGGTTCCACTCTGGGTCGGTTCGGTTTCACGGAACCACGGAACCGAACCCAAAGCATGTTCGGTTCGATAATTCCTGAAAGAATCCGTGGATTTCCAGGGCATTCTTTTTTGATGGCATTTTTTTTGAAAGCAAATCATTCAAAAAAAAATATCACCAGACATACCGATTAGAGTCTTCACCAGACTGTTGTTTGGGTGAATTCTTTTCAGTTCGCTTAGGTAGATCCTGAAAGAATCTCATCAAGAAAAAGGAAGTTAGCGGATCAATTCCTGTCTTTTGGCATGTCGAAGGTTTGACCCTTGGATAGGGCAACGGCCACCGCAACTTGGGCTGTTCAAAGAGGCGTGCAAGAAAAACTACCTGTCCCATTTAAGTGTTAAGGAACAATCACGTACTGTGCGTAGAATACAATACTTGCAATGCAAAACAATACAAATACATACTATACAATACAACGCAATACAATACAGAATGACACAATACTATACAATACAACACAACTTTTTGGCCATGCCGCATGGCACGAAGACCGGGAAATGCAGACAGCTACCACGTACATAACTACAGTTGGTGACCCTGAACAGAAGCAACCAGCATGACTATTTGATAATTAGGAAGTTAGGTACATGGTAAGTTCGGAGCTTTCAGTAGCTGGATTTCAGCATGAATCTAATAAACGGAGTTTTTTAGCTAAAATCCAGCTACTGGAAGCTCCGAAGCTAACACGTACATGCCTACAGTTGGTGCCCGCTGAACAGCAGGAATTGTCGCTTTTCAGGGCAGAACCTGGTGCCCGGCAATCGGAGGCTCAGATGGGGTTTCAGACCAGTTTCAGACCCTCATTTGGCACAGATTCAAAACACCGCTTTTTGACATCCGGGCAAAAGGCAATGGCAACCCCATATTTTATTTCCATATATTGTTTCAAGATTGATATCAGGATGGAACTTCCAAAAGCATCCAAAAACTTGAAGTTCCACCTTGGACCCAAACAGGTGATGCATGTATGTCCGTATGTATGTAATGTATGAATGTGTGGAGGTATCTTATGGAATGTGATGTGATGCAATGTGATGTCATATCATGTACAGTAATGTAAAGTAATGTAATGTAATGTGATGTGATGTGATGTAATGTAATGTAATGTAATGTAATGTAATGGATGTGTGTATTCATGAAGGAAGGAAGGTAGGTATTCCAATCCAGCTATTGGAAGCCCCGAAGCTACCATGTACATAGCTACAGTTGGTGACCCCTGAGCAGAAGCATTCAGCATGATTATTTGATAATATGTGTCTATGATTCAGTCCACGGAGAATATGTCATGTTGGAAGCAGCACTGCCTTGATCTCGATTACCAGCCTCGTACGACGCAGGCTGCACTGTCACATATCAAACAGTTCACACAGAACGACTACTATACATTGATACATTCCACAAAAACTTGCATACACTTTCATCATTCTCCCTCGCGCAATATAGACACGGTGCCATGGACGGTGCCATTGAGGATGTTCTGAGGAAAAGGGTTAAGGCCTTCACCAGGAAGGTTCCGGATTGTGAACTGTGCAGATTCGATCAATTTCCCAACACCCTCTTCTTCATATTGCTCATTCGCAGCCCCTTTGATGCATTCTATCAAAAGGCTTTGATGACAGAAGAGGCGTGGAAGGAGGGCTCACGTGGTAGGTCCTACGAAGACTTTCTGCGTCACTATGCAAATTGGGTTGCTGGAGCACACAGAAACACTGAAGTGGCACAAGTTCGGATGTAAACAGCCTATGAGTCGGACTTTCAAGATCCGGTCCTTATTGTGCGGCTCCAAGATCAACTGGGAACTGACTGATCGCGCAACGCTGCTTGCTGACAAGGTGGCAGAGCGCATCAATATGAAGTCAGGTGCTAGAACATTGGCAATCATTGTCATGGCCCGCTTCAGCAGTCCGAAGTTGAATCGTCGAATTCTGGCGAGTCTTCCTCAGGGCAAGCCGAAGTGCTATGAAGAAGATTTCCTCGACCATGTGGAGCACGTCAGTGAGTTGATGCAGAAGAGCTTTTTTGCCTCGGAGTTCAATCGGGTTGCCCGTATGACTGCAGAGGACGCCACAAGCTTCTCTTCTTTGACAAGACAGTTGCTCGCTGCAGCTTTGCACCTCGAGAGATAGGCAAGGGAGGAGACGGAGAGAAGCACGCAGGAGTTCTCTTGGCTACATTTGGGGTGCTTTGTGCCAAGAACATACAATCCTCTTTGACTCGGTTTGGTCACACATCTCAGCGCTTGTGCTTGTGTGGGCCCGGAGCAGCCCGTTTGTGTTCACAGTGGAAAAAGTTTCGCAGAAATTGGAGACCAACGTCAATGAACGTGGCGCAGGCACACTGTGCGCACGAGTGCTTGGTTGAGATTCGGAAGCATCTGTCACTGGTGACCAAGCGTGGTATGCAGCACTTCTTCGCACATTACCTCAAGCTTTATCAGGCCATCAGTGCTCGTAAGGGAGAGACTTCCAGGCAACAATCTTATTCTCTTCTCTGCTTGGGAAAACTAATCTAACATGAAGGGAAATCGAAATAATAAAGATGCATGACGTGAGAATCATGAACCATGTGCTTCATGATCCGGATTTCACGAATCCATGGGCGTAAAATCCACATTGTGTAGCTAGGCCACCCAAAAGGGTCTGAGACAGGTCTGAAACGCCTCTGAAGGCCAATCCCGCGTAGAGACTCATACCTCCATCCATCCCATCTGGAGTCTGGAGTTGTTTTAAGTACAGATGATATCTCTAGAAGCGGGGACAATGATAGCAGTGACTCCATGGTGGTCTCAATGGACATATTGCGGTAAAGGCCTTCGGATTTCCAGGGCAAATTGCTGAAAGTCTATACCCGTGCTTCCCTCAACTTGCCCATACACCCCCATGATTTTTCCAGTTGAGCTGCCAATGTGACATAAAGTCACAGAGACCCCTCCCTGACTGAGGTTACATGGCACATGACTATGGGAGCTTGGGGAAACAGAGGTCCGTGTCACCACTTTAGTTGTCCGGAGTTTTTGGCGCCAATCAAGCTGGCATTTGAAATCCTGAAGCCTGCCTCATTTAAATTGGATCCCATAATTGCAGTAAAATCGTTCTATCTGCTTAAAGACAACAAGTCTCGGTAATTGGAGCAGGATACAACAATTTCTACCTCTGAAACCTTTTTGTTCTTGCTCTCGGCGCAGGATATATTTGGAATGTGCTTCGTGATCGGCGCTGACGGGGAAAAATGAGACAGATTCAAAGGAACTATGATGTGCGTTGCTTTTATCTTTGGAACCCCTTGTATAGGTCACTATTTGATCCCTTCTTTGGCCTATTTCTGGGAACTTTAGATACATCTTTTTCACTGCGCGAAAATTTCAGAAATGATGCGAGTTTTGTCATGAAGGGTGGCCAAATTGAGACATGCAGACACTGATTTGGATGCAACTATTGTCATGAAGAGTGGCCAAGTTGAGACATGCAGACACTGATTTGTTGATCATTGCCTGGGGATGGGGTGAATTTGGCCCTCCTGAATTGGGCAGAGCATGTTTAGATATGTCTTTTTTTACGTGTTTTTAGTATTTCTCGTTTTTTTTTCGAGCTTTTTTTTGATTTGTTTAGGTTTGTTTAGTGTTGCGCAAGGGAGACTCAGGCCACCAGGAAAACATATAGAAATCAAAAGAAACCTTGCATTAATGATTGGATGTACCTTATAAGTTTTCATTGGGAATGCTGAGATGTTCAGGGGTCAGTCCATCAACAATGCAAGAATTTGTTGAATCAACAGGAGGGTCCAGATTGGGAAGAGTGGACAGCAGCAGGGACGTGATGGAAATCCCTTGTTGGGGTGTTGAGATCTTCAGACTGGAACAGATCAGGGGCACAAGGAAAATGAAAGACATATTCTGTGGAATTTAGTGGAATTTAGATTTCTATAGTGGAATTTATTGGGTTTTAGATTTCTATAGGATTCTTTGGGTTCTTCTAGTTGTAGATATTGCAGTGCATTGTAGGGTTTGTATGATTTTATTTCTCGGAACCTTCTAACGGTTCGGTTCCACCGGTTCCCGGTTCGGTTTCTGCCATGTCTGTTCCATTACGGTTCGGTTCCTTGACGGTTCGGTTCCACCACTTTCCGGTTCGGTTTCTGCATTGCCGGTTCGGTTCCATTACGGTTCGGTTCCATCACGGTTCGGTTCCACCGCTTTCCGGTTCGGTTTCGGCCATGCCCGTTCGGTTCCATTACGGTTCGGTTCTTGTTTGTCCGGTTCGCCGGTTCCCGGTTCGGTTCCGCGGCCATCCTGAAAAAACACCGGGTAGAATGAAGTGGAACTGGGTATATCACATTGCTACTATAGTTGCACATATTCCATGAATTATATATCCCATGCGATCCCTATCAAATCTCCATGATTTGTTAATGTTCGTTGGATCCCCATTGGCAAAACCCTATGGATTCATAGCCCGTCGAAAGGTGATTTCGAGCAGCTCTGCGACTTGCCACCGCACCCCTTCCGCGAGGGAGCCAGGCCACAACCATCGAAGTTTTGAGGTCCATGTGAGCAGTGTTCAAAGGTATTGTTCCTTGATGATTGTATGTTATGTACATATATGTTTGTATATGTAAGGGGTTGTACTACCCAATTCATTGGGGACTATCATATTATACCATAATCTGTTCTGGGAATCCCGTTCTTCACCAGTAATGAAATGACATTTCCGCTTTGAACACGGCTTTTGGGTTTCCCTACATGGCCATTTTGGGTTTGAGCTCTGCAATGAGACGACAAAAACACGAGTCGTTATCTATTGTTCCGTATGAAATTGGCAAAGGCTTGAATCAATGGATTGGTTTACGGGCCAATTTACAGGAAAACCCCAGTTCTTTCATGGGAACATCGATGGTTTCCTGTAGAATTTCCGTTTAACCAAACCATTGATTATATTTCGAGGTTTCCAAGGTCATGGAGGTACCCCATGAGCTGCATGGTTTTCTGATGGAAAATCCTAGAAAAAAATACATGATTTGGGGATCCCCCATTTGTGGAAACAAACATTTATACATATTGCGCAGAAAAATCTGGAAACACTAGAGAGTCCTTCCAGATCTTCCGGCTTCAAAGCCGGAAGAATGCTGGCCAGTCATCATGGTCACCTGATCACGTGATGCTACGGGGAATGGCTGACGAATTGTCATCACGGTACTGTAGGTAGACAAAACCAAATTACATACTACGGAGTACAAATTTATTGTTTTCTGGTGCTTCTAAGATTCGGGTACCAAAACATCAGAGACTTTTCTGTACCAATACTAGAGAGGAATTTCCAACTGGTATCTTATATATATATATATACAAATTGTTTAGATGGCATCATACTTGCCTCCTAGCACGGTCCTGTGAGGCATATTGGCTACGGCTGGCGCAAGGACGCTGGCCGAGCATACTGCAAAATTTGCAACTACAGATGAAGCTTTGCTGCATTGGTCAATGTCAATCAATGCTGTCAAGCCCGTATGTCACCAAAACTGCAGACAGGTGGCAGCAGCCGGATCGCAACGGACGTAGATGCATTTACCATTTACCCTTTCTATCATGTATTGATCCCAGCAATTATCTTTCCTCTACACAAAGATGGAGGTAAGGATTCCCTTTGTCCATGAAACACTGGACCCAATTCAAACAATAAGGGTTCTATACCAAAGATCGGGCTCATTTTTAAACTATTCCACCAGGGGAATAGCCTTCCAAGATCTTCCAAGTTACGTTTTTGTTTTTTTTTCCGTAGGGGGAGGTTGGATTCTAGTAAGATTTCTCAGTGATTGTTTTGATCTAACTGCAGCAATCGGATTGAGTATTGGATTTTTTTGATTTATCATTGCAACATATTGCAACTGCATATTTCACATTTCTATAAATATATATATATATTTATTGTTGACATTGTTTATTGTATTGAAATGTTGACTTACACAACCACTGACTATATATGGTTTTAAATAAACCAACTGATTGGGTTTACTAATGTCATCGCATAGTTGAGCAAACAATTATATTTATATTCATAATGAATTATCATATCGTTATCAAACAATCAGTCATATTATTCATGATCACATCATAGTTAATCATATTCACTTATTGGATTTTGCATGATTTTGCCTATAAAAGTACCGTAAGCCTAGCATTTTGCCATAAAAATCCCCTGGTCGCAGCCGTTGTGTTTGGCGTGCGCGAGGTCAGTTTCTGCTGGGTGCCTTGGAAGCGAACCGACGAGTTCTGCAGCTGTACCATGAAGACGACAGCTGCTGCTACGCCGCCTCCAACAGGCAGAACCTATGGTTAATGATGGTTAATGATGGTTCACATGATGGTTCATGATGGTTAATGATGGTGACTAATGGTGATGAATGATGATTTCACTTACCCTCTGGTAAACGTTTACATAACGAAATGGAAAGATCCACCATTGTCCAGGGGAAAATCCACTATAAATGGTGATTTTCCATAGTTATGTAAACGTTTACCAGAGGGTATGTCATCATCAGTATCATCAGTATCATCAATGTCATCAAAAAATCAGCAAAAAATCATCAATTTCAATAATTTGTGCACATCATAGTCAATTTCACTAGCAGATTGAAACATTTTCCATTTACAGATGATGGATGATGATTCCCATCCCTTGCCACTGGGAGTTTTCATGACCCAGATTGCCTGTACCCAGTCAGTTTTGTCCATGGAGATGGCTCAAACATGGAATGAATGAGATTGACCCAAATTGTGGCTCTTTGGTTCCCGATTGTGGGCAAACTCGGCCACAGTTGATGTTTGTGAGCGACTCTGAAAGAGTTCATCTTATATCAGCCATCCTATGTTTGCGCACTATTTGTAGAATATTCGAATACCTTTGAATACTTGTTTTCCCAAAAAACTTCATTTGGTTCAGGCGTGGCCGGAGGCAACATGTGGCAAGGAAGAACAACCAAACAACTTGATTTGCCGCAAAATTAGATGGAACAATGGGAAATCCCTCAATATGGAGGTTTTCATGGAAAAATCATCTATAAGACGGAGGTTTTAATCGGACAATTCCCTATGAACGGAGGTTATGATGGCAAAATTCATCTATCAACGAAGGTTTTCATAGGACAATCATCTATAAAATCTTGGATTTTCATGGATTTTCATGGATTTTCCATTGCCATGTTGGCATCACCCAAGGGTAAACCCATGGCCCAGAGGCATTCCGAGCTTCGTCGCCATGAGGACGAAATCCGGCGAGAACTTCAAAAGTACCCGGAGCACGGCTGGTTCACCGCAGTTCCCAAGCGATATGAAACGGGGATGGGGAGGAAATATACATATCGAATATCAAAAAATATTATATAAATATTATATATATATATATATTTGTTATTATGTGTTTTATCATTATTATATTATAGTTTATTGATTTATATTTTTCTTCTTATTAGTATATTATTATTAGTAGTATTGTTATTGTTATTGCTATTATCATTATATTCGTGTGTTTATTATGGTAATATATATATGTATAATTTAACTGTAATGTAATATCATCATCATCATCATCATCACCATCATCATCATCATCACCATCACCATCATACATGCCATTCTGAAGCGTCAACTGTAATATATACATCCCGGCGGACTCGTTACCGTCGCACGGTTCTGCCAAAAACCTGCACAACAGCTCAGTTTTCTGATTGAACATGGTCTCATGAAAGATGTTGCGTTTTGCTTGAGGTTGCAACCCTTGCAGTGTTTCTGTGCTTGAAACGAGTCGAATTGACAGCGCATCTTTTTCCTTTGTCAGCATTCACAGCTTTGCGAGAACTTGGCCTGTTTTCACAAGCAAAGACTCTGAACCAAGTTCCCAAGGCCATTGCTGTTGGCTGCGGATGCTTAGCAACCCCACCCCACCACATCCCCATGTTGACACGAAGCAAGTAAGTGGCGTAGCAAGTCAATGACGAAGCAAGTGCAACGTACGTTACTACCCCACCCCACCCCATCCTCATGTTGTCACGAAGCAAGTAAGTGGCGTAGCAAGTCAGTGACGAAGCAAGTGCAACGTACGTTATTACCCCACCCCACCCCACCCCATGCCCACCCCAAATCATGGTCCGGCAAACAGTCCGCTAGCATATACATCCCGGCGGAAGCGTTACCGCGTGAAGCGTTACCGGCGTGCGAAAATGATCAAAAATACTACGTCCTCACAGCGAGGAGCCAGTTTTTGCATTCAAAACCTATCAAAAAAAAGTTCCGTCTACTTTGGGAGTGACAAACCTTCCATCACTTCAGCCTCAAAAAGGGCAACCGCAACTTTTTCTCACATTGAAGATCATAGAGCGTAGCATCAAGTTCATGTGGAAATGCCAATGAAGATCATAGAGCGTAGCATCAAGATCATGTGGAAATGCCAATGAAGATCATAGAGCGTAGCATCAAGTTCATGTGGAATTGCAATTGAAGATCATAGAGAGTAGCATCAGGTTCATGTGGAAATGCCAATGAGGATCATAGAGCGTAGCACCAAGATCATGTGGAAATGCCAATGAAGATCATAGAGCGTAGCACCAAGATCATGTGGAAATGCCAATTGAAGATCATAGAACGTAGCATCAAGATCATGTGGAATTGCAATTGAAGATCAAAGAGCGTAGCATCAAGATCATGTGGAATTGCAATCGAAGATCATAGAGCGTAGCATCAGGTTCATGTGGAAATGCCAATGAAGATCATAGAGCGTAGCATCAAGATCCTGTGGAAATGCCAATGAAGATCATAGAACGTAGCATGAAGATCATGTGGAAATGCCAATGACGCTATTATCCCACCTCACCCCACCCCACCCCACCCCAGACTCTCTCATGCGGATGTGTGGAATTGCAATTGAAGATCAAAGAGTGTAGCATCAAGATCATGTGGAATTGCAATCGAAGATCATAGAGCGTAGCACCAGGTTCATGTGGAAATGCCAATGAAGATCATAGAGCGTAGCATCAAGATCCTGCGGAAATGCCAATGAAGATCATAGAGCGTAGCATCAAGATCATGTGGAAATGCCAATGACGTTATTATCCCACCCCACCCCACCCCACCCCAGGCTACCGGATGTGGATTTGTGCGACGGTAACGAGTCCGTTGGCATATACATGTTTACATACATGCATGCATACATACATACATACATTAATTACATACATACATTGATTACATACATACGTTCATTACATATAGCGACGGACAAATACTTAGAACACCATTTGGAAAAAAAAATCTGAAAATCGTCACAGCGGGGATGTTCTAAGTATTAAGTCGTTAGAACATACCCAAAACCTATACTTAGAACATTTCCAAGCTATACTTAGAACATCCCAGTGGGGAACCAATAATGAGGCATCTCCAAAACATTCAAAATTATACATAATTCATTTTAGCTCATTTTAGTATTGAAACCTATGCTTTTTGACTACCCGCTGTAGGAAACCCACAAATTATATACTAGAGACCTTCCCATTGCAGCGAAGACTGCTTGGGATATTGTTCCCGAAGAAAAGGTATAGAATGCTGCAGCAGTGAGGGGAGAAAGTGTTCTAAGTATGGTGTTCACCAAGGTATTTGTGTGTATATATGCAGATTTACCAAAGTAACAGGACATGTTCTAAGTATATGTGTGTTTAATGTTCTAAGTATGCAAAAAAATCAAAGGAGATGTTCTAAGTATCTGTTTTTTTTCTGATGTTCTAAGTGCGTACTTAGAACATTTCTGATGTTCTAAGTGTAGTTGTTTTGATGTTCTAAGAAAAGGTTCCGAAATTTTGGAAAATTGATGTTCTAAGTATATGTCCGTCACTATACATACATTAATTACACACATACATTGATTACATACATACATTAATTACATACATACATTAATTACATGCATACATTAATTATATACATACGTACACTACATTACGTTACGTTACGTTACATTACATTCCATACACACATATATATATATATATATGTCTACTATGTATACATATAACTATACATGCATATATTCATATATGTATACATACGTACATGTGCATAATGCAAAGACGTTGTGATATACATACATATTTATATTTTATATAATCATATGTAACTGTATAATGAGATACTACGATATACTGTACATATATCTTTGCGACCATCTGGGTGGATGAACATCCAACTATAGCAACTACTTTGGAGTGGAAAGCACCCAGGTTTTGATCACCCAAATCTGTGAACTTGAGAGGAACCTTTTTATCTGATATTGCGCCCCAGGTGGTCACGGATCACAGGCGGCTGCTGGGTTCAACCCCTGTTGGTTGATGATTATATGGGACTCTACTACTTAATATATCGGGGATGAAAATGACATGAATCTTTGGGTAAGGCTTGAGAGCGTCAGATTCATCATGCTGCATGCTGTGTTTAAAGAGCTTCGTTCCAAATGTTCTTGGACAAAACCATACACTCAAGAAGTTAGCTATCACATGATGGTATCATGAGTATCATCATTTAGTGGTGCTAAAACCCCATTGATCGGCGATTTGTCATCATTCTCCCTAGAAAATACGGGCTCGAAAGCACTGGGTGTAAAATATCAATTTTTGTTGATAAACACAAATATCCACATTTGTCAGCAAACACCAAACACTCGCCAGAATCATTCTGTTGGAGGAAAACGTTGCAGGAAACCATACGACGTTGCCCCAAGTATATTTTCTGTGGATGGTCCATTCATCCAACGAACCTATTTGCGGATTCCCCCCCCAAAAAAATGTGTATATATATATATATAGTATATATATATATATGAGCAGGGACCCCCACACCCCCCCCACCCAGCCAGATGGTTCCCCCCCCCCTGTGGCAGGGGAGGGGAGGTTTTCTCAGCAGCCAAGCCATGGTGTATGTAGTCTTTATAGTGCATATTATAATGCATATGTATCGATAATTAGAATGGATATACTATATGAATATGTAATATAGAGTGTATGTGTAGTGTATATATATGTATAAACATATATATATATAATATGTAAGATATAAATAGAATATATGCAATATATATATATTTATAATATATATATATATATTTGACATATATATATATATATTGAACACATATATATATATACATCGTATATGTGGTTTTTGATAGAATATAGATAGTATATGCCACATGTACTGTATCCACAGTAGATGTAATATATACAATATAGGTAAATATGTCCGTTGAATAAAATTTACATAGTATATGTGGTATATTGAATATCGACAGCAATACGCGCTGTATATCTAGAGTTTATGTATGTATATATATATATGTATATGTATATATATATATGCATATATGTATATACATACATATATATATACATACATATATATATATACACGTGTACAGTATGTACAATGTAAACGAAATATGTGATAGATACAATATCAAGATATCAATCTGTAGTATCTAGAATGTGCATATATATATATATGTATTTATTGTTTTTCTACTGTACATATGTCTAGGTTTGCATAGGTAAGCTTTGCGTAATCCATAGGTAGCAAATATGTTGTAAACCATGTGCGAGGCACTATAGGCGGTTCGAAAAAAAGGTTATGATAGAAATATACAGGTAGACAAGGTCCGTTGACGAGGTCGTGGCTCTCAAGTGCTGCAAATAACGTAGAGATGCGAGGTTGGAGGGGTGGAAAGGGGAGTATATATGTGTATATGTGTATGTATATGTGCAAATAACATGCAAATACTAGGTTTTGGGGGGGTGGGGGGGGTTAGGAGTGGGGGGGGGATACCATTGGGGGGGGGGGGGGGGGTCCGGGGACCGGGCTCATATATATATATATGTTATACACCACCTCCCCCAAAAGATAGACCAGTACCATGGTTTTTTTCCAGCTAATTCGCGCAGGAAACACGAGCTGAGCATGAAGGACAAAGAGGTGATCGCCTGGGTCCTGCGGCATCCGCTTCCGGCAGGGAGTCCCGAGTGGAACGTCTTGCCTTGCGACGTGCTGCACGGGGAGTCCCTTGGAGCTGGAAGGGCTGATGGGGATACCATGGGAGAGGGCTTTATTCTACATATACTAAGACTATCTAAGACTTATCAAACAGATATCCAGAAAAGGATTTAAGAAATATAGGGATTTCTGATGTACAGTTTCTCTTATATTTTTGATGATTTAAGAAACTGCACATCAGAAATCCCCTGAGAAATTCTCAACAGAGACCACGCGATGGTGTGGAGCTGGGGGACCTATCCAGCCATAGTGTTTGCTTCTTTGACCAGTTCAGCATTTTTGTTCCAAACATGGGTCTGTCAGCAGTCGACCCATGATATCTAGAAAAGTAAATCACTATCAAAAAAAAATCAAAACAAATCGGGATTTCAGAAAGGATCCCCATGGATTCCCCCTTTTTGGCCCTAAAAAAGGGAGGATCCTTACACTACCATCCCCGTCCTGATCTTTGAGGTCCAATCTTGCGGCCACCTGCCAGATCCAGACTTCCACCGCTGTGCGCTCCGCTGCGCGCTCTGCTGTGCGCTCCGCTGTGCGCTTCAGAAAGACAAAAAGCGCCGCGCAGGGGTCACTGCGCAACGCCCGGGAAGATCTCACCTGGTAGTTTGGAACCAGAATTATCATCTACGGAGTTTCCAATGGCATGTTTGTTTAGAAGAGGGAATATAGAATTGAAATCACAAGCCGCAAGCCCAAGCAAGCTGTACTTACCCCTAGTTGCAGGTAGTTCTGGTGTAGAATTAAAAGGGAACTGTGAATGAAGGGGGCACGCTTTAAGTCATAGCTTCAGCCCAGGACGCTTAAGAGATAGAAAACACAGCTGGGAGATCCAGGTTGTGGACAAACCTGGCCATGGTCAATTCCCCATGAGAGAACTTGTGCAACAAATTCATGTTTGTCCGATGTTGAGTTGGATGTATGTACTGTATATTGCATACTCTGTCCCGAATTTCAACCAGAGACTTCGCTCAAATACCCACTACTCGATGTTACTATGCTTTCATTTATATCGATATACCTTGTGGTATTTGGGATGGAAGTGAGTTACCTGGAAAACATGGGACCTTTCATTGTGAGCTTCAAACAAGTACCGCGTATACCACTAGGTAAACCAGTGGCGATTTCGTATCTGTTGGTCCACCTGGTTTAGCCGAGTTTAACTGACAGAAGCCACACTGGGCCTCGCAGATTGGTGAACGATCCGTGCAACTGAACTTTGTGGCAGACAGCGAGTACGCCATGTGTGTCTTTGATGAGTTTGCGTTCGCTGCTTTCTCGGGATGCAACATGGGGTACAGCAAATGTTCCGAAAAAATGGGAGGTTTTCTATGGCTTTCTGACCTTTCTGACCTTCTGGTACAAAGTCATGGATATTTTTTGGAGACATGTGATATTATGTGATAATCTGTTTGTCGATTCACTGGCACATTGAAGGTTTTTGAGTGGTTTTTTTTCGGATCTTCCCAGCTTGGGCATAAACCGAACATAAGGAAGGTATGTGTCCCGCAACAGCAGGGGGTAGACTGAGCCCAAATTCGGGATTTTGAACACATGAAGATGCATGTATAAAATATTCATCATAAATATAATTTCGATTATATAATTTAGTATTTTCAGTGTTCAAATTTAAGTGGAAAACTCCGAAGATGAGACATCATCTAGGTCAATCTTACATGGATACTGTAATCCTTTAGTCTTTTGGTATTAATGGGAATATCCACTAACCAGCAAAGAATTTGTCATTTTTTGCAGGGTATCTAAGATTGGCAATGTCATGTCGCTTTGGGTTCCAAAGTTGCTGCGCCCAAGGTTGGGGTGGCCTAGGTGGAGCATGCATTCCGCACTCCGCCTCCATGGAGATTTTTATGGACGGTGAGGACCGGCGGATTTTGGTCATCGCAACCGTTTGTTGCACACGGCAAGCTGGAAAAGGCCAAACTGCAATGGAGGTTGAAAAATTGTTGAAATATATAGGTACTTTCCAGTTATTTAATATAGGTACTATATGGAAGTACCTCATAGGTTTTTTTCCAATGGGAGCCCTATAATTGGAAACAATTGTTTAAGAGGTACGTTCCATTGCCATGTTTCATTGCCGGAGGATATCCCTTTGAATTGTTTATTGTGTTATTATTATTATATTACATTTGTGTACATATTATTGTAGTTTATTGTAGTGGGTTATAGTTATAGGTGATATTTCCTGGCTCATTGGGGATTATCATGACCTATAGGCTACAGTATCCTTTAACAAACCACGGCTCCAGCCAGGGATGGGAATGTTCTCTGTCTATTTTTCACGGCTCACCTGGATCAATTCAGCAGTTCCACTCACAGGGTTGACCTACTAGGGAACCAATATATACAGAAAACTTTAGAAGATCCCTCTATCAAAAGAATTCATTGGGAGAGACTCAGTCTGCAACCATTTTGTCGGAGAAGTCCTCAACAATGATAGGCTTCTAAATATAAGTGCGCTCATAATCCAGTCTTAGGATGCTTTATGTAGTTTTGAGCCCACATCTGGCACATGACTATTATTTTTGCTAAACAATTGTTATCATTACAGTGTTATATAATTATATATATATATATATTATTCTAGATGATTGAAGATTAGACCCTAGAATGCCCTGGGTTACTCTTCCAGGATGGTCCTGGAAGTTAGGATGTCTATGACGGAAAAGGGAAAAAAACACATCCAGCAAGGCATCCTACAACATGGGATTACCTTCTAGTTAGTTGATACAGCCAAGGAACATGCCCCATTTATAGATCATTTATTCTGTTTTACTTATTAAAAGTGGTGATTGTCCATAGCTACGTTAACAAATTACATCAAATTACCAGAGTTACATGTATTACATGATACAATATGATATGGGTCTGGTCATACCATAGCAATCCCAGTCCACCCCCAATTTTTGCCCAGTGACTCAGCGGATGGAATGGGCTAGAACTGCAGGAGTCGCACCCTGTTTTGAAGTTGGGCCTGGCGAAAGCAGAAAACTCCAAGGGCAAGTGGGAGGAGGCTGGACATGGGGGAAAATCACTTCAAGTTGTTTCAAGTCATGGTGTTCCGATTTTTTTTTGTGCCATGGTCTGTTTTGGGTTCGGTATTGGCCGAGTTCGAATCTTCTGGCCATCGATTTTCCCATGGCTTTGCCACAGAAAGTGCAATTGGACCCAACAGCCTGCCAAGTGGTCCACCTGTGACATGGCTTCTGATTGGGTTTCCCACATCACTTCGAGCTGGGAAGGGGACAAGCGACTGGATCATCCAACTCTGTACATGAACATTTGCAGCTTGTCCCTTTGACACATACAGTACCCATGTTTGCTACTTGAAGCTTCTGGTTGCTGCTGATGTGAAAAAAAAATGTCTCCCCAAATAGCTCCGGATCCGTTGGACATAGACTGTGCGTCAAAATGAGGTCTGGTGCACTGATGTTGACGTTAAACAACCAAACTGTGTGGACCGCCTGCAGGTCTTCAAACAGATGCAACCATGGGAACTCTCTCGTGCTTTGCTTGAGGAACCCATGCAGCCGTTGGGGTCACCAGTTGATTTGACCCAAAGAACATGTTTGTTTATACGATTTTGCTTGCCATGAGTTATATGACTTGAGTTGGTGGTTCTTTCTCACAAGTTATTCTAATTTTGTTTTCCATGAGTTTCTGTGTATTTGAATATGTAGGCATGACACATTTAAGATGATTTTTCTGTGAGGTGTATGTATATATATATGTAAACACATTATATACATAGTTGGTTGTTGGTCTCAAAATTTGACCTCTGTCTTCTGTGTGCAAACCTACTTTTGGTTGGTGGACCAGGAGTGTGTAGACTGTCCTTGCATTTTAGCAACGCTTTTGGCAACATTCAAGTTCTTCTACATGTTTCCACGTTGATGGCAGCATCATAGTTCTTGCTGCATGTCTTTGGATGATCTTGATTGCCATTGACCATTGACTTATAACTTATTGGATTAATCATGATCCAATGAATCGTATATCTATTTGTGATATCTCACACACCTCCAAATTGTAAGTTATGGTATCACTGATATCTGTTACAGGTTTGAGTCTCCCAGTTTTGCACCACTTGGGTTTTTCCTTAAGCCCTCCCTGCAGGACTGCCAACGCCCACCTGAACTTGCCCTTGAGGACAGAGAGATTCCATGGACCTGGTGGTGATTTGGGAAGCAGATTTTGCTGTGAATCATTCCAGAGTTACCCTCTGGTAAACGTTTACATAACTATGGAAAATCACCATTTTTCATAGGACAACTCACTATAAATTGCCATTTTCAATAGCAAACTGTTAAATTACCAGAGGGTTGATCTTGTTGCAGTTTTTGCCGTATGCAACTTTGACCTATAGACCTACACCTTTATCGGTGCGAGTTTCCATGAGTTTCCAGGATGACGACCAGGACGCCTGAGCCCAACAGGGGCTGGGTGCCATGTGCCCAACAGGGGTCGCTATGACAAGCAGAGTCTTCCGCAAGAAAGGCAGCGAGCTGCGACGAATGGGGGCCTGCATGGCTACGAGCTCAGCATTGGCTTTTGTTGTTTCAACATGGATCATCAACATTCCCATAGGATCCATGTATGCTATATATGGTAACATTTACCATGAATATATCCCAAATGTTAGCATATATACCATACATGGATACTATGGGATTTCACTTTGCTGTTCAGAACTGTATCGTGCCCGATTGGCTGCTATTTCGACCTGATCAGCTCAACTTCTGACCGGATGGTTCCGGCCCAAGGGTGGTCAAAGAGCTGGCATGAAAGAACCGGGTGCATCATTTGGCTGCGGCTATTGTTGACCCTCAAAACTGAATAAAGCGATTTAGATTCGTCATTTGTTTAACTAAGAATGAAGAAGAATGAGCAAATATGAGTCATATGAGCAACCTTTTTGCAAGTGCATGGACACAATATAGAAATCTAGGAATGCAAAAGAACATAAAAGAACTATATAAATATAGAAATCCTAGATGTCCAGGATCCATTTCTTTGGTGCATCATGTCCTCGGGATCATGGTGATGGGCGTGTAGTCATGGAGGCGCCCCTGGAAGCAGGGGGGGGTCCATGGATGCGGACGATCAAAGATGTGTTTGTTTTTTGTTGCTTGGGTCTGAAATGTTTTCCCATTCCCCAATGTTTTTGTTTTCCGTTCACGATTCTCTTCTTTTTCCATACCAGTCTTTTGGGCTGGTTCTTTCCTGAGTCAGCGAAAATGGCCAACACCTAGGGGCTATATCATTATACCATGCCATGATAGAAAAACACCTAAAACGTTGCCCTTTTTCATAGCTCTAAGCCAAGAAAAATCCTTAAAGCATCCCATCTATAGCTCTAACCCAGGGAAAAGCGCTATTGTTTTGAACCATCATGTTTATAGCCATGGGCCATGGATGATGTGGTTTCAAACATTTTATAAGTTCTCCCTCCAGTCTCTGACATCCACGGTGCTTCAACAAGGGCCTCCGGGCAGCGGTTGCAGCGCTGAACGTCCAAGAAGTCGAACGGCTGTTGAAGGATGCCGCGGGTCCGGGTGCGTTCCCCGTTCTCCACATTGGTGCGTTCTTGAACCAACAAATTCATAGGAGATAACACCAACCATATGCGAACATATGGCGATTTAATGTGATACATTGTGATACATATGTGTATATACATAGACATATATATATATAGATATACATATAATTACTGAATATACATATACTGATATATACTGTATATTTTATATAGTTATTTGGAAAAAGATGGAGAATCAATAAAAAACACATGGGGGATTCGAGGTCAACATCCAATCCTCTGGAGCATTCCACATCTTCTTTGGGATCATCCGGATCTCCTGGGAGAATCACTGGGAGATCCAGGACCCAAAATCGGAGTAACCAAAAATGCTGGGCCGCCCTGGGCACACAGCGAATCAGTTCAATCAATCAGTAAGACTTCGGACGAGTTTGTTTAATCAAGTAATCTATCTAAATCACAAACCCCAATGTTCAACCTTCTGGATTATCTATATTTTCACCGTGCGAGCGCTGAAATCACTGATCCTTGGGGGGAACACAGTGGCACTTCACGGGGGCACGGCCTCCCTATATTGGGTGCGGCAGCTGTTGTTGATCCCTTTAGGCATGACATGTGACATCGACTTTGTTTCTGAAGCTTCTTTATCATGTCTCACAGCCGAAGTAGTACTTAACATATACTATATACATATAATTAATGTTTCGTCCTGATTTGTGTGTACCCTCCCCTCAAACAATAGCTATACTCTCTTTAAAGTTTGGTATCAAAATACTTCTCCCCAGAAAAAAATACGATCCCGCGTTTAAGTAAGGATTTCAATTGGCGACAATTGAAATTTGATTCAAACTTTATTATTGCCGATGAACTTGTGATATTTGTAGTACTTGTAATATTGGTAGTACTTGTATTACTTGTGGTACGTGTGGTACTTGTACTGAGTGGGGTTCAGCATGTTGATTGCGTTACCTTTTCCACCTTAAGTTGTTTATTAAATGTGCAATCAGAGAAAGAGAAAGAGGAGGAACAAAAGAAAGGGGAAGAGAAAGAGAGAGAGAGAGAGGAAGAGGAAGACGAAGAGAAACAGGAAGAGAAACTGGAAGAGGAATAGGAACAGAGAGAGAGAGGAAGAGGAAGGGGAAGAGGAAGATAAAGATAAAGAAAAAATGAAATATACAGAGGCAGGAAAAGAGAACGATGAAGGAAAAGAGAAAGAGAAAGGACAAGAGAAAGAGAAAGAGACAAAGAAAAAGAAAGATACTGTAAACATAAAGAAACGGTTGCTTTTGTACAAGGTGGCTCCAGGATGAGATCTGGAAAAGTTTGCTGCAAATGTGAACCCTGAGAACAACCTACTAAAGTGAATTGGGCCCTCTCATGGCCCAGTGCCTTTGAAATTTGCAGAAAAGCTGTTCTTTAATAAGGGTTTAATAAGCGGTCTGATTCTTTTGGGAAAGGCTTGGACTTTGAACTTTTCAATTGTTTTTGTAAAAGGTTGTTCTGTCTTCTCTTGGCTCCAGGATCAGCTCTGGAAAAGTTTGCTGCAAATGTGAACCCGGAGAACAAACCTACTAAAGTGAACTGGACCCTTTCATGGCCCAGTACCTTGGAAATTTGTGGAAAAACTGTTCTTTAATAAGGGTTTAATAAGCGGTCTGATTCTTTTGGGACAGGGAGACAAGCAAGACTTTTTTCCAGAAAAAATGGTCATGTTTTTTTTGCACAAACATGTTTTTTGACGAAAAAAATGGTTTGCCAAGACTTCTTGCCACAATGGTGAACCTTCCAAACATTGCTGGGGGACAATATGTTGTTTTTTTTCCACAATAGCGAACCTAGACTAATCAGGATACAACATTATATAGAATATTATATATATATATAGCTAATTGTGTTTGTATGTGTGTATATATATATATATATGATGCATATAGTTACATTATATACAGTATGTATAATATCTATTCACCAGATGATTGCGGTAAAGCCAAATGAATCTCCACATGAGGAGCCTGCACAACGTGACTTGATCCTGGCAGATGATGAAGACGGGCCGTGTCCTTGGATTGCTTTTGATGGAGGGATTTGGCGGGTGCTCCATTTTGGGACGACCATCCATTGAAAATAATGCGTCCAAAGCACGGTACGTTGGCCACCGGTAGCAGTTCCCAGTTGATATCAAGATATATCAAGCCATAGTCTCATGTTTTCCTCTGTATATTGTATGTACAAAGTGGAAGAAATCATGCCCAGTGACTATCCTATGACCAAACCAGTTTTGGATGGCACTGCCTGATAGGCAAACTTTCCTTCACCAATGTGCTGACCTTCTTGGTTCTGCTTCAGATGTTTGTGGACGAGGCGAGGCTACGGAGTCTGAGCTTTTGGACAGAACAGGAGATATTGACAGGGTAATTTCTGCCGAGCTCCGGGCAAACAGCTACTAACAAACCTAGTAAACAAACCTGCTAATGGAAGGCCTCCAGAGGTGTAATTCCATCCCCCTAAAAAAATACCCTCCCATAAAACATGGTTTAGTAGGGTATAAATTATAAAGACACATGTTTGGGACCATTTAGGGATTCGGGGTTGTTTAATATTATATGGGGATGATATTTGGATTCTATATGGAATTATAGTGGGAGATCAACCCCAACCAGATTAAAAAACATCCAAAAATATCCCCCAAAAAGATGTGCCTTCCTGTAAACATACAAAAATATGTGGAAAATCCATGGTGCCATCCTTCATTTCTAGATCATGTTCCTAGGGAAACCCATGGGCTTTTCCAAATCAACAAAGACCCTCGACGAGTCGACGAGGCTCTGAGATGGTCACATTGCTTCTACGGAAGGGCGCCGATCCGCGTAGCCTCAACAGCTTGGGGGTGCCATGGGGTGCCGCGTAGCAGACGGTCTCTGCGGACATGATAGAGCTATAGAGCTACGTCATTCTAGATCTAGATTTGGGATGATACCAATGAACCATCCACAATTGCGCTTTATTGATTGTTTATTGTTGGGTATATGGTAATTATTATATACACCTCTTTGGGATGTAGGAACCCCCAATGGTTGCTCAATGGATGTTCATGGTTTGGTTTACTATTGCGTATACTGTACCGGTATACCACATTTGCCTAATTTGCACATCCGTTTTGACAGTGGTTCATACTTGGACGATCACTTCCGGATTCCTGGGGAGCACCATATTCCCAGCCAGTTACAATTCCTGGGGTGATCACCCATGTTTCTTTGTGTTCTCACTGGTGATCGAAAGAAAATTACTAATTACATCTAATTCCTGATGGCAACACTTTTAATCAAATGGCAGCTTTGTAAAAACCCACTATTGTTCAGTGATCCAAGTCAGTATTGCGGGTTACCCTCTGGTAAACTAACATAGCTATTGAAAATTGCCATTTATAGTGGATTTACCCATTAAAAATTGTGATTTTCCATAGCTATGTTAGTTTACCAGAGGGTAAATACCAACTGTCGTAGCATCTCTGAGATGGTCACCAAGAACGGCAGAACACGGCTAGGAATCTCCGTTGACCCTGGCAGCACGAGCCATTGCATGTCCCTGGCTGAGAAGGGATCCTGGGCCATCATTTTGCATCCATTTGGCTGCTTCTTAAAGCTGGGAACTATGGGAACTCAAAAATGACTGAAACTTGGATTAAATTGGTACTTAATTGGTACTTGCAGGTAAAAATCGGGAAACCACTGAGAAGTCCTTCTTTTTGTAACAGGCATTTGGGACCATAGAAAGGGGCTGTTTAAAAAACCCACGGCTCTCCTGGAAGAATGCCGCGCGAAACAGGTGCTTTCACCTCCAACCCAGAGGACAGATCGCAGCAAAACATGGCAGCAAAACATGTTTTTTTTGCGAGATTGAGATATCTATATGGTTGGTATATGGGTGTGTCTGAAAATAGTGTACCCCTAAACCCAATGGTTAATGATCATTATCCCTATTAAATGGCTATAATTGGGAATATACCCTATTTTCAGACAAACCCATATGTTGATAATAAAGGAAAAACTGTTAGTGGGATACCATTGGGTGTATTCTCACATAGACCTTGGGAAGTACTGATCCAATACACGCAATTATTTTTTGAGAGACTTCGGCCATTGGACATGTTAAAAGGTCATAAAAGGTCTAGGTGGAGATACAAAAGGTACAGTATGGTCAAACTTCAAACCCAAAGGACCAACCTTCTCATTTTCAAGGTACCTGGTACCTAGTTTTGACTAGTACCCATGTCCAAAGCATCCAAAAACCAACAGATCCAAGCAGATCTAATCCCGAAGAACACCATGGTTTGACTTTCCTAGCGGGGAATCCCATGTGTAGCAGGATATGGGGCAGGTGCGAATAATTTGGCCATTATGTGGGTATCTATATGCGTCGATCAACACAAAAAAATCCCCAAAACGTAATTTGAGAAGATATTGACCACGCATCGGAATGTTTCGGAGACCATCCCCGAATTGAAGGGAAATTCACAGGGGAGCTCAGCCATATATATATATATATTATATACACACACATACTTTTGGATACTTTTGGTGGTGCAAAAAGGAAAGGAAACTAAGGAACATCCTATATTTGGATGGGAAAACTGTGGTTTCCCATGGATTTTCTGCTGAAAAGACAGGAACGCGTGCCATCAGAGCTGCGACTGTCAGCCGTCTCCTCGTTGTTGCAGGTGGGGCCGGACGGAATGGGACGGAGCACAGCCGTAGGGATGGTTGGTTTGGCCATCAACAGCCAGGGCATAGTGAAACCACCAACAAACATGCTGCTTCCAGGGGGATAGAATGGAATTGGGATATTATTGAGAGATATCTGGGTAAATTGAATAAATTGTGGCTTTAACCAAGTAACATTGGGCCATCATTTCCTTCTGTTTTTTCTATATAACAGGGGATACAACTTGATACAACTTGATACAACTAAATGATGATCTGGGTGGTTTCAATGATGTTTTTTTTTTATAGTAGCTTTCAACCCATTTTCAATTGGGATGATGATTTTAGGGGACTCTTGAAACCAGCAGCTATCGGATAAATCGGATGATATCGTGGGTTGATTTTGATTCTTGGAGATTTGCCATGACAGGTTGCTCCATTTTGCTGGGGACAGCTTTGCAAAACTTGAGTTTTTCGCTCCATGTGTGAAGATGAACCCAAGTAACTCAGTTGTTTTCAATATTATATGTGCCGTATTTCGCCATATAAATGCCAGATATATATATATATATGTATGATACTATGCGTTGGCTCAAGCGTTGCCTCAGCAAGGCCGATCCGAATGTCACTTAATTTCAGATGTTTCTGAACATTGTGTCCAAGAGAATTAGAGTAATCTTCTCCAAGCCGCGCCGGTTTTCAATCGAAATCAGCCACATGATGATCATGATGCATCATGATGCCACATGGATATTGTGAGTTCCCAAGATATAAACCTAGTCTCGGGACCGGAAAGTTTTGACGCTGAGCAAACGGACAAGCCGCTACGATGTCTCCAGCTCTCCTCCTAGATAGATCGCACCCATTGAATAGGAGTTTACCACACTATTTATATATATATATACATATACATATAATAGTAGAAACTACTCTGAGCTAAAGGTCTATGGCTTATGGCCTGTATTGGTCCTATCAAAACATCATCTGAGCTGTGGACTCGCCACTATGGTGGCTGAGACGCCCCCTGAGGAAGCATACCAGCATTGCGGCAGGGATGGAGGGCATGGACCTAACAAGATGTTTGGGACACAAACATGGAAATGCCCTCCGGTAATCCGGGGCAATTGAACATCCCCCATTTATAGATAATTTGTCCCAGCCATTTGTAGGGAATTGTCAATTGCCATGGTTGATGATCCCAGAGGGTAACATCTCCATGCCATGCTGAGGGCACTGCACCTTCGATGATCCCCCGTTTGTGGACAATTTTTTGTTCCAACGTTTTCTAAACGGCAATGCGTTTGTGGTAGACTCGGTAGACCAAGGGCGAGCGTTTGGATCATTGATTTATTGATCCCCAAGCCATTCCCCAATATTCCAATGGCATCCAATGGTCATTTGATTGGGACATGGCCATCGGCCATCGAAATGGGTCTTGGGGCATTTGTGGATGTTTTTTCGGTCATAAAATGTGCCCCGTGCATCCCTTGTGGCTGCTCCAAATCCTGATTTTTGTTGCTACAAGTCCCATTTTACATCACTGAATCTTGAGATCATCATTAATATCATCACGCTATATCAATCTTGAGATCTTGATGGAATGCCCAATTTGTTGGTAGAAACTTCCTTCATTTAACGACTTGGCGCAGTGGCGCACGCTCCAAGGACCTGAACATCTACTCCCACGAGGAGCAGTTGCTGTTGGCGGAGGCTCTCTTGCAGGACAGACACGACAGCGGATCCATTGTTTTTTCAGTTGATGTTGGGGAAGAAACAACACTCAAGTAATTTAAGATGTGTTTAAAAAAAACAAATGTTTTTTTTTTTGTAAGGGGTTAAATGGATGCATTTACATCTCCCACTAGACCTTTCGCTTGTATATCAATGGAATCATGAAAATCAATCGAGTTAACGCTGCAATTTCCCAGGGACCTCCAAGGGTGGCTTAGGTCCAAGGTCCAATAGACAAACTGCCATAGCGGAGCGAATACAGCGCGATGGACTTTTGGTGCAAATATATAAATTACATATAAATTAATATAAATTACATATAAATTACATATAAATTACATATACATTACTTGGTTATCTTGGTTCTGTGCCAGTCAACAGTGAATTGGATACCCTTTGGAATTTAGCATAGGTATCCATCGTCCATCCCATTGTTTTCTCAATGATGGTCACACTGGATATGTTGGATCATGAGCATTCAGCCTTTGCTAAGGTAAGCGCTTCCCCCAATTTGTTTGGAGTTTGTTGGGGGCTAGTTTTTCTTTGCCCTACCTTGCTTCGGCCACTTTTTCGGGCTGATTAACCACCAAAAACCAGTAATCATGGCGTAGTAATCATCTAGTATTCAGGGCTCTCTGAATTCCCATGGTTGGATTGCCAAAAGGACTAAGGCACTGCATATAAGACATGCCAGCTACTGGTCCATACCCATGTGCTTGTGTAGCAATGTACTCGACTGCTAATCAACACGTCAACCCCATTTACGCTGGTATCTTATGAAACATTATTTATGGATATTTATGGTAAACAACCCAGGAAACAAATCAAAATGGAGGAAACCAACAGAACATGATTTAAAAAATCACCGAGGTTTCCCATGGTGTCCCCCCAAATGGTCGACTTTTTGTTTGGTTTCCCCGTGGGAGGACACCTCCCATGAGCATTTCGACACACATTCGAAGCGTCCGGGCGCTGCCGCGGCCGGCTTGGTCTCCAGAGATTTTATGTCGTCGCTGTCTGCAGAGGTGGGACATGGAGGTTATGGAGACCAAGCCATCCGGGGTTCCCAGTCGTCATCCAGTCGTCATGGTGAAATCATGGCTTACCCTCTGGTAAATTAACATAGCTATGGAAAATCACCATTGTTTATGGGAAAAACCACTATTTCTATGGTCATTTTCAATAGCTATATGTTAGTCATTACCAGAGGGTACTATTGAAACAACCATGGTTTTTATTTTGGGGATCCCAGATTGGCGTGATGAATCCGTGTGACTTTGACTTTGATCAGATGATATCAGATGATATCAGATGTGTTTCCAGTGAAATTGCAACTAACTATTGGGACGTTTGCATTTTTTGTGCAAATCGAAAGAAGACGTGTGTGTACCTCTCGCGATGAAATCTGGCTGACAAGAGGACATGTACACTTTAAACACGAAAAGACCCTTTGGTAATTGAACATAGCTATGGTTAAATGATTTAAATGGCCCATTTATAGATTATTTAACAAGTAGGATTGGCGATTGTCCATAGCTATCTAATCAAATCACAGAGAGTATAATCACTATTCCAGTAATAGTACATTAACATTCCATTATATCGCCATTTCATCCCCATTATATAATCATTAATCATTAAATACTCAGTATCAAGAGGGTAATCTACTTAAGGAGCAAACTTCCCGCGTATAGAGAATAGACATAGGTCAAGATGCATGAGCTTGCAATACATGGAATTTGGCGGATGACAACACGAGTCATAGAGAAACAACATCATTATCAAGAACAACAACGACAACAATAACAACAATAAACACGATAAACACAAGTAATTGATGGTACCTGGTAATGCCTGGGAATTCATGGTACAAATCATGGTCCTTTAGTAACCGGTAAATACGGCAAATCATCAAGCAGAGATACGGATCCAATGGCTTGGTTCTTGGCATCATTTTCTCTGTGCAACTCACCACTTTGGGGACCGGTGTACCCCATTTCTGGACCAAGTTATATGAGCTAATTATGGTCAATACTCATGGTTAATAACCATTAGTAGGGGCTAGTCATCCAATGGTCCATAGGGATTTATAATAACCATTATAAGGATCCTTATTATGGATGGGATGACCATCAACCATATAATGAGTATTGACCATGGCTCATATAACAAGGAGCTGCATTTTTTCGGACCAGGTGGATTCCTTGTTATACAACTCCTTGCCCTTGAACGATGTCTCCAGCAGCCGCCAGAGGCCGCGCGTCGTGAACCCATCTGGTTTTTTTGGGAAAATGGACCGGAAACTATCTGGCTTTCCCCGGAATCCATTTACATGCAACGTCATCAAGACATGGACGTTACCCTCTGGTAATTTAACATAGCTATTGAAAATGGCCATTTATAGTGAGTTTTCCCATTAAAATTGGTGATTTTCCATAGTTTTTTGTATGTTTACCAGAGGGTACCCGGACAATTGTGGAGATTCCTGCCATGTCTCCAGAGAGCTCCCACGTCGTGGACTATCATGGCTACCTCCATAGGCCCGACAGCAAAGCTGCAGTGGAGCCATCTACGCCAGGCAGCAAAATCTGGTGTCTAGAAGACGAATCCAATAATGAGCAATCTGCGGTTCTTGTAAACCAGACCTAGTAAGAGGAGATCAGTCTTGGTTTTCCTGCATGTACATACATATGATATACATATGAATACATATGATATACATATGATATCATGATATCATAATATCATAATTGATAATATATATATATATATAATTATATAATTAGATAATCATAATATATACATATATGTAATTATGTATATATATACATATATATATATGTATTATTTGGACAGTATATCATACATGTGATATTCTTGTATGGCTACAGTACTCAAAAAGCCACGCCTACAACGTAGATGTCTCTCTCACTCTGTATACATACGCGAGATCTGTAACGCGTAATGATGTCACCAATAAGTCTGTTCCCAACCAATGCTGGTCCCCCTGATCATCTTATTTCTTGTGATGAATTTCTTTCTGACAAGTCACGACAACCAAAAAAATGGGATGATAGCACCAGGAGCAGCATCAGCATCAGCTAAGCTGGTGGGTCCCCAACCATCGATCCCACCTGATCAGGACTACATACAGGACTACATTTCGAGACAACATGGCACTGTTGAGTCGTGGATATTCTTCAAGACTCAAAGCTAGTCAAAGCCGTACAAAAACCATATGTGTTAAGTATTGTTAAGTGCAAAAAGGCCAGATTCAAGCAACAAACATGACATACTGAAATACAGGATGTCAAAAGCTTGACATCTTTTGTTGACCAAAAAAAAATCGTTGAACATGACCATATTGTGGGATCAACATGTACAGTAGCACCAAAACACGTTCGGGTTGCTCCAAGCCATAGAAAATGATAGCCACGTTCGGGTGGTAAATGGGTCAGTTTAGCATATTTTATCTCTATATTTACCCTCTGGTAAACTAACATAACTATGGAAAATCACCATTTTCAATGGGAAAAACCACTATAAATCACCATTTTCCATAGCTATGTTAAATTACCAGAGGGTACCCAATTTACCTTCCCAAACATACCTGGTGTGTTTGGAGCCCTGAGAACAGGTGCCGTGGCCTTTGCCGCTCCTTCACCCGGACGGAAAGAGCCGAAAGACCCGAAAGACTCGGACTGGTCCATCCGGAGGCGCCAACGGCACAGGGCAGTGGCTGCGTTCGTGAAAGAGCCCAAATTTGGTGATCAACTATCGGAGGTTGGAAGATTACACTACCCAAATAGGATTTCAATATAGTGATGATCACAATATGATATAAATATATATATATATATATATTATATATATATATGATATATAATGATATATATATATGATATATACTATATTATATATATATATATGATATATTATATCTATATATATATTATATATATGATATATATATATATATGATATATATATATGATATATATATATATATGATATTATATATATATATTATATATCATATATATATATGATATATATATATGATATATATATATATATATGATATATATATATGATATATATATATATATATGTCATATATATCATAATCATAATTATGCCATATGGGAATCCTATGAACCAACCAGGATTCAATGGAATGCCAGAGAGTTTTGAACACTGCTCAGTTCGGGGCAGCCTGGTGAACCTGGCCACTGTTGCTGCGGATGTGGGATGAACTCGAACGTTTGTTTTCAACGTGAAGTGTGAGCCAGGTGGCTACTCTAACCATCTCTAACCCTATCATATTTATCATCCGCATCGGGCATGCAATTGTAAACAATCTCAAAATTTCATCTCAATGATTATTTTCTATCAGTAATCAACATTTAGTATCGGGCATGCAATGTATGGATAGAAAAAAATCATCTCAATCACCATAATTTTCTGTCCATATTAATTAAAGTCCTGCCTGTGTTTTAGGCCGGAAACCCACGTCCTGGGCGGCACCTATACCTTATTTGGTCCACCTCCCCGACCCGCCAAACGGCGCCTTGGCGTCGTGATGGGTTTTCCACATCCGATGTCCCGGAAAAATGCGGCGGAAAATGTGCCAAGTGATGGGGAATTGTTCACTGTAGATTCATTAGATTCCAAAAACAACGTTTTTCGACAATCAGTAAATTGTATTCTAAGGGAATCTATGATGTAGATTCCCCCATATCATCATGCATTCCAAGAATCATCGTAAATGGGGGAATTGTATGTTAAGGGGTTTAAGGGGAATGTATTTACCATGATGATGTGTCCTTCTGAACGCTGAATATGAACCGCAATAAGTGCAACATCACGGAAGATTAACATTATGTGTATGTGAAAATATATTAGAGCACTATGAATCAATGCTTGAAATACCCTAGGATTGGCTTGTATATATATATATATATGTATATGTATATATATATATACACTTTTAATTGTATATATGTAGTGGTATACTAATAGTAGTATTGTGTTTCCTAGTTGGTTCAACTTTGTTCATAATAACCGGACCATATTGTTTGGAACTGGGGGCATTAAATTAAGAATAAGCACAATACGAAGAATTGCGTTTAAAGCCGTAAAGACATGCGGTTGCCACCCCATGGGTAGGTTACCGTCCCTATTCAAACTACTCGAACCCCTACTACGCATGTGCGGTTTATTGCTGTATAGTGCCCAATTACAAACGTTCTTTCTGATTTGGGGGGATCAAGGTGTTTGATAATTTTACATAGCGAATTGTGGAGCTACTAAATATATCTAAATATCATAAATCATCGACGCATGTCATATATATAACAATCACACATATATGTATACACCATGACATATATATATATATATTATATGATATGAGTGACCATGGTACTAAATATCATATATAATTATATAATTATATATATATACCCATAGGATCCATGTATGGTATATATGCTAACATTTGGGGTATATTGATGGTAAATGTTAGCATATATACCATACATGGATCCTATGGGATATACCATGACCATTACTTATTACTGAAACCTGGTGACATCGGGGCTGCCATGTTGATTTTTATCAGGTCAGTGCCATCCACAGGGCCGAAACTGGCCACCTATGAGCGCTGCTTGGATGAGGAATGCGAGTTAAAACGTGGATTTTGTGGACGTTTAAACGTTGAAACATGTTTGAAATGGCTTTGCCACATGACTTTATGTAATTTATGATACTTTATGTGTCTAAGGTTTAGAATGAATCTATCGACTTGATTTGATGTGTTCAGAGAGTGGGTTGACATCCTTGCAACCAGAGAAAAGGGGGTATTTACACATGAGAAACCCACCGCATAAAATATGCCTGTTGAATCTGGGGATATTCTGATACATATTCACTGCCATGATCGAATGCCACCGGGTAACTCTGTCCTATTTCTTTAAACCGTCTGTGACCTGTGCTTCTAGTTTTCCTGCGTGTCCAAGACCTACAACCTTCATCAACATTCAAGGGTTTGAGTTGTTTGTCATTGTTAACCCCGGAGGAGGGGTATCATGATAGTAGCAAGTTGCTACTGGGTATAGTAGCGAACATCCATTTGTTGTGGGGTAAGCCCCCAACTAATCCATTTCACCAACCAGGTGGGCATTACACATTTTGAAGCATTCAACATTTCGAGCTGATCACAAGCCAGAAGTTTACTTGTCATCAATCAAAGGTGGTTGTCACATTCGTGGAGAAACCAGGACATTGAAACACCCCAAAACCAAGGTATTTGCCAGTTAACCCTGACACCCTGGTTTTCACATCATAGGAATACTGCCATTGTGGATGGGATGGTTTGAATGACTAGCCTTAGCAGAAAACAAACCACTCAGTTGGACAATTCCTGTTTTGTAGACGATTCCTCTAGTTGAATCCTTTTGAAAATGCTAGATTTGCATTGTCTGCTTATATTATACCCCATAGTATCCATGTATGGTATATATGCTAACATTTGGGGTATATTCATGGTAAATGTTACCATATATATATATATATACCATACATGGATCCTATGGGTACTGGTGCCAGCTCTTATTCCCAGTCTTGATGAAATCCCCATGTGTTGTGTTTGTGTTGGACCCGCAGCCTACCTGATGTTTGACCCTGGGTCGAGGTAACGTGGAGTTTGTAAAGCAAAGAGAAGCTCGACTGGAGAGCGCTCGGAAAGAACGAGATGACCAGGACACGCTTTGGAAGTAATTGATGTGGCCCAGCCCAAGAAGTACGAGCCGCTGCTAGCCTTTTCAAAAAGGTCCTTGCGGTTCATGTTTTTTTGGTTTTCAATAGATGGTTACTTCCCCAAAGTGGGTGATTGCAGCAAACACCACAGGGTTATGTTTTCTCCAGGAAATAGAAAGAAGCCTAACATGTTTCGAATCTGCGTCTAGGAAAAAAAAACACACGACTGTGTAGATCCCTTCTAGTGATCCAGGTTTACCCACATCATCCCACATCCATAATTGCTTGGAGAACCTTCCTTACTGTTGCCACGATTCAAGGGTGAACAGCACAATCCGGAAATCCGATTCTCTTGGAGACTTTTTGGGTGAGATCCTCAATTTAGGATGTGGCAAATGTGTTTTATCCCAGCCTTTTCCAGCAGACATTGGCTCATCTCTCACGAGGAGAAAGGCCAATTGGTGTCTCCCGCCATCACTGATGGATCCAGAAGGTTGGTGAGCAATGGCTCCCTGGCTGTGGCCCTGCCGATTGAGAATTCCTTTGTAGTTCTATACTGGGAATGGAAAGAACGAAACTCAGAACGGTTCTTTGGAATTCTGGAAATTCTGGAATTCAGCAACATGGGATATAACCAACATTAACCAACATTAACCAACATTACATTGCGGGCGCCCACGAGGAACACTAATTGAAATCCGCCACTCGCCCCACTCGCCCCACTCGCCCTACTTGCCCTGGGCTAGCAAATTAATTGAAATCCGCCACTCGCCCCACTCGCCCCACTTGCCTTGGTAGGGAAATTAATTGACTTTGGCCACTCGCCCCACTCGCCCTACTCGACCCCACTCGCCCTACTCGCCCCACTCGCCCTACTCGCCCGACTCGCCCCACTCGCCCGACTCGCCCCACTCCGCCCCACTTGACGGGGGCAAGCGGGGCAAGCGGGGCAAGCGGGGCAAGCGGGGCAAGCGGGGCAAGCGGGGCAAGCGGGGCAAGCGGGGCAAGCGGGGCAAGGGGGCAAGCGGGGCAAGCGGGCACGCGATATACACTGGCAGGCCCCATTTTGCGCAAATTGGAGCTCCCACCTGATAAACGATAATAGTCAAAATTACTTTCCTCGAGTGGCCCCGGTCAACTGGCATTCTGGTTGACATATATATATATATTGAGATTCTATCGGGCATTCTTTCTGGCATTCTATCTGATATTCTATCTGGCATTCTGTCTGAGATTTCATCTGACATATTGCCTGACATTCTATCTGGCATTTTTTATGGGAGTCTATGTGGCATACATTCTGACATCCTATCTGGCATTCTTGCGGGTCTGTGTGTTTCCAGATGCATGTTTCCCAATGTGACTGAACTTGCAAACATTGGCTCTATCTGGTGGTGCCACTTGCCACTGTCAAGATTAGCGGCCCTTGGCTTACCTGTGCTCTCTGAGCCGGGCTGTCGATGGTATCTCGAGCATACAAAAGTACAATCACAAGGATGTATGTTATAACCCGTACTTGGTTAGGCAGTGGGCCGTATGGAAATATAGAGATTTGGTACAGTGGTTCGAACCAAGCCAGTAAGTAGCGACGCAAAGTGTGCTGGTGTATATAATGTCTTGAGCTGTAGATTGCAGATTCTGTTTGTGATTGGGACATCTTGAAGTCAACAGCGAGATGTCAGGAACTCATCTCCCGGCGACAGAAATTCATCATCTGTACCGTTACCACGACTGCCCTATTTGGAGTCTTTTTTTTGCAGTTTATCTTCACGCTCATGCCCGAGGCCGGGGTTGAATTTGGTGGAGTGATTGTGTCTTTGCGGGCAGGATTGGCATTCAGAGATAACGTGAACTTTAGAACCTTGATTTCGAATCTTGTTGCTTGTTTCAGATGTTTCCGAAAGATTTCGTTTTGAGTCATGTCAGCTTTAGACGCTGCGCACTTTTCGGCTCAAGAGAATCTCACAGAGTCGGGTCAGTGAAACTTGCTCATTCCTGAGAGCACGCATCCATCGCCGGACCAGCGCGCATCTTGTCAAGCTGTTGTGAAGTTGCCAACTTCTGGTAGTCGCTGGGCTACTGTGGAACTTTGCCAGCACTTGCTTCCACGGCCATGCATGGCTTGGGAATATACCTTTGATTAATGCTGGGGGCTTTAGCTGCTCCCCGATGATTTCAGATCAGCTGTCTCAAGGGCCAGGAAACGATTCAGCTTCGTTCGAAAAGCGCAGAAAAAGCCGGCTGGCTTGGTTGTGGTCTGTGTCATGCTGCATGCTGCCATTACTTCAAAACCACACCTGATTTTCGATTTTTTCCCAGTTTTCCAGGTTCGCAGACCGCGCTGCAGCTGTACTGCACCATGGTGTCCTTGTTTGCGTCAAACACCTTCTCATTATTTTCAATTGTTTTTCTCGATTTTCCTGGTTCGCAGTCCTTGCAGCAGCTGTGCTGCATCATGGTTTCCTTGTTTGCATCAAAATTGCCAGTGCCATGTTGACTGTGCCTATTTGCAACTGTCGCTCCCGTTGCGCTCAAGTTTGATCGCCTGAGCTACTGTTGTCCACCTGTGCCGGGAAATTGACTTAAACAAATACATTCGCTGCATTGGCCGCCATGGAAACGCAAGACATAACTGCGGTACTGCCCAGTGGGAAACAGCAGACTGTCACGCTAGCAGTATCAGCCAAGGTTCAGGAACTCAAAGAGATTTTGCAGCGATGCTTCGATCAACAGTTCTTGGTCATCCTGGACGCGCGAGGTGCGGTGTTGCGGGTCGATGGTATGATTCCTTCGGCTGCAAGCGCACACTGCGTTACATGTGTCGCGCGTTTCCCTTGTCTCGCTTCAACCTGGAAAGCCTTTGCTCTGTGGTGTCACAATGACCGTGTAGTGACATGGGGGCATCCTGCCTACGGCTCCGACAGCTCTGGTGTGTGCAAGCGCCTGCGCAAAGTGGTGCAGATCGTTGCCAGCGGCCGCGCTTTTGCCGCGGTGACATCATACGGATCTGTTGTTACCTGGGGCTTGCCGAAGATGGTTGCTGACACTGCAATGGTACGGCAGCAGCTCTATGATGTGAGAAGCGTGACTGCAGCTGCCCAGGGCGAGACACAGGTGCCAAAACCCAAAGCTCATTGAGTTTCTTGTGCCCACTTGGAAAGTCACGCACAAGGAATTGGAGCTCATGGAAAAGAACTTGATTTCGAAAGGGGGGCGCAACGGGGTCCCACCTGCCCAGAAATGCTCTTGGTTCAAAGATGTTGTCCAGGATGGTGACGTGCACCCGCATCCAGGGCCATCAGGACGCAGCCAGCAGATGCAGTTCATGTCTATTAATGTTGGTGGGGCCTCCAACTGCTGGGCGGCGGCCCGATGGGCAACTAAACATCGCCCGCCTGTGGTGGTGGTACAAGAAGTTTGCATGAACACGGCTAAGCAAGCTGACTTGGCTGACTTTATGCTCCGAAATGGTTATAGATCTTGGTTTGCTTGCCCTCCGACCCACGGTGGGGTAGGAATTTTTGTAAGGTTTGATAAATCTGCACACCTCCTCAGAACTCACACCCGTGCCGAAGGTCAAGCGGTCATGCTCCAGCTCGACCACGCCATCCTCATAGGTGCCTATTTAGCGCCTAACTCAGCGGCATGCGACATTGCTTCCACTTTGGATGAATGGGTTGGAGCAACTGGTGAACACACCCCTTTGGTTATTGTGGGTGACTTTAACGAGGAACCTTGTTTTGGGGAAAGGTGGAACCACATAAGCGGATTTGGCGGCACTTGTGCGGTTTGCAATCAGAATGGTGTCCCACAGCCCACGCGGTGGTCTGGTACCCGGTGTATTGATTGGATTTGGGCTTCGCACTTGCTAACAATTGACAAGGTGCGATTTGAAGATGTTTGGTTTTCCGACCATAAGCCCGTTTGTTTTTCTCTGCAATATAGCCAAAGCCATGTTTGGTCCTTTAAGGCAGTTCAAACGAGGAAATGGACGGCGCCGCCAAATGTTTCTTTGCAAGAATGGAAAAATGCTTTAAAAACTCCGTGGTCGGAAGTCACGGTCCCTCCAGTTTCTAATACCAACCAAGAATGGAGTGATTTTTGTCACATTGCGGAGAGAGCACACCTCTCTGCCCTGGAAACCTGCGGGGCTACTGTTCCAAGGCCAAGCCGGAGTAGAAACAAAGGTTCAGAGTTTCAAGTTGAAGCAGCGAATGCTCGTACCTTTCGCATCGCCCAGCAAGCGACTTTCAAAGAACTCCGGCTGCGCAAGCTTTTGGGCCGTATTGCTGAAGCCCAAAACCAGCAAAGCCGTGGCCGCCAGCCACCGGCCATCCTGATCCGTCGTATCTTCTCTCATCCTTTTGTTGTCAGAGAAGGCTTGCAAAGCTTAGGTGAAGCCAGGGAATGGGCACAGCAAGAATTGCGTAGCCATGTCCAAAGCACTCAAACAGAGCAGCTCCAAGCTTGGCGCGAGCGTATGAGGTCCAGTTGCAAAGACGCAGGTCGGTGGGTCAAGAAATGCAACACATTGCCTGTCACTTCTGTTTACGATGATGGTTATAAACAAGGAAAAGCAACCTCTTCTGATCATGAATCCTTAAAGGCTGTTCTTTCTTTTTGGCAAAAAATTTGGGAACGGGACCGGCCCGACCCTGAAGAAGCAGTTGATTTCTGGAAACTTGGTGTTCCCCAACCTTCACCCCTAGCTTGGACCCCTCTCACTGCTGAGGAACTCTTCAGCCAAGCCTCTAGGCTGCGTGGCACAGCCGCCGGATGCGATGGGTGGTCAGGTGACGAAATTGCAGCCTGGCCTAAAGAAGCTTGGGTCATCCTGGTTGAGTTGTTGAACAGATGGTTCTCGAGAAGTGAGGTTCCCACGGTTTGGAAAAGTATTCGGCAAATTTTGCTCCAAAAACCAAACGCTAAGTTGCGTGACACGGATCACGCGTTGCCAGCCAAAGATTTGCGGCCAATTGCGATTCAGAGCGTCATCTGGCGCGCCATTGCCTCTGCGTGGACGCGCAGACCGCAGACGCGAGCTTGGGTCACGAGCTGGGTCCACTCCTCAGCCTGTGGCGGCATCCAGGGGAAAAGTGTTGCTCATGCCGTTGATCGGCTGCTTCAAGACTTTGAAAAGAGACAGGGCGGGGTCCTCCTTTCTTTAGATTTTTCTAAATGTTTCGACACCGTTGATCCCCGAATTGGAATTAAATGCCTTGAGTATCTAGGTTGCCCCAAGGAAATCCTCTTTGCTCTTACCTCAGTTTGGAGCCAGGAAAGGTGGTTGTGTTTCAGAAGAGATTGCCTGCCGCAGCCAGTGCAGGTCGACACTTCGATCCCTCAGGGAGACGCCATCAGCCCTTTGACTCTTCTTGCGGTCCTCACTGGCCTCACAGGCCGGGTGTTGCAAGCAAGGCCTGAACCACACACTTTGGTCACCTTTTTGGATGACCGAAACATGGTGGCTAAAACGCCCGAGCTAGCGGCCCAGTTGTGGGACACCTGGAAACAGCTCTCACCGAAGGTGGGTTTGAAAGAGAACGAAGAAAAAATTCAAATCGTGGCTCGGCAAGCTGCCTTTAAGCCCAGATTGATTGCCGCGGGTTTCGACGAAACTCACATTGTGCAAGGTGCTAGAGTTCTAGGGGTTGATTTTACGGCACGGTGAGGAGCTGCGCACAAGCCTTCTCAAGATGCGAGGCTGCAAGATGCCCGCTTGAGGGTCGAAAGAATTGGACTTCTGCCTGTTACAGCCAGTCTTAAAGCTTTCTTGGTCAGTTCTTTGGCAATTACAAAAGCTGCATGGGGGGCTTGGCTCAAACCCCTCTCTGCCAAACCTTTGTCCACTTGCATTCGAAAAACGACTGGTGGCAGCCATATTGCTGGCTCCCCCAATTTGTTTTACATGCTCTCAGGTCATAGGCTGAACTTAAATTTTGCTGCAGGTTTTGGAGCTTATATTCACTTGGCTCCTATTGTGCGTGAAAACCCACGGCGTTGGCCCAATGCTGCTACCAGAGGTACATGGCTCGGCACGGTCCGTAGCTGGCTCCAAAGTTTGAATTGGCATGAAGAGGCCGCATGGACATGGATTCACCCGGACATTCAATTCCGGCTTGATTGGACACAACCCATTGATGAAAACACCAAACAGAGAGAACACCATGCTTTGCGTGAAGCGTGGCGCAGACAACAGTTTCAACAGTTCTTGTCAAGTGGCCGTCGTGATGCCACTGCTGTACAAGGAAGTGTTTATCAAGAGGCCAGGGCCAAACTCACGCGCCAAACATACCAGTCTTCCAACACTCACTCACGTGCTTGCTTGATTGGTGCCGTTGTTTCAGATGCCCGTTTAGATAGGATTCGAGACCACAACACCGCACCAGCTCCTTGCAAGTGGTGTGCGTCTGGCAATGTGCCAACATGGGATCACTTGGCCTGGGACTGCCCAGCCTTTGCTGCGACCCGAACGTCGCCCCCGCATGATCTTTTGCAGAGAGTGCTAGGTTGGCCAACAGGCCGGAATGAACAGGTTGATGCTGCGATCTTGACCCACTTGGGCTGTGTCCGAGAGCGTGTGCTGGATCGAAGATATCGCAGCAACTAAGGTTCTTGAATTTCTTGGGTCGCAGTGTCTACTTGGCCTGCTGCCTTCCAACTATGATTACATTTGCCGCCCTTCGTCATGATGGGTCTGTCGTCACCTGGGGTGATCCGTCGTGTGGCGGAGATAGGGCCAAACTGAAGGGAGTGACGCAGATTCACAGCACGCATACTGCATTCGCTGCCATTGTGTTGGATGGGTCCGTGGTTGCTTGGGGAGACCCTATAGTAATGGAGGAGACAGCTCGATGGTCCCCGACTTCAAGGCATTGTGAATGTTCAGGGCCTTATGCATTTGCAGCTGTCACGGAGGAAGGGTCGCTTGTCACCTGGGGAAAGGCCACCTTGCGAGGCGATAGTTCTGTGATACGAGAAAGTCCGGCAAGTCACACCCTCTTTGAAAGGGTTCTTTGCCAATGCTGACGGATGTCAAGTTACATGGGTCTGCCAAAGCGTTTGCAGCAGTGCGCTACAATGGATCCATTGTTACATGGGGAGCGCAGGACGGAGGCGGGGACAGCTCCGCAGTGCAATCTGCGTTTGCCACTTTCTAGTTGCAGTGGCCATTAATGTTGCTACTGCAGCTGTGGCAAAATTAGACATCTTCACAAACTTGGACATATGGTATAGACAAACAGGTCTGCGGCACAGCCTGCTATGGTGTAAAAATTTGCGATGGGAAGCTGGGCGCAATGGTAATCTAGTGGTCGAAATAGTCGGGACATCCTCTCAATTCCTCAGATGCACTGTCTGCTGCAGCTGCCCTGCATGCTCAGAGAACCTCATGCTTTTTAACTACAGTGTGGTGTAGCATTTGCTTGTCTGCGCCTATCTTCATCCGTTGGGCTCAAATTTAGGCACGTATTGTCAACCTGTGCTCTCCGAGCCGGGCGATTGACGTAGACATCGTGACATTGAGCTGATATGTACGTAGATGTACGTGTTCATGCTGTGAACAAGATCATCATTGTCATTTACAACCTTGTAGCTCTGCTTTGAAGCCGTGGCCGACGAAGCGCAAGCGACTCGGCGAGCCTTCACCATTCAGGGGCCGCAGATTGCCTTAGCTATGCTGCGAGGTTCCAAACGTATAGAATCTCGGAAGAGGCGGATGGCATCTGACTGGTACTATTTTCACGTTGGCCGTTAGTCAATCAACAGCTTGCCCCCCGAATGTTCGGCCGCCCTGCGCCAGACATGGTCGGATGCGCCAGAGGAAGCTTCTTTGTCCAAAAGTTGCGTGGTTGGGATGGTGTGCCTAGGGAAGGTGATTCACAAAAGCCGAAGTTGGCAAAAGCACCAGCATCAGAAGCCTTGCAGGCCAGCACAAGCCCGCAGAGGGGACCTGACCGTTGCAGTCTTGCCCAACGGCTGGCAGCAGGAAGGACGTTGGAGCTGCTGACAACACTGATGGTAGTGCATTTCCTGAAGATCTGTGCTGCCAAAGTCACACAGTTGCAGCCCAGAGGAGGTCTCTTTGCTTTCCGGGACGATCAGCCGGTGTTCATTCTGAGTGTATGGACAAGCAGAAAAATTACTTTGGCTGATGTGGTTCCATTGAAGCAGGCAACTTTTCAAGGACGAACCGTCCTCAAAGCCAAATACACAGAGACCCGCACATGCAGATGGAGTGAGCTCAAAGATGTCGGCTTACATTTCCAGGTTGCCAACTGTGCGAATGATCGCCGTGGAGCGAGTGGCTTGGCCTCGATGATTTTTTGTAACATGTTGCCATCCTTTAAAGAGAGACCCGCAACAGATTGTTTTTATGTAGCCTTGCATGCCTAGGCTTGCTGTTCCAGAAGCAACCGGGGGAAACACAAGGAGATCAAGGCAGAGCTTTGCGCGAGAATGCAGCTTTGGCAGCTCTCTGGCAGGCTGGCAATGCAGAGCTAGGTTTGGCCACTTCATGCACATTTGATCACTCGGTGCGATCCGTTGTGCCACGTTTGCAGGCGCACCTGGCCGAACGAGCTGCTTCAGGTATTACCCATCACGCGGCCCCACGCGCAGATGAGAGCCGTTCCTTTTGGATTCTGGACCTGCCATTGCCAGTGCAAGTGGATGGTCGCCGCCATCGCTGCCATACGTGCGCGCACTTGCGCATCTTCGACAACTGCACCGTGGAGACACATGATGTTGCTGCAGCCTATCCTGACCTGCCCTGCTGGTGCACTACGTGAAGAAGCAAGCCCCTGTTTTGCTGACACGGCGATTCCTGCTCCATTTGGTGCAGCTGTTCTACGACCGCCTCAACTCTAGGGCAACGAGGCGGGCTTTGGTGGAGCAAATCTGTGGCAATGCTCTTTCCCTCAATGTAGCTGTGCGCATGAAAGAATTTTGCAGTGCAGTGCCCAAATCTGTATCCATCCGCTCCATTCTCATGGCAGCATTGGAAGATTACACCAAGGCAGCTTCACGCGAGATGCAGCGGCTCATCAATGTGTACAGTGGTTCAGTGATCAGAGGAGATGGAAACCAGGATGTAGCAAAAACGATTACAATGTATGATGAAGCAGGTCAGAAAACACACCCATATACGGTGCTCCTAGCTTGGGTCACGGTAGACGGGGCCTTGTTTCAGCCTGTAACAGCAGCTGAAACAGAAGACTGGGTCGACTTGCAACCTGATCTGGATGCTGTGGTAACCAACCTGAAACAGGACAGGCTGGCATCAGGCCTGTCCTTAGCTGAGGCAGCCCCAGTAGCTCACGCCACGGACAGTTTCAGAAAGCAGCGATTGCTGCTTGATGCATTTTACAAAAACAAGTACCCCAAGGAGCAAGAGGTGGAGGCGTGTCTCCAACCATCGTATGCGGAGATCCGCTGCATGACCAGTTGGCGCTACAGCGCAAGGTAAGTGCAGCGAGTCCAGATGCCCCATGCCTCATTGCTGATCACAAAGACATCCTGCAGCGGTTGTCCTTGAAACCAAGGGTGGCAGAAGATGTTCCACCTGTGCTCTCTGAGCCAGGTCTTTTCCTTGAGCTTGAAGAGGTCCATCATCCTCTATTGAAGTCGGTGGTTGAAGATCTACAGGACCGTATTGCTGCAGCACAGGTGATAAGAAATCGCTTCTTTCTTGCTTTGTTCTTGCTTGGACAGATTTGGACAGATCGGACAAGTTTGTGAAGCACGGCAGAGAAATATTGATCTGCTATGATCTGCTCGTCGGTTCCCCATACCGGATGTCCACTGCTGCACTGCATGATCTGACTGTTGCCAGCTATTCGCCTATATGTGCCTCTGTTGCCTTTGTTTTGGTTGAAAACTCGGGTCGACTGAATTAGTTCTGTCTACCTGTGTTCTCGGAGCCGGGCAATGTCAGGACAGTATATCATTGAGTCATTGAATCTATTAATGCAACACAATCACACACACACAGCAGCATCAGAGTCACCCTCTTAAAGCCTCTAGCCCTATGTTAATGGCAACGCAGCGCCCTTTCTGCTGACGCCGCAAGATGCCTTCCCACGGTGATGCTGGGTATGGAATTTGGCTGGGCAATTTTTATTGTGGTGTGCGATCCATGGCTCCGTTTGGTGTGTGGCTCCCTTGGCAGGAGGGTGTGACCTTAGCTGCAGCCTTTGGCTTCACAGAGAATGTATGCTTTGAATGTGCTGACACCTGGTTGCAGCTGGATGCTCTGGAATTTGACCCTCCAAGGCGGTCTGGAGATGGCAGCGGCCGGGCAGATGTGCAGCGGATTCGCTTGCTCTACAAGCCTGATTTACACGGAGATGATGGGCTCGTTATAGTTTCCTCTGACGAGGAGGATGTCATCTCCCCGCAGCATGCTCCACCAGACGTATGTACATAGACGCTGGCGTTCAGGTGCATTAGAGCCCCATTGCGGGTGTTGAAGTTGACCTTGCATTGCCGCGGGCGCTGGATGAGCAAAATGTTCGTCTCTTGCTTGTCTACTGGCACCTGTACAGTCAAGTTGATCAAGAACGTCCGCCTGAAAATTTGCCGCCAGACATTCCGCTATGGGCTTGGGAGTTGTTTTCAAAACCAAGATTTCATTGGACTGAGGCTCGGGTTCAAGCGTTGCAAGAATCTTGTTTGCAGACGCTGCAGGCCGCAGACCACAAATTATCCGTACCTGATTAGCGCCGCGCTGGCTTCGTCCACTGCGACCTGTGGGTCTCAATGGCATGGACGATATTGTGCTCTCAATCGCAAGAAACTTCCAGAAAGCAGTCCTTTTGTACACTAGGCCAAGCAGTTTTTGATAATGTCGCGAGGTTAAAAAATTCGCTGCGCGCTGCAGAAGTGTTGAAACTGAGAGATGTGGAGGGCATGTGAACATTTTCACATTGTTCCGGCTGTCCACGCAGCGCAGCATGAGAGCCAGTTTGGTTGCATGGAGTCGATATCACGCTTGGGACTGCAAAGGCAAATCCGACAAATATGACCATGATACCACGCATTGACAAGTGCTCTCCGGTACCCAAGCCGCGCCATCAAGTTCAAGTTGTAGGAGTTAGCTTCCTAGACATGGCCACGTGTGAAGTTTGTGGAGATGGTTTCGCAGACGATGCGGAAAAACACTTGTGCTCCCCGAGCCGAGACTCTTGCTCGCACGTGTGCCACGCGGATTGCTTGCAGCAATACCGATTAAAGCAGGGCTGCCCTATGCATGACTGCCCATTCTGTCTTCAGAATGAAGATTCCCAGGAAGAGGCTGATGATGCCGCTTTGCAAGAGATGGAGATTGAGGCAGCAATGGAAGCAGAGGCTGTGGCTGAGGGGGTAAAAAGAAAGACCAGAGGACAACGCAGCCCAGTGCCGCCCACCCAAAGGTCCCCAAGCCCAGAAAGCCCTCCCTTCACACAGGGTGGAAGTGAAGCAGCCCGCTTGTCCATTCCAAGCTTTGGGATTGACATCTACGACCTGAGTCGGACCAGCAAGGCATCTACCACGGTGAAGGATCCTATGCACGACGCCATGTCGGAGTACTTGGCTTGCAGGGATGAAGCACAAAGCCTTTCGTTGCTTCACACCAAGAGCACATATCAAGGGCTTGGAAGCCCAGAGGCTTCTTATCAAACCGTTCTGAATGCAGCCTTGAAAGACCCCAGGGACCACCACGCTGTGGCATCAGACTTTGCCTTCAGAACTCGAGAAGTGCTGCCCGTGCCTTTCGAAGTCAGCTTGAAAACCATTGCCCGCAAGGAAGGTTGGGAGCCTGAGACATTCATGGCGCCTATCCTCAGCAACATTGGTTGGATGGAGCATCCATGCAGGCACGCGGCTTCGATTGCAGCCTGATGAGGAGCACCGACGTGGCTGCGTAGTCTAGATTGTTTGCGCAGGTGACCCCAGCATGCGCAAGAGTTCTTTGAAGGATTTTACCAGCAAAAAGCTTCTTTCCCATGCAGATGTCCCTGCTGTCATCAAGGCAGGTGGCGCCACATGCACGGATGCCACCATCAAGGGTATTCGTGCTTCCATCAAAGAATATGCCCGAGCTGGCATCATTTCGGATGAGATTGCCACAACAATATGCCGTGACATCCGGGAGGGAGACCCGACACTCAGGTCTGCATTACGGCAACAAAGAAAAGATGTGCACTTGGCTGAACTGCGAAGATGACAAGACAGTCACTGGAGATGGTGCCACGGCGCTGACTCATTACACCCAAGTGTATGGACTGGTGTCGCTTTGTGAGTATGTGCTCCAGCCGACTGCAAGCATGTTTTCCAAGAGAATCCATGCGACGTGGCAAACAAGGCCAGTGACAAGTGACCCTGATCAGCAGAGCCAGTCCAGCAAAGAGTTCCTGATTGACTTCTTTGGTTGGATGGGGCGCGTGGCAAGCAACCAGGACAAAGACCACTATTTTGACAAGTTCGCCTTGCCCGTGCTCAGGAAGGCTTTGCAGGGAATCTCCGACTTCTTTCACGAGAATCACGAGAATGTAGAAGAACCAATCTAACAGAAGCTACGCTATGCTGACACAGATGTGGCTCGGTACGCTAATGCAGCCATGCGTTGCAGGCAGTATTCTGAGGCCCGCTGCGCGTTGGCCCTTGATAGGATCATAGATGAGTTTGCCGTTGAGATGACCGTCTTCGATTTGTGACATGCCTTGCATATCTGGCGTCGCCAAATGTGCTTGTGGTTTGCCTTCTATCGCTCCAAGCAAGTCCAAGCCTTGGTAGGCCCCAAAGCCGTGCCAGATGTCAAGACCCCAGGACTTGCAGATTTGGATGCCAAGATGAAATTGCAGCGAGTTCATTCTGTCCAATCCTCGATGTGCTGGTCCAACCTCCACTGCGCACATTCGCTCTGTTCTGAAGTACCGCTTTCAGAAGGAGAAAGAGGAAAAACCAGCAAAGTACGTCTTGGCAGCAGTCAAAGACCTCTTGAAAGTTGGCATCTTGCAAGAGGTTGACAAGAAGGAAGTGGAAGAACAGGCGCCCAAACTTAAGGACAAGAAAAGCGCCAAGAGCAAGGAGGCCACGCTAAAGAGCGAGCCACGAGGCCCGCCAGGTGGCCACGCTGTCCTGTACTACCAGACATGTGCCTGGGAAGACCTTTTGACTAATTCGGAAGCTCAAGACATGATTGCCAAGCTGCAACTGAGTGCCAATGATTTCAAGTAGGATTCCAGAAATACGAGGTCTTGCACGGTCCCATGTCTAAACTGTCAGCCCAAAAAAGAGTGACAATGTGCTCCAAAGCACTTGTTGTATATAAGTCTTGTTTCCAAAGATACGCGTCAATAATGGTGCGATTCCCCGAGCGTGTTCCTGACCCTACGAGGTGAATGCTTTCAATCAAGACGGTATGGTGGCTGCAACATATTGTGCGTCAATTTCAATCAACCCACCCATTTTCATGACAAGACATTGTGGTGTGAAGATCTTACATAGTGGTTCATCATCGTGTCCAAAGCCACATTCAAAACAGTCTGCTTGGCCTTCTAGTGTTCAATCGTGTGCGCCGGTGGCATGAGATTGACAAAGGCCCAATCTACTCTTTTTGAGGCAAAGCGGACAGCCAACACCGCGGCTCCAAAATAGTTTGTGCGGCGCATGTGAAGCCACTGTTCGCTGAACATAGCCGTTCGAGATGTTGAAGCAAGACACATGTTTTATTTTGTTCCTGATCAAGTCCAAGAAAGAATTGAAACTTGCACCTGTTTATTCTGTTTTCTACCATTTCTGTTTTCTACCATCCTTTCCGACTGCGATATAATTTTTCTGCTGCATGGGGGAATTAAAGAAGACTCACGGGAGTCCTGTCCACACCGATCATGTCGCTGACTCCTGCGTCTGCAGGTGCCGATGCTAAGTGGCACCAGGACAATGGCTTCTACCTTAGGGATTCAGCAGATGCTGATGCCAGCATGCGTGATGTTGGTGCGCAATCAAATAGAGATGGCACAATAGTCCACTCCTCACTGTGACCATCGGGTCTGTGGTCCCGCGGGGCACGTGCACTGCGCGTCGGTGCGCATTGCCGGAATGGCTGGAGGTTGCTTCCGGTGATGCTTGATGCTTAATATCTTAATGTCACATTGGTGTCATGTAATGTTCAACGCAATTTTTCTAGGACATGTTTAAACATAGTCGATCTTTGTTTGGTCTCATACAGACCTTGTACAAAAGGATCTTGCACAGCAGCGCCTAGAAAGAACCTGTCAAGGAGATCTTGCACACGTCTTCTACAAAGGGAACTTGCAGAATCCAATCTGGTATTGTTGCAACGGTGTTTGGAGTCGCCACTTAATCCCCGTCGGCCGCTCCACTCGCCCCACTCGCCCCACTCGCCCCACTCGCCCCCCTCGCTCCACTCGCCCCACTCGCCTCACTCGCCCCACTCGCCCCACTCGCCCCACTCGCCCCACTCGCCCCACTCGCCCCACTCGCCCCACTCGCCCCACTCGCCCCACTCGCCCCACACGCCCCACTCGCCCAAACATTCCATTCACGTTACCACCTCTATTCCTTTTTCATACTGCTGTGTGGTGAAACCAAAGCAAGCGGGGCAAGCGGGGCAAGCGGGGCAAGCGGGGCAAGCGGGAAGAACCACCGATCTTCCCTCGGTTTGCAAGTAGGGCAAGCGGGGCAAGCGGGGCAAGCGGGGCAAGCGGGGCAAGAAGGAGGAAGATTCACTTATTTTCCCTAGAAGCGGAGCAAGCGGGGCAAGCGGGGCAAGCGGCAGAAATCACTTAGCGGCCCCGCGGGGCACCCACACTGCAACATTAACCAACATTAACCAACATTAACCAACAAATAACAGCCTCAGCAAATCTCAGTGGATTCAATCGTTGAGGCTACTCTCCCCCATGGGATGGCAAGAAAAGCACGACCCACTCCTGTCGCGCGCAGAAGGTGGGACATGGTCTGCCTTGTGACGGGCAAAGATTCCAAGTACCCTCTGGTAAACTAACGTAGCTATGGAACATCCCCATTTTTGATAAGTAAATATCAACTATTTCATACTATTTCTATGGCCATGTTCAATGGCTATGTTGAATCACCACAGGGTAGTGGGTATATGTGCGTAATGGGTGATCTTTGGGTTCATAGTAAGCGGAGCTATTATAATTGATGTGGCATGAAGCTGAGGGCCTGGACCATGCTACTTCAGCTACCACATCTCTGATCATGGTTGACTCACCAGTTCCAACGCCACCGGGACAACCGACAAAGAGCCATCAACTTCTAATCTCATGTGCGTTTCCATCTTCCTGAAATAGTGCTCCATTTCCTGAGAAAGTGTTCCATATACTCTCTGGTAAACTAACATACCTATGGAACATCGCCATTTTTGATGGGTAAATCAACTATTTCTATGGCCATTTTCAATAGCTATATTAGTTTACCAGAGGGTATTTTCCATAGATGTTCCATTGAATCACTATAAAATCCCATTAAATCACTATAAATCCCATTAAATCCCATTAAATCCATAGATGTTCCATAGATGTTCCATAGTGCCATAGATGTTCCATAGACGTCCATCTCCAGCCTCCAGGTGCTGAAGGATGCCTTGGAGTTGAAGGCGCAGGAGGAGGCGGAGCACACCTTCCAACCCGCCATCAACCAACGCAGCAAGGCCATCTTCAGGCGAGCAATTGGTATGGAAATCATGTTGGGATATGATGGGTATATATCATGATATGATATGATATGATATGATTATGATATGATATGATATGATATGATATGATATATATATATATATATATATTATATAATATAGGGTGAATTATATGATTGGTGATATGGATTTAGTGGGATTTAGTGGGATTTATATATTTGAATTGGCATGCGTTTGATGATTCAACCAACAGAGATTAATGGGGAGTTTTTCGTGGGGATACAACTGATACAACCGATACAACCAGCAGAGGATTGAGGGACCCTTATAGCATGTTTAAGCCGAAAAATGTGGATTTAGATGGATTTAAATGTTCACAGACTGTGGATGGTTGCGAATTCCGAATCACCAGTTGAGGACGGTGGGATAAACTGACACCTTTTTTTTTTTAGGGTTTCAACTATCCGGTTGGTGGTGCAGGATTTCGCAACCATCCACCGTAGGGATATGCTGGGTGACATCCTGGTATTGAATGGGAAATACCGCTGCATCCAGGATTAGTACACCACCAGCTTACTGATGTTACTAATGGGAGGGGGTTGGCATGATATGAGGATATAATATGATGTTATATATATATGGCCGCGAGTCAAAATGTAAAGCCCCGATCCATACCCTGAACCCACAGGCCGATCCATACCCCCGATCCATACCAAAACGCAGGTGATCCAGACCGTTCCATACGTCTGGATCACCGCGGGCCGATCCATACCCGAATTTTGACGCAACCCCATATATACAGTACATACTAGGAATATAGTAGGATTCAGATCTAGCCATATTTTTTGTGTTGTGTTTGTTTTTTTTTTCAAAAATGGGGCATATTCCAACGATCTTTCTGACATCGGGAAACATGATGGTAACCATAGGAGTTTGAGTACCTGGTTTTCAGTCAAACATGTGGGGATTTAGCTCTGAACAAACTGTTTGATGTAGGGTAAAATCAATGTTTTTTCTGTGCCTATGCAAACATGGGGATATGAACAAACACAGGTGGAAACTAGAGGTACATCCCCTGAATATGTTTGATGGCCATGACCAAACCTACTTGTTGCTTCTGATACACTTTGGGTTCCAGATTGTTTGATTACATACACAGCTCATGATTCACACTTCACAAGTAGAACCCCAATAGAACCATCAAGTAGAAACCATTTCGGGACGTTGTCAAGCCTTGATTTGCCTTGATGCCATATGACACTTGTAGATGGTGATTTGCTGGCTACCAGTTGGTTGCTACATGATCACTTGGTACAGTAACTGTTGCATGTTTCTTCAACGCGAACATGTTGTAGGTTCTACAGCCCGGCTGAGATCCATCCATGGTAGTTGTGCTGTCAATGAAATGGCTAAATCGCTGGTACCTTTGTAGATTGATTTGGCCATGTTGCCATGTTTTGGAATGTTCTCTTTCACAGGTCTTACAGAACCGTTGACCGTTACCTTTAACTTGTGGATGGGCCAAACCTATACTGTCATATTTGGGGGTCTGAACATGCAGATACACTATTTGGCAGGAAGCTCTTTTGATGTATTTTAGTTGTTTGACCCATTGCCCCAAAATCTCAGCTTTTATATGCGTTCATCAGGTTTCCGCATCCATATAAATGACCACAAATGGGGGTAGTACCCCCCCTATATTATGCCCCCTATTTGTTTGACATTGTTCTATGCGAAAACAAAGAAAAACAACACACAAACACCAGGATGCTTCAGGTTTCATAGCGACCTGAAAATCAACTTTGTCTGAAAATATCCATGGCCATTTCAGGAACCTAAATTGGAGGTACCTACCATATATAAGGCCTATATAAGGCCTATGTAAGGGAATATCCCCACAAAATATGGCCTTATATGGTTCAGTACCTCCATTTTAGGATCCTGAAATTCCCATTGAAAATAGGGTACCCCATTCCATCACATGGTGGATATTTTACATGTTTGTTCCATATTGAAATCTCTACAATGAAGGGTGCGGTTGATGCCATTTTGAGACAAGCCCATTTCCATCACATTCTTCATCAAAAATCCATTAAAAAAATCACCCTGAAATAGCTGGTTGTATCTCCATTTCCCTCCTTTCCTCTTTCTACATGGTGGGTTCAGAGCATCTCCCATCGCTCTGTAGGCATGTCATCAACACGGGACAACCGTGGCATGATCGCGTTCACGCGGGCGATCGCCCGGGCAAACCTCCCGGAACCAAGGCTCTGTCACTCGACGAGAGGTTCACCGTGGTTCACCACTTGGGGGTGGTGAATGATGGGATTTAGTATGATTAATGGGATATTATGGGATGATAAATATATATATATATATGTATATGTATATATATATATGTATATATATATATATGTATATATATATGTATATGTATATATATGTGTATATATATATGTATATGTATATATATATATATGTATATATGTATATATGTATATATATGTATATATATATATATGACCAACCGTATAGGAAAATTCGGATGAATTGTCTGCGACGTCGGAAATAGTCGTTCGGATTGGGATAGCTATTTCAACATGAGGCAAAATGGACGTAATTCAGGTTGATGAATTATTGCAAGGTAGCCAGATCGATCATTTAATGACCGTTTGCTCCAGATACCCTGGGCTCAACTAACATATTTTGTTTTTTCAAAACCTATACTTTCCTTTAAGCCTCAGGAACATGATTTGGGTTTGCCATATCTATGTTAGGTAACTGGAGGGTAGATTGGGGTAGCTTGTGATGAATCCCTCATTCAGGGGATGTGGAGCAAAGCGGTTCTTGCTGCTCACCTTGTGTCATTGACTCAGAATATCTTGGAATCTTACAATATCTTCAAGCATTGTGGTTTGAATCATGGAAGCCGGCCAGTTTCCATCCTCAATACCGACCATTTTCACTGAAAGCAACATTATATATTATTTATATAATGAACTGGGCCACTTTTCAGATTTAAAATCTCATTTGGCTATGGCAACAGGCTATCCCATATGCTCCATGGTATCTTTACATTTGGATGATTCTCTTGGGGCGTTGGGATTCATATATTCCAGCACTATGCTTCGCGTATGGTTCGCATATGGTTCGCATATGGATATGGCGGTGGCAACATGGCAGTGGCAACATTAATCATTAACCATTAACCATCATTAACCATCATTAACCATCATTAACCATCATTAACCATCATTAACCATCATTAACCATCATTAACCATCATTAACCATCATTAACCATCATTAACCATCATTAACCATCATTAACCATCATTAACCATCATTAACCATTAACCATCAGAAACCATTAACAGCAGTTTCCCGTTTTGGATCCCGTAAAGGACCCCGGAAGAGCAGCAGCACAGCTTTCAGCCGGAGATCTCTAGAAAGGCTCAACAACTCCGTCGCGGCGCGGCAGCAGTCGAGTCAGCGGGGGAAAAAGGTCGTTTTTTGGGGGACAGAAAAATCAGAAGATCTGAGAAAAACCATGGAAATTGAGATGAAATCCATTGCTTTCCCTTGAACATCTTGAACATGATCTGCAAATCGTCGATTTTCATCGATGAGTAGGATGTCAGTTGAGTGGAAAAAAACCTGGAACCACCTGCAAGAATCCCCGGTAGAGGACACAGCCTGGTTGCTCTTCATTTGCTAATCATTTTTTGGGGATCTTTTTCTTGCCTGAATGGTATGGTATGTGTGTTTATTTCTGATGATATTCTCAACATTCTCAGGTCAACTTCACTGTTTGTTCCTTTTTCAATCCACTTGTCACTTACGCTTGTGGTAGACTGATTGTCCACTTGTTGCAATTTGGTTGCGCATTTCTTGATTAATGTGTGTGTGTGTTGTTTCTATCCCTCTCCAGCGTCCAAACAAATTCAGTTATGTTAATATAATATACAGTGCAGTAATAAATATATATTATTGTGTACAAACACACAGGCTATATATATATGATTATACACATATGCACACGTACATAAGCTACCAACAAAAACACATAAACCATAAACTTCTATGATATATATATAATGATATAGTTATATTCATACATTGTATAAGTTCTATATTAATCATTAATATCAGTCCTAAGCTACGTCCGAGGCGAAGGTCATGTGTCGGAGCGCCTGTACCGCGGTGAAGCCAAGGCCGGGCCAGAATCTGAGGCGCCATTGGCGCCCAGCAAAATTGGGGGTTTCACTGTTTTCACCATAGAAAAAGGGATTTGAACAAAATTTGAACAGATCAAAATTCTATAAAAATCCTATTGATTTATACGTTGGATCGATCCAAAATTGAGATGTTAGCTTCTATCCTTCTGAGATACGGCATGTTTCATGGAGGAAAACTTATGATACATTAATACACCACGGGATCTAGAGGTTTCCCAGCATTTTCAGACAAGCCCATAGTCACCAAGCAAAGTTGTTTTGCGACCAAAAGTATCCAAAAGTTATTTCAAGATGTTTTACTACTAAAACAACATATACAATCTATTGTATGGGGTATAGTGTGGCAAACTACACTTATATCTTTCATCCCCCCAAAATGTGCCTTGACAAACATGAACTTTGGCCAACATTTCATGGGCTACCCAGTGACAACTGCACGGTAGGGGTGCCTAGGAAAACTTTGACTTGATGTGGAGAGTCTTCCAACAGAAGTCACAAGACTATGGGAATGAATAGTAGTTGGAGCCCATCATGGACGCTTTGCATTGGCAAATCTATCAGACAATTGGAATTTGCCAAAATATCCACAGCTATGGAGTTAGTTTCGGGAAAGGTCAGCAATGCGGTCCCTGGGGATGTTCATGTGTCACATGGATGAACGCATGAAATGTGTTTGGTGTAGATGGTTCCTAGCTGGGTACATCCATGATGTTGCTAATGATTGCAATGTTGGTACTCTGATTGGTATTGTTGTTCGAAAATTCTACTGTGTCTTCAGTGTTTGTTCGTTACATGAAATCCTATTTGTGTTTGTTAAGACAGTGTTTTCTGTGTTTTTGTCCATTATGTATTATTTTTGTTGTTGGTTTTACCCTGTGGTAATTTAACATAGCTATTGAAAATTGCCATTTATAGTGGATTTTCCCATTAAAAATGGTGATTTTCCATAATTCCCTGCTTCGCTGAGGTTGGCAAAGACCAGATTGGAAATGGCCGTGGCATCCATGCTCGAGTGTTCAATGAGGTGGCTAGACTTTCTGGGGGGCGCTGCATGGGGCTTGGTGCTCGACCGGAATCCTTCGCCGGTGGTCGAGTGCCTTTGCCGTTGTGAGTGCGAGGCGTTGCCTTGCCCTGCGTCTAGTTGGTGGTGGGAGCTGCTTAAGATTGGGATCAGCATCATTCTGGGTTGTATCATCCAGGGCTGCCAGTTGATTCATCGCTTGGGGCAGTGGAAGAGGCCTCACGCGGTGAGTGACCCAAGCCTTGGGCGAGCTGAGACTGAAGTGAACCCGACCAAGAGCTCAACTGATACAATTCCAGTGGAGGTGCTTGCTCAGCAGCAATTGCAAGCCCTCCGGAAGAAGCAGTCATCTAAGCAGTGATCATGGCCTTGTCAGAAGGGACTCGAGTTTTTCTTTGCTATGATCTCCCCCCTCCAATTTTGTGGCATGAAAGGCTGATCCTGGCCACTTGTGCTTGTGGACGTGGCTGGCACATCATCTTGACCCCAGACGGGGACATGTACCCCGAGCTTATTTCTTTGGAGAACGATGACATCACTGGATTCCGTGTTTCCCACAATGGCGAGCTTCCACATGGCCTCACAGATGCCATCTCTTACCGCATCCGTCAGCTGCCTGATGCGGCAGCCATGCAGCAATTGAGGCTGGATGCTCGTCACGCTGCAGCCGCCTTAGCCTTTCCTCCTGGGGCGGGGCCTCAGGTGGCCGCGCCACCCGTGGCTGCCCCTGCGGCAGTAGCGGGTGACGCTGCCCCCGGCAATGTGACTTGGGTTGTGATTGAGACAGAGGGCAACAGGCAGCGTGGTGAGACAGTTGGTTTGGATGGTAGTGAGATCATCCAAGGCAATATCGGGCTGAAGAATTTCAATGGGACATGGGCTGCCATTAGACGCCTTCAGGCTGATGAGGTGGAGAAGTATCCTGGGAAAGAGGCTTCGGCAGACGCGCGTTTGTTGGGCTTGGAATTTCAGGGCCTTTCTCGTGATGAGAGGATTTGGAGAGATGTGGCAAAAGATTCAAAGCAGGAGGACCTTCCTGACTGGACAGTTCCAGGACCAAGGACGTCTGGCTGGTGTGTGAAATATCTCAACAGAAAAAGTGGTGGGCCTCCAGATCACCACAAGTGGTGGGTTTCAACGAATGGGCTGCAAGCAGATTCATGGGGAGTGGCGGAGCATGAGAACCTCATGAAGATTGTGGATCGCTTAGGGCGGTATGACGGGTTGGATCTTGCGAACCTGGCTGGCGTTGAGCTCCTTTTCAGACGCCTTCAGCTGATTGAATATTTTTGGTCAGAGAAGGGCCCTGGAGGTGGCAAAGCTGGTGGAAAGGGGAGCAAGGATAAAAAGTCAGACGATTTGTCGTATCGTGCAGAAGCTGCTGTATTCAGTGGAACTCATCGCGAATACGGCGATGTGATGATCGCTCCGGATCTTTTGGAATACGTATCCAAAGAGATTGAAAAGGATGCTTCCATTATGAAACAAGTCCGCAAGGCCCGTGAGGAGCGGGCCGCTGCGTCAAAATGAGCAACGGGAAGCATCCTGGTGGGTGCAATGGACGCTCACCACCTCAGCGCCTCTTGGGGCGTCCTATGCAAGGACTGGATCGTCAGCGCGGTGTTTTCCCTTTGCCCGTTCTGAAGAGTGAGTCCGTTGATGTACAGAATCTTTCAAGGGCCTGTTCCCGACGTGTGAAGCAGAGGGATAGGGTCGATGATTGGGTGAACGATATTGTTTCTTCTCTCAATAGCATGTATTTAGGTGAAGAATTGATGGCTGATTTTGATCCGGCTTGCAAGCCGAACCTTGCTCAGCGTAGGTGTTTGGATAGGATTCGCGAGTCGGTTTTGAAACTTGGGAAGCCGCCAAGTGATTTTTCCGGTCAGGGAGCCTTGTCGGAGCTCCGGGCCTCAATGGGCTATTCTGGAGAACCAGCTAGCCTTGCCAATTTCCGTTTTGACCTTGTGTCATTGCCCCCCACAGCTGGATCCCCTTCTTCTTTGGAATCCATTTTGGGCAGTGAGGGTGCTGAGATTTTAATGGGAATTTTGCGTAGTAAGATTTTAGATTCTTGCGATGTGGGTGCGAAGCTTAAGGGGAGTAATCTTAAGAGACCTTACTATGATCCCTGTCTTAGGAAAAGGGGAATTGAGTATCAGCAGTTCGTTCGTCGTCTTCACAATGCCAATCTGATCGACTTCCGCCTGTCCATTCGAGAAGAGGCCGGCCTGTTTGTGGTTTGGAAGAAATCTGGTAAACAGCGGCTTGTTGTGGACGCACGCCGGTCCAACTGTTGGTTTGATTCCCCGTTGCCTGTTAAACTTGCCACTGGTGGTTCATTTGCCCAGATTGAAGTAGATAACGCAGGTCCCATTGAGCTTGCTGGCATAGATATAGCGGATGCATTCTATGGCATCGAGCTCCCACATGAGTTTAGAGACTTATTTGGATTGGCACCTCTCACTGCCGATCAAGCAGGCATTTCTGAAGTCCAGGGCAGAGCAGTGCACAGACAGCAAGTTGTGTACCCAGTGTTCCGAGTTGTCCCCATGGGATGGACCCACGCCTTGTGGGTTTGCCAGCAGTGTCATGAACATGTTGTCAACACAATTGAATCAATCCCTTCTAGCTTGAGATTTCATGATGGCGCCCCTATCCCCGCACTTAGGCCCCTCATCCATACTGAATATGTCGATAATTACGTCGCCATTTCTCAGGTCCCTGGTGCAGCCGGAGCTTCAGCCCGTGAAGTTGAGCGAAGTCTCAATGAACGAGGCTTGCCCACTCATGCTGTTGAGGAAGGGGTTGGGGGTGAAACTCTTGGTTGGAAGTTTGGCGATAACAGCGCCGAAGTAACCATGACTCCTCGTCGTCTTTGGAAACTGAGATTGGCAGTTGTTGAGCTCCTCTCTCAAGGGTGGGCGACGGGAAAGTTGCTTGAAAAGATTGTAGGTCACCTCACTTTTGCATCGTTGCTTCGCCGTGAGCTGTTGTCATGCTTCCAAGCCACATATGTGTATATAAAGAAGTGCTATCATGTCCATAGTAGAATTTGGCCACAAGTTGTGCGTGAGTTGAAATGGGCTTGTTCATTGCTTCCATTGGTTTGTCGAAACATGGCAGCCCCATGGTCCTCTGAGGTGCTCGCGACTGATGCGTCACACTGGGGCCGTGGGGTAGCCAAGTTGAAGAGTTCAGTTGAGAGAGGGTCAGAGCCCAGGCTCGTGTTCAAGACCGGTGGCGATTTACTAGGGAGCAAGAGTCACTAGTCTTGAGCAGCCACGACCTAGACCCTTTAATCCATGCACTCACCAATAATGACGATCCTTGTTCGGATGATGCACCTCCCAATAGTGATAACTTAAAATCTTTGCCGGTGCCAGAGCTTGATGTTGAATTCTTGGCCGGTCCTTGGACCCGTGTGGAAAGCCGTCCATGGATTCGGCATGAACACATTGTCATCCTCGAAGGTCGGGCTTTGGTCTGGGCAGTCCAGCACCTGGCCAGGAGTAGTCGCAATCATGGGTGTAGGTATTTGTTGTTGTCAGATTCCATGTCATGTGTCCTTGCTTTGACTAAAGGTAGGGGTAGCAGTAGTGGCATGAATAGGATCTGTCGACAGATTGCAGCCTTGTCTCTTGCTTGTGATTTTCACTTGTTCTATCGCTGGTGCCCTTCGGAGCTCAATCCTGCCGATAAACCTTCCCGAAATAAGATTTTAGGTGATTATAACATTTGGGATAACATTGATGAGCTTGTAAATGCTGAAGCGTGCCGTGAATCACGCCATTCATGGCGACGGCAAGCGGCAGCGTTCTATGCCGGGTGCCGGAATGGTGGAAAAAACTGGGAGTGCTGTGCCCGCCGACGGGCTGAGATTGCAGGCTGGCGGGAACCGGAAGCAGCAGAAAGTGACCAAAGCTGCAAACCGGATAGCCCAGCATGGGAATCAACGCCTCCCAGCTCCCAAGGACATTCACACCAGAACATTCTTGGAAGAAAAGACTATCACGATACCCCGCATGAAATCATACGAAGTGGCTTGGGAAAGACTCACGCATTTTGCCAAACAACAGAAGTATCCAATGAGCACATTGGAGCAGGTGGATGCGGCAGCAGCTTGGTGGATGGATGTCTTGTTCTTCGAAGGGGAAGGGGTGTCCGGGGCAATGACCATGATGGCAGCAATCAAGCACATGAGAACAGATGTCCCTCGCTTGAATGCCCTGGTCAGATGCAGCAGGGCTCTCCGATCCTTTCGTCGTCTTGCACCACCCCAGGCCAGAGTGCCAATTCCGTATCCAATGCTTGCCCAGATGATCATGCACATTGTCAGCCAGCTCAACCAGCCAATGGTGGGGGTGCACCTTGCCCTCACTTGGAGCCTGTGTTGCCGCCCCGGAGAATCCCTGAAGTTGAAGTACCGCCAGCTGGTGGCTCCAAACCAAGTCAGCAGGAGGTGGTCAGTGATCCTTTCAGAGAGCTCTCCAATCGAAGGCAAGTCACAACCCTCAAAGACACACGAGCTGGACGAGGCAGTGATGATAGACCATCCTTACATGCAGTGGTTGGGGGTGGTTCTAAAACATTTGAAGAGCAAGGCGAGCTCAAGCCAGAGCGTGTTCGATTTCGACATGGCCCATGTGACCAAGCATTGGCATCTGGCTGCAGACGCATGTGGTTTTCATCCACATGGAATCCAGTGTGTGTACCAGATCAGGCATGGTTCAGCATCAACAGACCGGCTCACTCAACAGAGGTCGGTCGAAGAGTTGATGAAGCGCGGCCGTTGGAAGAGCCTCAGCAGTCTCCGCCGCTACGAGCAGGGTGGGAGGCTCTCCCAGGTCTTTGGCAGCCTCAGTGCAGTGCAGCAAAAAGCAGCCCTCAAGGCAGAAAAGCAGCTGCCCAGTACTTTGGCCCGTTGCGTTGGATGCTCAAAGCTCCCAAACGCAGCATCTTCCTTGAGCTTTTCTCCGGGTCTGGCCGATTGAGCAAAGCAATCCGCCACAGATCACATCGAACTTTTCAGGTTGTTGAGATTGACATTGAAACTGACCCTCAGCATGACTTGTCAAAACGTGCTCTCCAGAACTTCCTTGTTTTGTTGATTAAGCTTGACAAGATTGCTGCAGTGTGGATGGGCACCCCATGCACCAGCTGGTCACTTGCCCGACGCAATGATGGTCAGGGGCCTCCCCCACTAAGGTCAGATGAACAGCTTTGGGGTCTCAGCGGTTTGTCACTCAAAGATAAAGAAAGGGTCCGTCTTGGTAACAATCTGGCAAGATTCTCTTTTCGGATTTTTAGGCTTTGTCATCAGCTGTGCATTCCCGCTGCCATTGAAAATCCTTCAACCAGTAGGTTGTGGTTGATCCGCCCTGCGCAACAAATACAATCGTATCCTGATGTTCACCTGCATGTCACCGATTATTGTCAAGATGGCACACCATGGCGCAAACGCACCAAGGTGCTCACTTGCCACATCGACTTCAGTTTGGTGCCTCGCCTGTGTACAAGTCATAAAGGGATTTGCAGCCACACCAACAAACCCCATGTGCAGCTATGCGGTCAACAGTATGGTCTGTTCCTTACCCTACTTGCCCAGCCTTACCCCAAAAAGTTGTGCAATCGTATTGCTACTGTTTTCCATAGTGCCATGTTGGAAAGTTTGTCTCGGCCCATGATGAAACTGCTTGGTTTCTAATGGTGCCAGAAACTGCAATGGGATTCATGTTCGCAACTGTGTCCATTGACTTCTCGGCGTTCGGGCAATCATTTTTGAATCTGTGATGCCCGTGCGTCTTGCTGGTGCGCACATTAGACATAGATCCGTGCCTGGCCATTGGAAAAGCGGGTCGGCGCCATAATTCCCTGCTTCGCTGAGGTTGGCAAAGACCAGATTGGAAATGGCCGTGGCATCCATGCTCGAGTGTTCCCCCCCAAATAAGCTTCGCATCCCATCCCTGAATCCTTTTAATCTCTCTCTGTGGCGTTCGGGCCATCATTTTTGAATCTGTGATGCCCGTGCGTCTTGCTGGTGCGCACATTAGACATAGATCCGTGCCTGGCCATTGGAAAAGCGGGTCGGCGCCATAGCTATGTTAGTTTACCAGAGGGTATCCCGGTTGCAATAGCTCGATTTCAAACGTGTGGATCGATATGTTTGACCAGAAAAAAAAACATCTGATCCGTCTCAGAAATACATGTGATCCCTTTCCCTAAATACCCCTCAATAAACAACACTTTGGGTTAGTAATTGATCTACATATTCATTGTGGGGCGATTTCAGAAGTTTGATGGTGATGGGATTATTTGATATTTTAAGAACTGTTTCTATTTGGTAAAGGACCAACATTGTAGATTCAAAAACAACATGGCGTTCTGGTTGATCTGCAAAATATACCTTCTGGTTATTTAACGTAGTTATGGAAAATCACCATTTGTTAATAGGTAAATCATCATGTTTATCATTTAATGGGCCATGGCTTCCATACAGTAGGAACCTGTTACATAACCAGAGGGTATATCCCATTGAGTGGATTACAATTCCTTGAAATCCCGACTACATGACCGTTAAATCCCCAATCAATTACCAATTATATCATAAGATATATTGTTATATATATTGAGATATATTGAGATATGTTGAGATGATTCCAACTTAAATAATGTGAAATATATATGAAGTCTCCATGAAATCCCCAATCAATGCCTATTACATCCCAGCCCTCCGGTCTCCATCGGTGCCAGGGCGACTCGGAAGCGCCCAAAAAGACACGAGCGCTGCAGAAGAGGAGAACGGTAGTGGGCTGCGGAAGCGGTGACAGTCCAGTGATGTTTGTTGGTTTATAAAACCATGAATACTATAGTTATACCCTCTGGTAAACTAACATAACTAATTATGGAAAATCACCATTTTTAATGGGAAAACTCACTATAAATGGCCATTTTCAATAGCTATGTAACAAATTACCAGAGGGTACCCTAATCAACCCAAATGTTAACCGTAGTTAATCCAAATGTTAACCGTAGTTAACCAAGTTATGTACGTGAACTTCACTATCTTGTGGGCACCAGTTTGTATTCATTGGTTACATCACCATTGTATTCATGGTGCCCACAATAATCAGCTTGGATCCCATCGCAGAAGTGATCCCATCGGAGTCTGGGAGTCCTGGAGACAGTTCGATCAGGGTTGCTCCGATTCAGTATAGGTAAGTTTTATAGCCACGTAAGTTATAAGTGGGACATGTTATACCTTAAGTTATACCACAAGTTATACCGTGTTATACCTCTATAATTATTTACCATATATTTACCATATATTTACCCAATTGACCCCCCACACGTACAACTGGGATCTTTGGGGCAACGTTGCGATACGATTCGGTGTTCGAGGATCTCCCGGATGTTGGCGCGAGAGTGTCAAGCGGCCCCGGTGCCCGGTGCGCAAGGCGCGTGAACACCGTGATATCATGGGATGTAATAGGAATATATAGGAATTCATTGGCACATTGGGGATGAAAAATATGATTTAATGGCATGAAACATTAATTAATGTATCTTGTAAGAATCTCAATGTATCTCATGATATAATTTTGCACTTGATTGGTGATTTTATGGGATGTAATGGGATTTTATGGGATTGTAATCCAATTCATTTGATATACCATCTATTTCATACAGCTATGGAAGCCATGGTCCATTTTCAGTTCGATGATTTGTTCATTAAACATGGTGATTTTCCGTAGCTATGGTGAAATGACCAGAGGGTAGTCATATCGCCATATACCATTTGGTTATGACTAACATAGCAAAGGAAAATTACAATTTTAATAGGTAAACCATCTACAAATGGGTCATTTTCCATGGCTATGTTAACCAGAGGGTAATCATATAGTGCTCAACTGCTGAACTTCGTTTGGCTAAAGTCTCCAAGGTTAGCAATGAGCGGTGCAGGGGGGCACAACAGTTGACAATATCCACTAAAATCAACCACATACCACATACAATGTTTTCCTATTGTTTATGAATGTATCAAAATCCTCGACCCCAACAGTTGCATAGCCTTCGGATGAAACAAACAATTATTTGATCAAGTTTGGTAAACCACCCACGTTTGCTGCTGATCATGTCACTGTCAGGGATGGATCTTCTTTGACTGACAGGGGTCACAAGGACAATTATTTGGAATCCGCATGAAAGGACATAGAAGGACAATGTCCATAATGTCCATGAATCATGCTGCAACACGTTGTCATTAGCTCAAAATAGATAAATACCTCACCTTGGCAACTTGGAAATGGGTTGAACATGGGACCTTTCCAGCGAGAGGAAACGACTATCTCAGCAATACCAAACTGGCTGTGCAGATCGTTTGCGTGTCCCCAACTTTGGGTTAGTTTGCTGGGTTTTGGTCTAACTGAAGTTGGTCTAACTGCCAAATAGCCTCGAACTGTCCATTGTACGGGGTATCCCCCCCTCCCCCTAAATTCAATTCGACCAGTGGCGAACTCTCAATTTTGGGATCTCCCAATGGTACAGAAGAGTCAGAGCATTTTGGAGTGTTTTCATATTTTCAGTGACATCCAGTTGGATGTTTCAAGGCATCCGTGGCGCGCACAGGCGACGAGGTGAAGCCGGAGACAAACACGGACCAGGCGGAGGCGGCTGCGGCTGCGCCCAAGGTCTCCGGTATCTCCAAGCTGGTGGAAGCTCTCAGCAAGAGAGCCGAAAAGGAAGGCCGGGCGATTGGAGAAGACTGACTTAAAAGTGATCAGAAAATTGGCTATATGTTCAAGTATGTTACAATGTTCAAGTGAGTTCTGAAAGATTTTGAAAGGTTTAAGTGTAAATCACTGAAATGATCCAGAAATCACTGGAAAGCCATGTTGGATTATGTTTTGGGATTGCCGGAAATAAAAAATCATCCCAATGGACCAAATGCAATGATCAGCCTTTGCGGGGCATCCAAATGGCTTGACACAGATAGTCTATTGCTAATTTGGGGATTAGTATGGATTAGTATGGATTAGTATGGATTCGTATGGATTAGTATGGATTCGTATGGATTAGTGCCCTTTGGTGTTTCTATGTAAAATTATTGCCGGTCATTTGGTGCCATTTCTTGGGGATTGATCCATGGATTGGGAAAATCTCAGAGTTTTCACATGTTTTCACCACGTTGCCATTGGTTTTGTATGTTTTCAACCGTGAAATATAGGGCGTTCCTGTAGATGTTCCCTTGAACCAATCCAACGGGATGATACCCCTGGCTGCAGGTAGCCGAGATGGTGTCACCAGTGCCGAGGCTTGGTGGATCTGGATATAGCTTGGCGAAGCACCAATGACACAGGGAGGATTTGAATCAAACTAAAGAATACTAAACATATTATTAACAATGATAATGATAATAATGATTAATAATGATACATAATGATACTATATATATATACATAAATGTTGATTATCAAAAAATGACGGTGACCGCCAAATGTGATGAATGTGATGATGATGATGATGATGATGATGATGCTGGTGGTGGTGGTGGTGGTGGTGGTGATAACACAACAAAAAGATGAGGATAGAGGCTCAATGCAGCACATTTAGCCATTTTCCCAAAACATGGGATCCCCAAACAACCATGCAATTTTCATGTTTCGTTCACAGCTGGCACCCTGGAGGATCCTTAGAGTTTTATGGTGGGATTAGGTGTGGTGAATCCATCCATCTTCCAGAATTGTCACCAGACTGGCTGTTCTATTTTAGCCGATTCAAGGTATAACAAGTGATCAATCCTTTTTTTGCAATGATTCAACCATGTTTAATAAATCCTCAAATAAAACCTTGGAGACTTGGAGATGTCTCCTGCTATGTCCTAGCCGCAGGCGACCCCGGCTGAGAGCTGATGCAAGCGAGCCAGGCACCAAGCTATGCTGTGATACACCAAGTGAAACCATTGGAAACTGCCAAAGGGTGGAGATCTAGGACATTCTAGGACTTACCTTGCAAACATTGTGGTTGGGTGTGGTTTTTGACAAATGAAACATGCTGTTTTTCTCCCACAAGATACATGACCACTTCAGATAAGCGTATGAGGCTGCCAGATGGCCCGTCGCTTTGTGAAAACCTTTGGGATGCGGTGAAAGCATCGCTTGAAGAGGCAAAGAATGCTCTTCATGGGGGTCTCTCAGCTGTATCCAACATGCCAACATGTCTTGTAACTGTTCCTGAAAGCAGCAGAAAAGTCACACTTCCTGGGGATGAATGGAAACATATTGGTTCCATCAGAGAGAGATCCTACGGTGCCCCTGCCTTGGTCCTTTTTTCGCAGTTGCCCAAGTTGCACTGTGCCGACCTTACCGCTGAAGGGTACCGAAACATCCGAAACCTATTGGCCTTGAGCCATTGTCCAGATGCATATGCTCCTGAATTTTCTGGTCATCAGGAAGTGCAGGATTTTGTGCATCGACGTGCGGCGTGCCACGCGAAAAAAGGGGTCTGAAGCGCGCGGGCCATGAATGGCGATGAGGTTCATCAGCATTCAATGGCGGAGTTACCGGCACCGGGGAAGCCCTCAAGGGTTGAGGGTTGGCTATGCAGTCCATGTTGCACCCAGGGATATGAAGCCCAGTGGCTTGGGCCACTGCCGGTTGCAACTTGGTAAAGATACCATCAAAATCCCTACATCATCCACCGGGCAGAGTAGGTATACTCTAACTGACCATAAATAGATGTTAATTACCTACGGCTAGCATAATTGGATTGTGGATTTCCAAGTATTTCAATTACTGTAATTGGATGGCATTACCAGAATTCTTACATATATTCTTACCATATTTACCATAGATCTTAAATTCCCTATGGTTACCATAACCAATTTCTTCATACCATGCTACCCCCTTACCGTACCAAAAAGGGGACAGGTACGTTGGTCGGTCAGGCTGGGGCAGATCCCGACGCTGCAGATGACCTCACTGGGGAGACGCCTTTGATGGAGGCATTCTTCGATCCATGATCCATGTAATTTCCATATGTGCGAAGAATATCTGATCATGGATACATATGGAAACTACATGTAAATCCAACATAATCCAACATTTTAGGTGCTAAGATAACTCAATCCAATAATTTTGAGTTGGTAGATATCATATCCATTCATATCCATTCATATCCATTCATATCTATTCATATGCTATATCTTATATATATATATAATATTATAATATGATGATATATGTCATATCCAATACATTCCAAATTTTGGAATCTACGAATCTTTGCCTTGCCTTGCGTCGTTGCCCCACTGGTCGTCCAGGCTGCCTGTGGAGGAGATCCAGAGCTGTGCTCCTTGCTGTTGGATGCCAAAGCGGATCCCACGAGGAGATCCCACGAGAAACTGGACAGTTTGGAGTTGAACATCACTATTTATCATGTTTAGTTTGGTTTGATCAATCAGGTTTGATTGTCATGTTTTAAGATAGTTAACCTATTAATGATGATCTGGAAGATGCTATTTATATATTGATATATATATATATATACAGTACATACATCCAATGAATTTTGGTTAATGTAGAATGTGGAATGGTTATGATCCCTATGGGAGAGGGGTTAACAATGGGTATATGATATACCCCAATGATAGGGCCTTTTGGTTGATGGGTTAATGTTGTTGCTACCCTGCTTTTTTTGCAATCGGATTCGTGATGGTGGGACAACTCCCCATTTTCATCCGGAGCTTGACGATCAAAAGTGGGATTTGAGCGGCAAACATGAGGAGTTCAGTTAGCAAAGAAACATCGGGACTTGACCCACCATGAATCAACGGGCATATGATGGCGATATATCAGAATCAATGTGACATGAATGATATGCCCACATTGGATCAGTGGTTAGTACAGTGCCCAAAATGGGGACATTGAGCAGAAGAAATGGGAGAATATCAATCAGCAAAGCAAAAAACGCGGATTTCAGGGGAACCATATGGTTGTTTGTCTCAAAACAAGGGACGGGCGGCGTGCAAGTTATGATGGCCAGTTTTCTCAACACTTTTCCCAACCATCAGATGTTTTTGGGTTCCCAATTTCCAGACAAACCCTAAATGTGAATTGTGAACTAATTATTATATAAATGGGTTACCCTCTGGTAAACTAATACAGCTATAGAAAATTGCCCAGTTATAGTTGATTTACCTATTATATAAAAGTATTTAAAAGTAGTGATGTTCCATAGCTCCTGGTATATTGGTTTACCAGAGGGTACCCAATTGCAGACATTAGAGATTGCTTTCCCCGGATGCGGTTTCACACTAGCAGCGTGGGTTGCATCCACGTTTGGTCAGGCTAAGTGCTGCTGGCAAACTTGCACGAGACTTCATACCGCCTGACGATGAAAACAGGCAGACCTTTTACATGGCTGTTCGTATATGATTATCCCATTAAAACCCTCTTTTTATATAGGATTGTTCGATTGCCATGCGGGATCACCACAAGATTCAAGATTTGAGTTGAATTTTCACTCAAGCCTCTGAGTGAAGGTACAATCTCACTATCATTGCTACAGGTAAATGTCCGGTTGAGTTGGTGGTCGATATCTCCATGTTGATTTGGCCAGCATCATCGCCCTAGTATCTCTATTTTTCTCAATTGAGATATGTTGAGATGATTTGAGATGTACCTCAGTTCTTCACATCTTGCCAGCATTGCTAATTAGATCCAATTAGACTCTACCCTCTGGTAAACTAACATAGCTATGGAAAATCACAATTTTTTAATGGGAAAACTCACTATAAATGGCCATTTTCCATAGCTATGTTAGTTTACCAGAGGGTAATCTAATGGCATTCACCATCATTCACCTGCGAAAAACAGGCCAATGTTGTTGGAAATCCTCGCGCCCCGTCTCCGCGCCGATCCGACCGGATCGGCGTTCCTTGACGCCGCGAACGCGGCGTCGTCTTCAAGGCGCAGGTTGGATGGTTGGATGATTCCAACCCGTTCAGAATCCCCAGAGTTGGAGAGATTTCAGAAGCACTGCTGGTTGGTGGTTTGGAACATGTTTTATTTTCCATAATATATGGGATCCTTTCCATTGACTAATATTTTTCAGAGGGGTTGAAACCACCAACCAGACTGTATTTTGAGATATTTTGAGCCTTTTGAGATACCAAAAAGAAGTTGAGTGAAGTAAAATTCAAAGCCATCATCATATCATCCTTTTCCTTTTTTTGTTTTTGGGCAATGGTTTTTCGATGCCATCCTCACCCCATCTTCGCCTTGACACTGGGCCACAGGGTGGAGCAAGAGGACATCACTGCAGAGCACTTAGAAGAAGCTACTTGGAGAAGGGTCCGGGAATGGGGACGCTTTTGGGTATTTTATTATTTTTTGTAATTCCCCACCTGCTACGTGAGGGTCTCTAGATTTTAACAAAGGTGCAACTCCTTCTGCCAGCTCCAGATGCTGTGGAGCACACCTGCAGCCGAACTCCATATCGCGAGCTCCGGAGGCAGTGCAGGTGCTGGACCCGAACTCAGAGAGAAGGCCAGAATAGATGCCAGATAGAATGTCAGAGTATATGCCAGAAGGAATGTCAGATAGAATGTATATATATATATTATATTAATTATAGAATTATAGAATTATAGAATTATACAACTTTTTGTACACTTCCAGATGGTATGTCAGAAACTATGTCAGAATAGTGTGTCAGGGTGGGGATCACTCGAAGAAAATATGTATTACTTACGTAGTGATGTTTTCATTGGATCATCCTGTTTTTTTTTAATGGTTTTGAATGGTTTAGTGTAGCTCATTTTGACACATAACAAAGAAGTGAATGCGCCATGTACGGCAGTGCACTGTAGATCTCGTCTCGTGAAGACCATGCTAGACGATGTGTCCCCATATCACACATGCTGTGCGTTTTAAACTTGTAGAGCATTGCACAGGTCAACAGTGTACTTCGATGAACATGCCAGCTAGTAGCTGCTACGTAACTGTTAGACATACCTGCGGGTTATTAACGGCTATTATCAAGCTGGTTGATGGGTTACCCAACTGCTATTCAATTTAATTCAATGACATTTACCATGACTTAACAATTTCATGGCTTAGCCTCTGGTAATTTTTCACAGTTCGCTCTGGGAAAAGGTCACCATTTTTTCAGAACGGTAAAGCATCGAACTGAATGGCCCTTAGTTCATCCATACCATGGCAAACTGTTCGATTACCAGAGGATAAATCAGTTAAAACATTTTCGAAAATATTAGAAACATATGTCAAGTCATGTTAATTCCATTGCTAAGTCATGTTAAATCATGTCAATTCACGTTATTTATAGTAATAAATCCATATAAATCCATCGTTTCGCGGTGACATCCCTAGCGCCTGAGCGCAGCTGCCAGGTGAAAGAGTTGTTGTTCAAAGAGGCAAAGGTCCAGGACGATTCTGACGATTCGCCGAGCAATCGGGGGAGCATCCCATAGACAGTGATGTCTGTATGGTAACCATTGTTAAAAACCAACGCATAGCAATTGAAAATGGCTATTTATAGTGGATTTTCCCATTAATAGCATGGTGATTTTCCATTGCTATGTTAGTTCACCAGAGAGTAACCATTGTTAAAAACCAAAACATAGTAAACCATAAAACCATCCTGACATATCTAAGGAAGACTTCTATAGTAGTTTTTTTGCACCCTCTTAAATAGTGAAATTACCATATGTCATGTTTGAGAATAGATCTTCAGAGCAATTTGCCCGGATGGGAATAATTTCCATTGTTGGGGAATTTATCGAATCAAACTGCATGAGATGATGTTCCCTTTGCCAAGCTGCCGAGTGTCGGCTTCACGAGTTGAGCAGTTGCCATCGGCAAAACGTTTGGCTCACAGAATTCGAAGCCACGAATGGGGGCAGCCCTGGCGATTTGCTGCTTGGCACAACCTTTGCCACACTTTTTGAGCTCTCGTCAATCTGGATGTATTCGACTCATGTTTCAGCCCATTTTGGCGACATTCCAAGGCCCCAGACGTCAGGTCCTGCAGGCCGGCGGGGGTTCTTTGGTGTCCATAATATGGTCATATTGAAGTGAATACGGATGCAAAAAAACAAACAAACAAACTGTGTTTTAATATGAAAACCACAAAACAACATGAAGTGAAAGATGTTTTTGCTGGATTCCGCATGGTCCTTCAACTAAACTGCGGGCTCCGGTTCGCTGTGTTGTACATCCATTCTATCATTCTATGGACTTTCTATGGCATTGTGTGCAACTATACCGTCATTGTCATTGTGGTTCGAACAGTTGTCCAGTTGTCCAGTATCTCAGCGTTTTAGCTGGTTTCGCTAGTCTAGATCCTAAACCGAGTTGGGGTTTGTAAAAGATACCCATTGTTTCTTGATGACTTACCAGCTACACCCCCGTTGATCTTGGGCATTTAGGAGCCAACTTTCTTCACATAGGTACAGTGTTTGTGCATACTCATGCATACAGTACCTTAATCTTAAATAACTTAAATACCTCGCAGAAACCCTAGCTGCTTGGTGGTTTGGACCATTTTTTATTTTTCCGTATATAGGGATTATCATCCCAACCGACTTTATTTTGTTTTCAGAGGGGTAGGTCAACCACCAACCAGATTAAAGATCCATAGATGGAATATATTCTATTAAAGATCTTCTATTTACCGTATATGCTAACAAATTGCCATATAGCTACTGAACATCATTAAACATTGATATAGATGCATATTTGTGTTGGGGGCGCGTATAGGTTGGAATTTCGTGACTGATGGATGGAATGAGTCACCCCTTAAAAAATCGATGGAATCATACATCCATACTGGTCAACACATGCGTATAGGTTGTAAAGTTTGCTGATATGAAAAAGCTACTACATGGATCACTATATACAACTATAATCAACTTACATATATATATAATTATATATATATATTATTATTGTTATTTTTATTGTTATTATTATATTATATTATATATATATATATGGGTTGTTATAACATACTATACTATACACTACATGTTCTACATGTTATATATATATAATATAAAGATATTCCATCTATTTATTATGCATATTTTCATATACGGCTAACGGTGCTCATAGGCAGCTCGGAGAAGCATGGAAGTGGACGGACCCCCAGAGGCCGATTTTGGGGTCAGTTCATCGGGAAAACAACAGGAAATGGAGATGCCAATGCAGCAACATGGGATCATGTTAACTGTCATGATCTTGGTATTCTAGCAGAAATCAAGATATGAAATGATATGAATATATATATATATATTGTATATATATATATATATATTGTATATACGCAGGATTTAAGAAACTGGGGATCTGTAAGACTGTGGATGGGAATCAGGAGATGATGCTGGTTGAGGAGGTGTACGAAGTATCATTGACAGGGTGAGTCATCTCTAAAGTACAGATGATGACACTCTCAATTTGTCAAGGATTGTGATGGGTTTCCAAAAGAGGCTTGGTGTTTTTTCAAATTGGAATTCATGAAGTGGCCAAGTGTGGCTGTGCCCACTGTGAAAAGGGTTGAAGAGCTGTCAATTTGCAGGTGATTAAGGATTGAGGCTTTCAATCTGTGCACGGCGACAATTTTGGGAACTCAACGCAATTTTGGGAACTCAAGCTAAGTAGATGTGCGTTTCCTTCAGAGCGAAACAACTCTAGTTTACTGTAACAGAATTTCATGATCCAGAAGTAAAGTGAGTCATTTCATGTCCGCGCAGGTTTCTTTCGAGCTGGTTTCAGCTTACCCGGAGGCGAGTTTCTGCAGTGGAAGACATGTTCCATGGTGGCCAACCCCCATTGAACACCATGAAAATGAATGAACATTCTTTTGGATTTTCCAATGTATCATGAGCAATTTATTTCGCACGGGGAAATGTTGAACTGCTGTGCTTGACTACCATAGGTTTATTTGAAGATACAGTATATGATGGCAAAACCATATACTACTCCCATATGTGCAAGATTCTATATGGTTTTGTCAACTCCATTTAAATTATATTAAATGAATAATATTAAATGAACAAAAACTCTAAATCTGGTTTTGGGGAGGTATAACCACCAAAATATAATATATATATATAATATAGATATAATATATATATATATATATATTATATATATATATATTATATATGTATGTATGTATTGCCATACAGACATTCAGAATCGTTGGAATTCCACAATAATAGTACGGCAAGACCCTGAGGTTTGCCCGGACTCGCAACGCGCGTCCGGGCAAGACAAGATGAAGATGAAGATGACGATGATGACGTCGACGACGTCGACGACGACGACGACGACGACGACGATGATGATGATGATGAGGATGACGATTTTGATATCTTCTTGAAACCCTATAAGGAACCCTAATGACTGTATGGTTAATTGTTCCATAGGGCCGGGGGCTTTGATATTTTATTGAAACCCCATAAGAAACCCTAATGACTGTATGGTGAATTGTTCCATGGGGCCGGGGGATTTGATATCTTCTTGAAACCCTATAAGAAACCCTAATGACTGTATGGTGAATTGTTCCATGGGGCCGGGGGATTTTGATATCTTCTTGAAACCCTATAAGAAACCCTAATGACTGTATGGTTAATTGTTACATGGGGCCGGGGGTTTTTGATATCTTCTTGAAACCCTATATATGTATGGTTAATTCCATATGATATGTAGAAGCAACATGTTCTGGTTGTATGATACGTAGGAGCAACATGTTCTGGTTAACACCCTAGCAACATAATTGAACATAAAATTTCGCTGTTTGACGTCGTACAGAATTTCCTGATATTTACGCCATTCTGGGCTTGGGCAAACCTCGGGGTCTGTGTGTAATAGTAGCCATGAACACAACGCACATATACAGTAGACGTCATCATGCTGTGATCATCATGAACACATTGAAAATACCCTCTGGTAATTTAACGTAGCTATGGAAAATGACCATTAATAGTGGATTTTCCCATGAAAAATGGTGATTTTCAATAGCTATGTTAAATTACCAGAGGGTAGTGAATATGCTATTCAGATCTATTCATAGTAAATGATTATCATCACTGCAAGTACTCCAAGGCTGCAGGAGTACTCAAAACCCTCAACATGTTGATTTTCTGAGTGTTTGAAACGCAGGTAAAATATGTTCCAATGTGGAACACTAGTGAAACACCAATGTTATAAACCATCCCCAATATCACTAATATATCCATATATATATATCCAATATTGCTGTTAAAAATCAATAGATAGGTCAGATAGAGGTTTAAAACATGTTAAAACTATAATGTCACACCCTATATCACGAGAAATGGTTGGTAAGTTAACTCTCCAAGTGATGGTTTACCGCAAGGCCAAGCCCTTGCAGAAGAAGATGTCCTTGCCTGGCTCACAGTGGATCAGGGTCAGTCCTTGCCATTCCCTGCGAATTGGGCCCCGGTGCCGAAGATTTTTGGAACACATTTTGAACATGTTTTTAGTATTGGGACGCAAATTTTTCGGACAATTCTGAGTAAGTTTAGTACCGAGCATCCAGTTTTGGACAAAAGTCAAGACTATGCTTGTGAATATTCCCTGATTTGGGCATTCCCACTCTGGGGCGCAACTTGCACCAAACTCAGTTGGCATGTCATAACTTTAAGAGCCTGTTCTGGTGCATCATGATCATCATGGATGACATGCCTTGCTGCCTTGCGGGTCCAAATTTCAGGCCCTTTTTTCCAGGTCGGACTACAAGGGAAAACCGACGGTCATCCATCTCTACACTTCCTGAGGTGGGAGTCAGGGATCCTGCGGATCTGGGGTGAAGACGATGATTTGCTGTGTATTATATATATAATATATAATAGATATAATATATTATATAATATATATTATATATATATACTATATATTATATATGCCATTGCACTTGCAAGCAGGTCTTTTGCAATATCCAAGTGGGGCTTCCAACATCATCCGCCTGACCGCCCAACGCCATTTGCTGCCAAGGATCAGAAACATCATGAAACGTGGCAAAGAAATCTGGGATCATAAACATGAAACATAATAAGTTTAATTAATCTGGGATCACCCAATGAAGAAAAATGGACCAAATAGGAACCTTCAAAATTAACCATGTCTCGTTACCCAATCTTTTTTCGAGCGTGTGCCATGCCAACACGGCGCGAAGTCTCGAGCTCCAGTTCGCAAGATGATGAGGACTCCGTGCCATCCAAGCAAACATGTTTCATTTCCTTGGGTTTTGCAACCTTCCAGGAGTTGACCCAAGAGCAGCTTGACTACTTGGAATGTGGGAAACACTTTGTGGACCATGCTGGATTCTTTTCTGGAATAAGGTTCTTGAAGATTACTTTGGAAGTTTCACCGGCTCCACTTTTTGGATCCCTGTTCCATTTAAGGATTGAAAGAGAAGTTCTTCGATCACTGGTCAGGCTACAAACGGAAGTTCTCCTTTGCTTCAGACTGCAGCTTGTTGAACTGTTATGTTTTGACTATATAAGTTTGGCCGAACTTGCAGCCATGCCAAGAAATACTGTTGGGGTGACATTAAGGTAGTGGCACAGATACTCCCTTGATGGCGCTTCGAATGCTTTTCGAAGCTGGTGGATTGCCTGGCAAGGTTTCTTACTTGCCCCTAGCCTGCAATAAAATGTTCTTTAGAATGGCTATACACGCTTGCTGTTACATCGGGGATATGTTCATCCACTGGTCCAGCTTTTGAGGAGTTCAAGCGAATGGGCTGATGCGCCCCAGAAATTTCTCCGGGCCAACTTTCCGGAAGTGGCTGAGTCTCGTGGCTGTACAACGGGGCAAAAGGGTGATTGTTGCGCATGCTGTCCCCATATCCCCTCCTCAGGTTCCATGAGTCTATCTTCGACATCGGTGACATGACCCACTTGGATCGAAGAGTGCTGCCCTTTGATTTTTGATGTTCATATGGCAACCATGTTCATTGGCATATCTTTCAATGTTGGAGATTATGTGTTCCCATGCTTTCTTTTTTTTAGGTTGCGGTCTACGCCGCGGGATTCCCATGCACTCCATATAGTGCCCTTCACCATGGCTCTGCCTTGTTGGACGACCAGCATGCGCAACAGCTTTGGAAGGTGCTGGATAATTTCAAAGAGTCGTGCCCGGCCGCTACTTGGCAGAGAGATTCAATGAATGTCGCTGCAATCATCTGCAATCCCTGACTAGTTTCACCCCTTTTTTGGAAACAGATCAAGTAAGTGAGGCTGGGATACTGGAGAACGTGATCGGCTTCCGCAAAGTGAGAGAGGACGTGCTTCCTGAAATTCGACGACTTCTTCCAGAGATTCTTGTCTACATGATTTACAAAACAACACCTTTCAAAGTACAAACCAAACACGATGAAACCAATTGTCCCACCAACCTAGGTATGAAGTGGCATGGGCAGAGATGAATCCGCTTCTTGGAAAATTATTTTGGAAAACATGTTGTTGCCCAACAACAACCTTTGGAAATCTTCAGAACCTGTGAGCTTCGCATGAGGCTTGACTATGGAAGCCCACTATCACGGAACCGTGTCATCATTTTCCTTTTGAGGAGGGAGCTCATGGTGGATGAAGCTGCATCAAATTTACTTGGGTTTGTGACCCGTACTGCTGAAAGCCTACAGTGTGCACCGGAGATTTCTTGGTGACTTCGTTGAATGATGTTGAATGATGGTATCGTTTGCTTGAACTGTAGAACCCAAATAGATCCTATGCTTTAGAACCCAAATAGATCCTATGTGTTCATCATTATTCTTTCCTAGGCAAGAACTTTTGCTACCTCGCGATCACAAAGCGGTGGTATCTCTCCGGAAGAAGTTGAACAAAATGCAGGATGCACACTTTGCCAAACCTCAGCCGCTTTGGTTGCATTATCACGTTATGTCCCTGCTCTGCGCCACTTAATTTGTATCTCTGCCCATGCTCAGGCCAAAAGCCAAAGGCAAACCAAAGTGGAAAGTACGCCACCGTGACTGGGCAAAGGATAATAAGGCGCCACGTTAAACATTGCAGAGTGACATTGAACCCCATCAGGAATTTAGAGAAAAAACTGTGTTACATAGCGGCAGGTCTCAATGAAAAAGGCTATGGGTGCATTGGCGCGAAAGTATCCAGAAGCCGCGGGGATCATTCCAACCAGAAGGGAGCAGCAGGCTTGTCTATGGCAAAAGGTCAGTTTTTTTAAGAATACATATCGGTTAAATAAAGCTTTGACATGGGGATTAGATGATGCTCATCTATGTTACGGGGATTTGCGGGGTATAGAAAATTGACCTATCCACTTCTGCCAGGCATTGGACCTTGTCATCCACAAGTTCGGTGAAATCGAGGCGGCGGACACGTCTCAAATGCTGGGCAGAATGCCGTGCATCCGAGCAGCCAACATGTCAGATTCTCAATGTAGCATAATGTCACAACCAGAACATACAACCCAGTTTTTTGTGGGACGCTTGAGTATTGCTGAGGCCTTTGATGTGCCTTACGCCCCTCGCTTGCATTCTTGGACAAAACAACTTTGACCGTTCCTGTCTTGATTAGGAAACAATAACCTGACCACTTGTGACTGTTTGAGGCCAAATGGCCGGGTATTTGTTGGATGCCAAAGTCGCTATCTGACAGGCCGCAACTCAGATCAATCAGTTGGCTGTAGTCACTCACTTCCTCAACTCCTGGCTGCACGGTGCAGGAATTGAATCGATGTTGCTGATGGGAGCACCCGTTCACAAGCTGAAGCTCCGCCAGAATACCGATGGAGATTCTTGGCTTCTAGGTGATTGAAATAACAGCTTGTTGAATGGAACCCAGCATTGAACCCTGTACTACCCCAATACCATGTGCCCACAATCTCAGGAGATCAGGAAAATGGCTGGAAACGCGATGTCCCTTCGAGTGATGGCAGCAGCCCTCTGCATAGTGCTTTCAGCTCTGTCAGCTGTCCGACTCAACAAATACTTGAAACGCTAGTTCCTATGTTGAATATATGGGGCAAAGGTTCCAATCCGAAATTCACATCTGTGGTGGGCTGATTCTGAACCCTTAGCAAACAGGAGAAAAGGCGATGGCAGATGGCCCCCCCAGAGAAAATTTCAAAGCCTTCATGCCTATTGAGAGCAAGTTGTTTCCATGCCTGTCGGTCAATACGTCAAACTTTTTAAAATCAAGGACAACATGATGTAACATCACATGGGATTTGGATTCAGAATGATTCAGATACTTGCAATCTCAAACAAGGGTTGCCAACAAATACCCAGCTGAAATAAGAATTGACATATGAATTATCATCATTTGTTATACCTTGTCTTTATTCACAGCTCTCCCCATGCCGGTCCTTCATCGCTGGGATGAGAACGATGATGTTGTCGTCAAGCGATCTGTCTGGCGTCGCTATGACGAAACTGAGAGTAGCAATGGTTCGGAGGGTGACTCTTCTGAAGCTGAGCCCCCAAGCTGAATCAGATGAAACATCAAATTTTTGTGGCCTATTGACTTTCCTGAGCACCATTTAAATTCAAATTCGAAGAAATCAACGTAGTTCTTGGTTTCCTTACCTAGGTCATCTTGCAGCCTCGATGGTGATGATGATGATGAGTCTGACCCTTCATTCGAGGAGGGTGGGAATAAAGACATGAGCTTCACTTTGCACCGACTGGAATCCCTTCATGGTTTGAATGATGATGATGATGATGATGATGATGATGAGAAAAAGTCTAGCTACACCAAGAATGGTATGAGCCGGAAGCGTATCCGCCGTGTTATCAACAACCCTGAATGCCCCTGTGCCTGTAGTGTTCCAGTTGCGGTGCTATACCGCATCTGCTGCGCATTCTGGTCCCTTGGCAAATGCGCCCAAGATGCACTGCTGTGGAGTCTCCAAACAGAGGGGGGCCCCAGAAGGCTCAACTACATGATTGAAGGACTTCCGCAATACAAGAAATCATCGTGGTTTCCAACTAATTATTTTTAAAAAGATCAAACTTACATGGGGTTAATGGTACTTACCACAAAAGGTTTTCGTTGGCCAAAAGAGTGGAGGACATTATGTGTGTCGAGAAGCATGGCTACGTTTTCTGGGTATTGGGAAGCAGCGTTTGCTCCGAACCAAGCGTAGGCACAGAGGAGTTGACGAACGAACCCTGAATTTTGGATACTTGATTGAGGTATTGCGTATTGGGTTGGCAGTATTTGAAAAAATATGTTAGTTAGTATGGTTCCCCCTGATCAGTTAAATCTACATTTCTAAGCACTGACGTGGAATAAGCCCGAGGTCAGTCAGCGAGACCTTGTGTGAAGCAATCGAATGCCAACGGCTTCTTCATACATCTGTATTGGACCGCTGGGGAGTCCATGACCACGACTCTCAATGAAATGATCTTGAAACTTCCTTTTTTTTAAGCTGAGGTATGACTAATTATCATGTCAAACGACCAAGACATGCCCGCAACAGAGCCCTGGCCTTGCACTGAGGGGCCCTGAGAAGTCCTACCTGGAGACAAGCGACAAGAGTCTTCGGGATGAACTGCTTGAGAAACTTGTGGAACAAAAATTGATGGGACCAACCCGACAGATTTGTGAGGGCAATCCAGATAAACTTCCGCCGAGAGAATTGCCTCATGGAAACCTTGCCAATTTGTATTTGATGTTCGTTGCCTATTGCAAAGTCATGAATGTGGATGCTGCATGCAAGTCAACGTTTTATCAAGTCGGCAAAAAATGGTTGTCAACCTGCCTGAAGTTCCACAAGAAGTCCGTTCATGCTGTTTGCCAGACCTGCTCAAAGCTGAGGGATTCCATTAGGCAGGCGACTGACTTTGCAGAACATGCCCGGCTTTGTGATCTTCTTTTGGGTCACTATACCCAACAATGGAGGGATCGGGAGGTTTACTGGTTGGCCAGGGATCGATCCCAGGCCCAAAAGGATCTTCTATGCATCATTGTCGATTCCTACGACAAAGCAAAGGTAACACTTCCAAGGTTTCCTGGTGGTAGAACTCCTAAAAAGACATTGTATGAAAATACCAGACGTATCTCGACACACATCAGTTTCCTATTTTGCAAACATCTACTGTGGAGATAAATATATTATAATTTTAATATATTATAATATATTATAGTAATTTATTTTTTTAATAGATGGACATATATGGACCCTGATTTATCTATTAGTCAAACTGATATTGATGCCTTTTCCTATTTTGCCGCCGCTCGTCCAAGGTACCCACCTGACTCTGACTTGCGTGATCTGCCACGGATTTGGCTGCTGGATGTATCTTGCCTGGGAGGCTATGCCCGTAGGGACAAATTGGACTTGGGAAGTTGATTCTCACCTGCAATTAGAATCGCTTGGCATGTGTTGCAACACCAAACTGTTTGTTTTACTAATTCAAAAATGGCCAGGGGTAAGTTGGGGATCTAAGGTGATGAGATCCATTGACAAAACATGGCAAATCTGCAGATCGGAGGGCAGACCATTGCCTTTTGAGTTCCTGGGTAAAGTCTGGTCTTGGAACTATTTTATTATTTATAATTTATGATTTGTTGCCCCAATTTCAAAACAGAAGAACGGCGGAACACATCTGAGGCTTTGGTTACAAGCCGATAATACACCGAAGGAAGCCCGAAATAGTTTGACCTCGCAGATATGTATTTTACTCTGCCAGCAAAACCTGTTCACTACATGTGGCCACTACCATTTGGTGGTTGGCCACACGCACGAAGACGTGGATGGGGCTCTGTCGCTGGTGACAACATGTCTCCGCCAAGAGCGCTCCCTGCAGACCCCTGGAGATGTGATTCGGTGTCTTGAAAAGAAACTGTCACCAGTATTTGCAAAGAAAAACATGCTCTTTGGTGTGGAAGTAGTAGATGAAGTTTCTTGACTTCTCTTGGCATCCATTGCTTTCTTCCCTATTTCCTCCCAGTACTTTTGTTGGACCATGAATGAGCTCACAATGATCCCGATTGCATAATTTCTTCATTGCTATATGTTCATGTTCTAAGGTTCGCGACTGGGTTGGCATGATGCCGGGTGCAGTGGGTCTCAAAAATGCTTACAGAGATCGTGGAAAGAAAGCTGTTGATGACAAAGTAGTACCCCACTCCTTCACCTTCATGGCCCGGCATTCCCTTCCACGCCATGGTGCCGGTTTGCAGTTAAGCGAACGGGTGCCATTGCGCCTGCAGCAGGATGACAGGGACAACGACATCTTTGCGCTTACCAAGGTGCACATGAGTGATGACAACTTGAGCCAGGACCCACTTATGGTTCATCCAGCATCTTTGGTACATGAAACTGAGCATTACTGGAACAGAGTGAACTCTACGAGACTAATTGCCCGGGCAGTTCTGGAAGATGAGCGAGCCAAGGAAATTGAGGAATTGGCACGACATATTGAGATGGATTTTCCTTCCCTCCATCGTTCTGTCGCTTTTTACAGAAAAATGTTAAATCCAGATGGGTTGACTCCATACCCAGAAATCAAATTTCTGAAGTGTCCCAGGGCAAACCAAAGGTGGTGCCAAGTGAATCTTGGGGAACGCCCTCCGGCTCCAAAGGCCCACCATTTGCAGGTGGTGTTTCGGAGGGGCTAGCTGGCAGAGCTGGGGTGAGTGTCAGGATGTTTCCCGGACCTTGCCTGTAAATTTCATTGACAAATCAAATAAATCAAAACAGTTTCCACAGAATGTTTTTTGCTATGAAACATCTTTGCACCCACATTTGCCTGTGAAACAGGCTAATATGTTCTGGAAACAACTGTTGGGGGGACGTGCAGAGGGGAAAGACTGTTGATTTGGAAACTGCATTTTTGATGGGATGACTCAAAACTCGCAACTTACAGTAGGTGACTTGTTTTGCGGCCGAAACTGCATTGTCATTCTTGATTGCTGTATTGGCTTACTTACAGGGCAAAACTGTCAATATGATGAAGAAACGAATGATCGATAAAAAGGTGGCAATGTTTAATACGGTTATGGTGTAATAGAGTTTGGAATTTAAACCTCAATGATCCCTCTCCCTGCCTTCCAAAGTCGTCACTTGGCTGAATAGCAGCTGACCACCTTGCAGAGCAACATGGAAGACGCTCGGATGAGCATTGACGAGGAGGAAGGTCCAATAGCAGAGCTGATTACCTACTTTGACACAGCTTCTTGGCTATGTAGCATCATGAAGCTTATCATGTTATATCATGTTCAAATTTTAGCAACTCAAGATGTCATGTCTCAGGCTCTCATGAATATATTTGTGGTATCACCGGATTGTATAGTAAGGTCACTGCGGAAAAGAACTTGGGAGATCACCTGAATCATGTGAGGGCCAATCGCGAGGATATGAAGAGGGTTCCTCATCGGCAATGTTCAACTTGAAATGCCACGTTAAGCCTTCTCCACAATCTTGGTCTTTTATTGAGAAAAATCTTGACAGTTGCAGTGTGTTCCTCAGGTGCTTGATCGGTTGATTCCTCCCCCCCGACATGGGGACCCTGTGACCAAGCCAGTTCTCACGGCAGTGCCTGTCGAATCTGTGTCGGAGTTCTGGCTTCCACTGGCGTCCTTCGACTACAGTCGCAACGCAAAGAACGGATGTGGGGTGTTGGAAAAGTTGGGATCCTTTTTCTGTAGGTGGGTCAACATAGTAAGTAATAAGTTTGTTTAAAACTAGTTACCAGTAATAAAAAATGGGGAAGCTGGTTCAAATGTTCTGACTCGCAACCCTTCAGATTTTCCCAACAACAGCCAGCTGGCGCTGCACTTCAAGGAGTTCTTGAAAGGTTACAAAAGCAGCTCTGAATCAGTGATCACAAAGTTCCCTTTTTCTGATGGGTCACGCCGACTTGAAGATTTTACAGTGGGTTGCGTGGATGGATTTTCGAAGATAGTCTTGATGCTCTCAATAGTTTCATTTGTTGATGAGCTCGAGATGACCCCTGAAGCTATTGCATCATCCAAGACTTTGTCGAATACCCTCCAGAGCTTTTCCCTTGTGCGGTGTTGCTATGACCATCGTGATAGCCCTCAGCAGCATTTTCTTAATTCACTGCGAAACTCAGCAAGAACACTATGGGTATGTCTCAAAAGGGGGTACCTCTTTTTTTACATTTTGGGGGCCAAAAAAAAGGGCATCTCATTTTGAAACATACACCTCTATTGTTTGAATTTATTATATCTGTCTTTCTTTTTGGTCGTCGTACATCCAAAGAGCAACCATATTTCTTTATGTGTGGAACACTTCAATGTCAGGAATTGGATATGTGACTTCTGAAAAGGTATCACCCAGCCCGATTATGATTCTGGCAGATATGAAATGTGCCATCGATATCGAGAAGCGTCAGAGTAGAGGTGCCCGCTCATCCTTGAAGGATTGCTTGAATCGCACTATTGCTGAGTACAATAGGTCTGTCACTGTGAAGAAGCATCGGGTGGATGTGCAGCGAAAGACCCTGATATACAACCTGCGCCTTATCTTTCAAATTGTGTGTGCAAGTATGTGCAAGTATGTGCAAGTGAGAGTATGTGAAGAGTTTGACACTATTCCTAAAGTTGAACTAAGGTTGCGCGCCCCACAGGACGTGCTGGATATGGTGCATGCCCACTACGACAAGTATCGGCATGAAAATTCAGGCCATGTCAGCATTAGAGTTTTCTTTGCTTTGCAATCAAGTCTCATAATTTTTCCGTTCTCCCTGTGTGCATCCTTTCAGGAGTCCCATTGGAGATCTTGGCTCTCGAACATTGGGTGCCTGGGTTGACGTCCCGCCAAGAGGCCCCAAAGTTCAAGAATCAGAAGCAGTTTCAGGAAATCCTTACCACGACAGATGTCAGCGCGACTTTGTATATCCTCAGGGCCACAAAGGACAGACTTAAGAGTCAAGAGACTGCACGCATAGACGATTGGAAAACAATTGTACTTCACATACAATGACATACATGAAGACTTATTACCAACCCTCACCCTTGTAGGATTTCGCAAGGAAGGCATCCAAAGATGCCACAGTCAAGGCCAAGGACTGCAAGAATGGGATTTGGTTGGGGATGTTTGCATGTCAACTTGACTGGGTGTCTCTACTTCCCCCATATGTCCCAGATCCTTATCATCCACTTGTGCCAGAAAAACGCACAATTGAGCGAAGATGAGCACATTCTTCTTCATGACATCTGTTGCTGCTGGATTTGGTTGAGAGAGAAGTTGGTCCAGTCTTTTCCAACTGCCGTTGTTGAGAAGTACGACGGTCTTTTTGAGAAAGGGTTCTTTGGTCTTGGTCTTTAAGCGTTTTGTTTTGGTCTGGTGCGCCACTGGTGCGCCAATTTGTTTTGGCTGGGCATAAAGAAATGTGATTGATTTTCCAAACCCCGTCACAACCAGGGATGTATAACCAAATATATTTGGCTGCCGCCGAATACATTTGGCTAGGTATCAAGAAATGTGATTGATTTTCCAAAACCCGTCGCATTCAGGGATGTATAGCCAAATGTATTTGGCTGCCGCCGAATATATTTGGCTGGGCATAGCAAAAAATCATTGGGTTTCTAGAAACCGCGTCGCAATCAGGGATGTAGCGCCAAATATATTTGGCTAGAGAAACCAATCAGCTTTTGGAAGCCACAAAATGGATTAAATTTTCATGGGGTTTCCAGAAACCGCGTCGCAATTTCGGGGCTGCCGGGTGGAGCAATCATGATTTAATTCTAATTTCAACAATTCGTAAATGATTGGTACCTACCAAGATCAGTATATTGTAATGGGGTTTCTGGAAACCGCGTCACTTCTGGGATATTATAAAATAAAGCAGGGTGTGATTGATTTGGCTATATTTTCCCCACTCAACCATTCCGTGCCATCCAAGGACTTTGGACCACGATCTTGGAGTGGTCATGAAAGCAGGTGAACCCTTTGACTGGGAGAGGATCAATTTCGTCTTAGAGGCTCTTCTTGCAACACGTTAAAGACAAACGACAAAAGTTCAGAGTAATGTGTGTGATGTAAGTTTGTCGCATTTTGAAGAATTCAAGACAGTGACCTGTAGCCTATCGTTTCTTGTGTTGATGTTTCAAAATCCTTGAACGCAGTTGCGGGGCACAACTGTCGAAAACTTTGTGGCGGAGAGCCAAGACAAGTCGCGGAGCGCTCTTGCAAAGAGTTTAGAGGCAGCTTTTCTCGCGTGGGAAGAACAGCTCAAAGGGGACCAAGCCATGTTTGATGCTGAAGCGATTCGGTCATCAGCTTACCAACGCTGATCATTTGACAGGTAGCTAATTCAAACACATCCAAAGATCTTCATCTTTAATTTCCCCTCTGTTTTAGAATTAACTCTAACAATACTTTGATTCCAAGGTCAGAGCGCGAAAGTGCAAAGAACCGAGCAAAATTGGTCAAGCAGCTTGAGGTCCGGTTGCCACGCAGGTGTTTGTAGCTTAGTTCATTCCTGAGATTCAACCCTGCTACATCTCAATATAGTTTCCGAATGTTTCTGATACATATCAATCTTATCAGTTAATAGCTAATAATCATTTGACTTTCCTGAGATTTAGCCCTTGCAAGGCCTTCCGCCCCTGGCCCATCCCGGTCCAGCTTCTGCACAGGAGTGTCACGACCGAGCCTGGCGCACCGTGCAAGGGTTCATGGAGAAAAACATGCAGATCTTCCAAGCTCGCAGTGTGCAAGCAGATTCGACAATTATGCCCCAGGTGTTCTCTTGGATTGATGGTACCATTGATGAGTCGCCTGGGTGCAATAGCTCAGACGATCACTGTATCGTGTTGCTTTTCAATCTACCATCTATGGGGGTCATATCGGTGGCAAAATGGGACTATTTGGTTACGATGGTAGCCAACGCCTTGAACCGCTACAAGCGCAACTCTCTTGCCTTGGTTATACATCCCAACCGTGCCTCCCAGAAGTCCAGGACACTAGTTCACCCATGGTTTTCCCAAACAACAAGATGTTGGAAGCCCACGGTTTTAAAAAACAATATCTTGTTCCACACTTTACCAAAACCCGGTAGATGGCCAAGCCCGAAACAAAATAGGTTTTGCCAAAACAACCGCTGGCAGGAATGACACCAAGACCGACCCTGACACGAAGGACGAGGAAAAGATAAAGAGAGATGATGAAGAGGGAGACCAAGATGCAGAAGACGCTGAGGTATGTGACGTTCGGTACCAACTTGAGAGTCTTGCTTGCACCATCTTGCACCTGAAGTTTGAAAACCTAGCAGGGTATCAGTGGTTGTTTGACTGCCTGTTTTGGCTGATCATTCTTCTTGCATCGCCATCCCTTTTTGTATCTTTCTTTCCTTCTTTCCCACCGTATTTCAAATGATGATTTCTGCACATAGGAAAGCTTTGGGGCTGAAAGAACGAGGGTTGCGAGTGCGACCTATCACATGGGTGTTTGATCCAGTCTCTTGGCCAAAAAAAAAGTATTACTTCGGAGCTCTAATGCAGACAGAATACCAATTTCTCCTGTAATCCTAATGTAGAAAATGCCAAACACTTTTCATAGCGATGACTTCCAAGGCAACTGTGTACGGTTCCCGAGACGGATGCCTATCTGGACTGGCTTGCATATCGAAGGACGCTACCAACATTTTCAAGTCATCCAAAGCTATGAAGAGTGGGGTAGTTCACGACGTACACATGCTGCCACGGACGGAGTTCTACAAACCTCCAGTTGCTTTGATGCATTCTAATTACTGCTTGGTGTGTGGGTTGATTGAACGATGGAACTACATAACTTAAATTCAGGGTGCGCTTGCAATCGTGAGGCATCCTCTCCCACCAAGTCGAGCCTACCCCATCTTGGACGGGCGCTGACTGACATCCAAGAGTGGAAGCAGGTGCCTTGGACTAGTTTATGTGCTGATAGATAGTGCCATTGTTTCTGGTTCAGTGATGTGTTGTTCATTGTTGATCCAAGTTTCATTTTTGAAAAGGTGTGCATATCTTTCTTGCATCTTCATGTCAGAAGAACCACAAGAGCCTCTTTCATTTTCAAAACACATCTGCCGATGGTCAACTGAATCCATAAGATATGATGTTTTCTGAGTTTGTAGCAATTTCCAATATTGTGAGGTGGCAGCCGGCACGGACATCGTGAAAAAGTCGCTAGCGGCGTTCACTGTGCCGACCGTGGCCACTACAATTGTTGTGGATGGCATGGCCTATGATGGGTTTCCCGCACTGGCAGCCCTAGAAGATACTTGCCTTTGCAACCCCCCAAAGAATCATAAGTCAATGATGCAAAATTACTGACTTGAGCGAATGCATCAGCCCTGTTCTGATCTTACCTTTTGCATTTCCATTCAAGTTTCTTAGATCCTAGGAAATTTGCGAAGGAAAGACTTTGATATCTGCATCTGTGATGTTGGACAAGCCAGCGGAGGAGTTGGGCGCACGCTTGTCCAATCAAATCTATGAGAGTTGCAGGGCTGGGAGATTGGAGTTGCAAAATTTCCCAAACTTTGAACCAACAATTGCCGCCTTGAAAGCTGGTTCTGCTAGAAGGGAATGTGGTGATTACAAAGTTTGCAGGCAGCAGGGTACCAAATTGGTTGTCCTTGAGTCTCTGGCTTCCAAGTTTTTGGAGACTGAGACGCTTGCTGACCGTGCAAGTGACTTGATCAAAGCTCACAACAAGACCTACAACCCTGACGGAGATTTCATGGCAAGTGAGAGGCGCGGACGGGTTCTGCCTAACATCACAAATAGGTATTATCTTCTTGAATTTCAAAACGAAAATAAACCTTTTGACAATGGATGTCTATAAACACATACCTTTAGCGTGTTTCTTGCTAAATAGTTTTTTAAAATCAGAGTTGTATCTTTCTCCTTACGCGGGGGCAGGGCTAGAAAGACAAAGGGAACCATGGACAGACGCACACACGCACACGTGCCCTGATACTATGTGTCCACCTCAATGCATTTCCCCTCAATTCCACCTAGTTGGATATCTCTGCCAGGACTGAGGCTACAGAGGTGCGAGAGCGACCGACGAAGAGAATCAAACTGGAACCAACTGCTGAAAGGCTTACCAAGACTGACTTGCAAAAACTGGAAGACCCGCAGTTTGTCTTCAAATTATTCACGTTGGAGTTAGCACCATTGAGTAAACAAGAAGTGCGCATTTTTAGAAATAGTTAGTATGCTTTATGAGATATCCTGTTGATAATCCTGTTTGATCTGGGGCAGAAGCTTCAGATCAACAACGCAGCAGAGCTTGTCAGCAATGCTGCCGGTGACGCCTTGTATCTTCTCTCCACTTCTGCCAATCAGTTCCTGCAGGGGCGTGAGATGCTCGAAGCTCAGTCGACATGGGCGTTCCAGCAACACATGTTCCGGGATATAAGACCATATGACATGATTGTATGAACTGTCCTTCCCATCTTGGAAAGTCAAAAGTTATATAGGAAAGTGAAATGGGTTGTTCAGCAACCTAGGTTCAGTTTTGGATCCGGAGAGTGGAGAGATGGACAAGCAACTTGGTAATGTCACCATGGGGCAGGTGTGGGCACAATGGAATGATTTCAACATACTTTTGAACAAATCTTGTGATTGCAACTCGGAAGCCGTAGAACCAACTAGCTGGGTGCACACAATTTCATGTCTCAACATTCAGGGATGTTCTCAATGTGGAGGCATGGGGTTATCGAATCCAATTCATCCTGTCTCTAAGGAAGGGCGTGAATCTATGGCCGACGCTGAAGGTCGCTGGTTTCCATTCTGCATATCTTTGGACTCTGCGCTGGTGATGTTGGAGAAAAAACACTTGCCTGAACACCTGACCTCAATGAGTTGCGTTGACACAACAAATACCTTGGGTACTGTGCTACTTGAACTTCAAGATGCCGGCGAGGCCGGGTTCAGCCATCTACAAAATGTCACAGCCTAACATGTAGAGCCCTTTACACTATATAGCATGTTTATATATCATATTATCCTGTTGGGAAACGAGTGCAACACCTCAAAATCCTAATTCCATAATATCCTAATCATATCTCATACCAACCATATAATAATATCCATCTCCATCAGCCCGCGCCCAGAGGTGAAGGTTGAGCTGTCGCACCACAAGCGCACTGACGGCGTCTTCCAGCAATCGAAGCCGCTGGTGTTCCTCCTGGATGAACCCAAGGTGTTAAAGGAGGAGAGCGAGGTGAAAGGAAAGAAAAAAAAGCAATCCAAACCGGTGTTTACGATAAATTCAGCATCTATTTTGGGGGTGTCTTTGGACGGTTTGATTAGGACATCATACTTAGGTCATACTTGGAGATTTCAGATACCACCGCAATGTTTGTGGAACCATGTTTAAAGCTGCATGTAAGTGTATGTATGCATAGTTGTCGAAGTTGGATTGCTATCTCAGGTTCTCAACATCAAGAACTATGGTGCTGTCTTGAATGTATCTTCGGTGAAGCAGTCAGCCAAGCTGGAGATTGCCTGGCGTATGAGGCCTCGACATATGTAACGACCACAGTCAAAAGCAGTTTGATTTTTTTGGGTATTTTAGTCCCACCCGAACCAGCATGTATGGAACATGCCCCACAACCTGTCCATTACATGCGTAAGAATCACATGGGTCGGAGTCGGAGTATGAAACAGCAAGTGATTCTTGTTTCAAGTCCATCATGTTTTTTTTGCACTGAGCACTTTTACCATCTTTTACCAACTTACCAGTTTGGTTCATGTTGTCCATATATATCGTAAATAGATCATTTGTTTGTATCCTAGATACCATATTCTGTTAATAGTAGATTATATCTTGTTGGGATCCGATGCTAAATTTTCAAAGCTTCCTTTGTCTCTGCGCCACAGGCTTGACTGCAACGCTGGAGACGGGGTCAAGGTTTTGGTCCCGATCAGACCGATCGCAGTCCTGACTGGCTCCATCGATTTGCCAGCTGGAGACAATGTACTGAGCCTGCTGTGAAAGGTTTTGACCATGGAAGCGAGTGTTGGCAAGGGATTTTGATGTAAGCACCACTGACCATTGGGATCTAGAATCAAAAAACAATGTATTTGTTTTTACCATCAAATAGAATCAATAAAGTTAGAATCACAGAATCTTTTTGCAATTCATGTCTGAGTTGGATGATCCTACCATGGTGCCCGGGCCCTTTACCAGCTGTTTGCAAACTGCATTGTTTGCAGTTCTTTTGTCCGGCTTTGGAGGAGATTGGACACTCAATGAAATATCAGTTCTTCCTTGGTGGAAATATTTCAAACAGAGTTGACCAATAGTTGAAGTGTCCAGTGGTCTCACCCTTTTCACAAGTCGTAGCAACAGACTAAAGATCGGAAAGCAACCTTGTTGAAAAACAAAACATTGTCAAGATAGTTGTTTCCAAGTGATGGGGTGATGTCCTGACATGAGTGATGCGTTGATAATTGAAATCTGTTTTTTGTTTCGCAGGCATTCTAGCACTAGTGTGGACTAGCTTTGGGGGGCCCACCTACGATGGCTCCAAAAAGGCCGATGCGTACAGTGTCAGATGATGATGATGGCAGCGAATCATGTGAGGAGGTCCGACCCCGGGAATTCTTCCGGCCACCGGCACCATAGCAGCAACAATGAGCTGAGAAAAAGCATTCCTTTTCACAGCCCATTTTGCATCATGTTGCTTTCTAACCAAGCCCCATCCCACATGTGTTACACATCTGACTTTGGACCCTTTCCTTTGTGTAACCAAAAGTTGGGTCAGAATATAACTATTTGTGATTACAGTATTCTATTTCTTAGCATTGCCCCATCTATCTAGTTGGGAACGTAACCTATTGTCGGGGTATTTCAAAGCTGTCACCCCGCCGAGGCATTTAGCCTTCAGGCAATTATGAGGGAGTCCGCTCCATCTGCCCAGCGCAGCAGTGCCTCCTCAGCACCATCGGCGCCTTCGAGCACTGCCGCCCCTCCTCGGATCGGCCGTTGCCAAGCTCAATTTTTGGACAATTGGATGAAAACCCAGGTCAAGGAAGGTCAATTTCATTTCAAGTCGGAAAGATGTATGATCACTACTCACTATACCGACCTGATTTAGGTTTCATGTCAATTCTACAGAAAGGGTGCCATTAAATTTTCAATGGATGGTTGGATCTAAGGACCAGCTGATGTGACGCCAGCTGCAATGGCTTCGCCCCTCCCTCCGCGCTTTGCTGAGGAATCATCTTCAGAGACTAGGATGCCAAAAGACGCCACGGGTTCCAAGGGTGGTAAGAAGCCCAAGAAAATGAAGTCTAAGTCTAAGAAAGATGATGAGTGTAAACATGAGAAAACCAAAGAAGAAGAAACAGAGGATGGTTCCGACCCGGATCACACCTTTGAAGGCCGTGATGATGATGATGATGATGAAAATGAGCCCGATGGTTCCGAGCATGGATCTAGGAAGAAACCTTCGACCAAAGGCAGCAGCCAAGATTCTAGCAGTCGCAAGAAACCAGCTGCTGTGATGAAGCGGCCTGCCAGCCAAAGGAAGGAAAGGAAGGCTTGTGAAGACGCAGCACAGGCGTGCCCTGAACTCACTCATACGATATTATGTGCGATTGGGGGGTCTGTTCATCTTACAAGATTCATGTCTTGGCAGTGTTCATGCGGTTTTTCACCACTGTAATTTGGGGTTGATTCCGAATTTTTTTTGGGGGAGGGCATCCAACCGTTGGACTATGGCAGGAAGTTGCTGAAGGACAAGAACGTCTCCCCTTTCAGCATCTCATCGAGGACAAGGACACAATGCTTGACACTCCCAACTCCAACAAGCCGTTCCTCGTCATAACATGGTCTTCAAATCACAGTTGCCAACAGACTCAACAACGTTCAAATACAATTCCCAAGTATAATCCAAGAAAATAATTGTCGGATGAAATTAAGTGCAATGACTTTATTGGTATGATGATGTCTCTTTTCTTTTTATTTTCTTTCACCTCCACAACATACCTAAGGATTCCAAATGACGAAGATTTGCTGTATCCCGACAACCAGCTTGGACTCTACCCGAATTCGGACGAGAAATACCAGAAGGTTTCCTGGCTGAATTAGTTCAACTCGTCATGCATTCCCTCATATAATTATCATTTTCCATTTCCATTAGCAAATCCTCCATGGTTCGGAGCACCAGCCTCCAAGCTCAAATTCCAAGCATATGCTCTGCAGGCCTGCTGCTATAGGCTGTCTATGACTAGACATTCTACAGCAGCAGGCCTGCAGAGCCAATCGCCATGCGTCCTTAGGTTTGGAAATGGGTGTTGCATGGTGTTGCGCCATCACATTTACTTAGAAGAATGGATGAAGTCGTCTTAAAATTTAGTCCAACCACGTTTCAATCTCAAACAAGGTGAGGGCCAACCAACATCCCAACACCAATCAAAAATATTTGAAAGAAACTGATTGGGGAAATCATGTTGGGAGGAAGCGGGGTTTTACCTTTAGTGGTGTTAGTATGATTGGTCCAAAAGATTGATATTCTACAATCATGGGGCCCATACGGTTTAGATTTAGTATGATTGGTCTAGCAACCTAGCCATTAAATGCCATTAATTATTGTTTTACGTTTCTTCAGATTTTGTTCCACAATTCTAAAGCCCTTCCACCAGCATAAACTTATTGTTGTACATGTCTTCTACGTATCCAAAGCCCATTAAAGCCTTATCCCTTAATAACTTACTGTTTTATACCTTATATATACGGGACCGTTTTTCTGCTTCTTCTGAGGCCATGGAGGAGATTCAGATGCAGATCGACGACGTCGCTGAGGGAGATCCCAATTTGGGCAATGGATCTTCAGCCCCTATGGTGCCAATGCTTTGCACTCCTCCATGTGCAAAGCGTGCTGTTGCCACACCTCAGCAGTCTGCGGCCACATGTCAGTCTGCTGCGGATCTTCATCAATCCGAACAACCCAGTCAGTCCCAGAAGCTTGATGGCAATGATGGAGAGCTTGTCTCACTTGACATGCTTCTTGCGACGAAGGAAGCAGTGACCCAAGCCCTTGAGCTGGTGACAAGCCACATGGAAAGGACAGGGATGTCCGTTGATGACTGCGATGTGGGACTATGTGAGCAAGTTGCTGCCGCCGCAGCACCACCTTCGCCACCTCCCTTGCTGCAGCCTTCCAACCTGGCTTTCCCAAGCCCCTGTGATGGTGAGGTGCCTCAGATCAAGTCTCTGAGCGTGGCCGGCCCTGGTCAGGGCTTCGTGGCCAACATCAAGATTGCCGCTGAGTTTCAGCCACGGATCGAGCCAGGATCCAATGCCGAGGTTGGTGATGGAACTGCAACCCCTAGCTCTGGTCCTGAAGAGGAAATTCAGGATGATGTTCGTGGTTTGAGTTACTCTCCTAGCATCCCGGCTACCCAGCTTGAGGCAAGCCCGGGAAAGCAAGGAGAAGATGAGGAGGTGATTCAGGCTCCTTTCCCAGTGGAGTCAAGCCCAGAGGCAGAGCCAGCGCCTGATACTTCCAACCCATGTCCAGAACCCAAGCCGGAGAAGTCAAAAACTGCTCGCAAACGCCCGGTCGCCACAAAGGGCGACAATAGCAAAACCAGTGCAAAGAGCAAAGCAAAAGCTAGCGCAAAGAGCAAGACGAGCAAAGCAACGCCCAAGGCCAAGAGCGTTGCCAAGGCCAAGAGCGTTGCCAAGGCCAAGAGCGTTGCCAAGGCCAAGAGCGCTGCCAAGGCCAAGAGCGCTGCCAAGGCCAAGAGCGCTGCCAAGCCCAAGAGCGCTGCCAAGGCCAAGAGCGCTGCCAAGGCCAAGAGCGCTGCGACCAAAACCAAGACCAAGGATGGTGAGAGACCGGAAGATGAAGAGACAATTTTGAAGCGCAAGCTGCACTGTGTAGCTTGGTTGTGCTTCAAAATGGGAAATTGTTAATGACAATGATATCATTTGTGTGACGCCAGCAAAAAAAACATCATTTGAGCCTTGCCATACCTGTGAGGTATACTCGGCTGAGTCCAAACGCCTTGCGGCCTTGGGAGTTTCGCCTGCTGAGAGGAAGCTGCTTGCAAATGAAACTCGCAGAATGCAACTCGGCTCAAAGCGGCCATCAAACTTGCATTATTTTTGGACGTGTGCCATGTCGAGCTGGGAGTTAAATTTTCCCCCATATCCACACTTACTATCCCTTACTATCCTTTTTCCTTCCATCGATTTTCACTACCCTTGACATACTTTTAGCCAATTTGTTGGTCCTAGGTGGGCTCGGGAGCATCCGGATGCAGCCACCAGTGCTGTGATTGCCAAAGCCTTGAACATCTGAAAAACTTCAATGGGAACCAGTGCAAACAAGGTTCCAGCTGCGTTCTTAGACGCATGCACCACTCGCGGGGGTATCGCTGAGCAAGAAAAAAACGGCGATGGATGGGATGCCTGGGTGTAATCAATCATGATTATGGGATATTATGGGTATTACTGTATGGACAACATGGTTTATTCTCTTCACACCTCCCGATCCAGATGCTCAATGCAAAGGAGCTAGTTGCCATCATAATTGCATATATATATATATTATTTTATTATATTATATTATATTACATTACATTATATTATTTTATATATATATATTATATATATGTAGATGATTATACAAATCTAAGTATACATTATATATTATATAAAAATATGTGTGTGTGATATTATCTCATTCTATATGCGAAGTTGAATATGGCAGCAGTTCAGCATAGTTCAACGAACTTCACCGCCAACTTCGATCTGACCGAAGCAGCAAGGCGCTTTGACAAATGAACGAAATGAACACTTGTCAAAAGTTGTCAAAGCTTGTCACACTTCACACACTTCAACATCTTCAACCCTTTTGGATGGCCTTCTGGAGGCGAATGAAACACTCCGTACATTCAGGTCAGATGGACTGACTGAAGACAATGAAAGCAACGGGCAGCAAACAGTCCTGTATTGCTGCTTCTTTGTATCCTGAGCATCCATTGAAACACGTTCATGCCACAAGACTCTTGTTCGACTGCGTTTTTTCAGCTCGAAACTGCGGAAAGTCTTTAAGAGCGAAGTGGAAACTTGAAACAATTCAGGTGCCCAATCAGATGCCATGCTGACTGATACCAACCATCTCCCAAGAGCCAACAAATCTCGATGGAGGCATAATCTGTACTCTCCGGAAACCAGGGATGTGGATCACGAAGACAGACCAAGAGAAGGGACTGAATGCCCTGGGAGCAAGTCAACATCCTGGAACAATCCCAATGTTGATATAACAAAAGATTTGAAATTCATTGAAATTTCAAGTGTACTGTAGAATAGTATAACAACAGAATGAGCTTGTTTGCCGCGCTTCCATTCGCAAAGGCAAGCTCCAAATCAACGTCCGGAGGTTTTGTGCGGCTCTAGCTGCCTTGAAGCTCCCTGCAACGGGTTTCCTCGCGAGACTCATCGAGATTCAAATGTTGCAATCAATGATTCTACAATGTCATGCAATATCTTAAAGGCAAGTCCTTAATCTCGGGGACTCGATTCCGAATGTCTTCAACCACTACACGATATGAACAAGGATTAAATCTGTTCGAAATGTGACTGCAAAGACCTATCCTCGTAGATGTTGTTTGATGTGCTTCTTACGCAGATATTGTATTTGTCTTGCCTCTTGTTGCACGACCTATGCTTGGCATGATCTTGTTACCGACACTGTTCAGAGCCAGAAAGCCATTGGTCGAAAGTTGGAACGGGTCAAGTGGTGCCAAGCATCCACTTGCTCTTCTCTTTCTCGAAGGCCTTGGTCCAAGCCAAACCGCAGTCCAAACCGTGGGCCAAACCAAATCATCTCGGATCCCCTCTCTGCCAGCTTTACCGGATCCTACACCGTTGAAGCGGCTGAGTCCAGCACCTGCACCAAATTCACCTTGAAAGATCCGCGAAAGCACATCTGACACATCTTTCAACAGCCGATGCTCAGAGGATACATCAGGATACATTGGTCTGTTTAAAATATTTTGAAATCTAAATCTGTTCAGCTGAGCTGCAAAGAGCATCAGGTCCAAATGCCCGTCGAGCTCTTTCGGCCATGGGCACTCAAGCTCTAATGCTGTGCAGCAGTCATGAATCACGGTCCTGAGGACTGCATGATCCAAACAAAATTGATTCCATTAATGCAAATCTATGCAAATCTTATGATGCATTTCATTCTATGACGAGCATGTGAGCAGCGTCCATGTGCCGCCAAGATGCAGCACATCTCCCACACAAACTGGTAGGTCACTCCCTCTGTCACCAGGCTCCAGTCTATCCAGCCTCCTGAGTTTCAACCGCTTTTTGTACAGGCCTTCCAATGATCCATGTAGACTTGTCGTGAAAAAATCTGTGCAGAATCGCTTCAGGACATGATGGTGCTCTCCTAGGACCCGACGCTTCAGGATGCTCTAAAAAGATCCATCAAAACTGTGATAAATTGCCGCTGCAAAAAACGTTCGTTGCACAAGTGCCAGGTGTCTCTTTTTGCAAGACCTCGTTGAGCGACGAGTGCATTCCCAAGATTTGCTGCTCATCTCTAGCCTTTCACTCGCAAGCTCGTCGCAAGCTCGTCGCAAGCTCGCAAGTTTCAACTCTCTGTCAGTGAAAAAAGCTGCAGCAATCATTGAGATCTTTCAATCCAAACTCTGCTGGCAACTCCAAAAGCTTCAAACAATGAACTAAAACAAAAACCGAAGTGAAGTTTTTTGAACAGTGTAGACATTTATTATACATTTATCTGGGAATGGTGCTGATACTTTCCAGTCCTGTTCGCTCAAGGTGAACTCCAGGAACCAGAGCAAAGCACACAGCTCACTCTTCTCCACGGACTGGCGGCTTCCTCAACTGGCCGCAAATTCACAAATCTGCAAACCAATTGTCAACAAATAAATTCCAAAGTATTCCAGCTTGCCTTGCCATGCCTTGCCCATCTCAAGAGTCTCAGTCGTATCCAGTCTTTTGAAAGTCTTTTGAATCCAAGTTCAACTCGGTGGCATTTACATCTTAGATCATCTAGTGATTCTAGTGATTCTAGTAACTGCATGGAGATTTAGCGTTCGCATGCTTGTCGAGGCCATGCGACTTGCGAGCATCTCTGCAAGCGCGGTCACCGCCAGACGGATGAGGCCCGAAGCACTTGAAATTGCGGAAACCGATGAAACTTGGAAGAACTTGGCACTTGGCTCCTCGAACACATTGCATCATGTTTCACGTTGGATGACGTTGCATCATGTTGCCAAGCTTCTTTGCAAAGACGTGAATGGATCGACTGCCAATCTCAACATGTTAACATGATTTCACATGTTTTAGCATGACTGAAACATGACTGAAACATGACTGAACGGATCTGAACCTGTTGCATCTGGGCAGTCTGGGCCTTAGGCAAGTCCACTCCATGCACCTGGGCTGCAAATGTCCGCAGGAAATCATGGCCACGGGCTGCCCAGCGCAAAGACTCCGCAAGCAACGCCCAGCGTAATGCCTCGCAACTCGCATATGTCACCTCTGGTGACCAGACTTTAGAGATCTTTGGAAGAGAGGTGACCCAGGAATGTCAAACAGCAGAGATACGAGATATGTGCGTGCGTGGACAAGTCTGTATTTTTGTAGCCATGCGACTTGTCGATTCGACAAGCGTATCCTCTCATTTACAGCAGGATCCGTCCGTCTGGGCCACGAAATGGCAGGAAAAAGTGCGTGCGTGCGAAGCTGTGTGTGTCTCTCGTGAACGGGGTCTAGGTCTGCAAGAACTCGTACTTGAGACCCTGCCAGGTGAACACCTCGCCTCCAAACTAAGGACCGACACTGTGAAGCAACGTCTTGACGCCCGGGGAGTTCATTCCATAGCTGTACCCCACCACCCCCACATGCCATCTCCCGGCCAATTTAGTGAATTTTAGTGGTAGTCAGACAGTTGTTGTATGATCAATGGTTGGACGTTTTGAAAGCGACGAGATGCGCAGCTCACTGCGTATTTTTTACGGCTCAATATGAATCCATTCGCATGGCTATTCCCCTCTCCTCTAAAGATTGAGTTATATCCGGCATGATTCCAGAAGGGATGGTATGGTTCAAAGGGTCAAAGGATATATACCAAAAAGTGGCAAGTGAGAGTGTCAGTGACTTGCCAAGACTTAAGAGTATTGCCTAGAATATCCTAGAATGCATTTGTAGCAAAATCATATCCTCCCTCTCTGCTTTTGTAGTATTATTGTTTGTAGTATTCTGTTTCTCGCAGTGCGGACTTGTGGAACGATGGCAATATTTATCAGCGTCTGATGCAAGGTCGTTTTGAAAATTGAACGTTCAGTGAAACCCATTGAACCTACTTCGCAAGTCTTCAATTGGTCCATGTCTTGCATGTGTTCTAATTATAATATGATATTTTTGAGACTGTGTCTACCCGCCAGATTAAACGAAAACTACATTCTTTTTTGATATGCCTTTTCCATCGTTTTCCCTAGAGCCTCAGGGAGGTCCAGCTCTGCCAAGAGCAACTTTGTCTCTTCGTCAGGCACAGCTGCTTCCCACTTCGACCAAACCTCCTCGCAGCATATTCCCGAGAATCTTGAGCGCTCCATGGAGAGGACATGGTTCTTCAACCCGTTTCATTCAACAAAAACACAAGTAACACAAGTAACACAAGTACCACCAAGGCCGAGAAACTGAAGCTAAAAACATCTAAAAAACATTCAAGTGAGCAAAAACCAATGCGAAAGTGAGCACTGACAAATCTGACAAGCAAGGTCCTCGGGTGTCCTCTGGAAGTTTTCATAGGTGTAGGGAAAGAAACCCTCTGTGAATCTAAGGTCGGCGTCGTTCTCAGCGCGGCAGCGCGTCCCTTGAGGTCTCTGGACCTGGAATATCGATGGCACGAAAACCTTGGGCCACAATGCTCGGACTCCATGCTATGACCATGCTCGAAAACAAACAGACGCCATTCGAATACATTAGAGATAACACTGTGACAACACTGCCCACAGGCCAACGAGCAGCTGTTCAACTAGTTCGTTAAAACGTGCTACCATTACACTTTGCGAACATCATCAGATTGGTGCTTTCCAATGAATGCTCCCGAGTTGCCGGTGCGCAGAAAGTGAGTAAGAATAAGGTTCTGCGATGCACACCATGGGCCATACAGGCCAACGCCGTAGATATTTGACTCTGAAAGGCATTGAAGGGTCTCAGGTAACTCTGGCGTGCTTTTTTAGTTCAATTCTTGTTGACGGGTCTCTCTATTTACCATGCGTTCTCACTACAACATACTACAACCGAACTGGAACAAAGAAAACTCAGCTTTGCAAAGTTGTCAAGAGTTGCTTCTCTACTATGTCTGATTCTCCACTTTCCGCAGCTTGAGAATGGCTGCGAGTTTGGCTGGCTTGGGCTTCATTTGCGCAGCCTTTTCGGAAGCAACAAACCTAGAATCAATTTCATGCATGACCAAATTCAGGTTGGGGATTTATTTTCTGCATCGAGAAGTTTGCCTGCAACCTCCTCATCATATCCATCCGGCTCCACAAAAGTCCCCTATGGAGTGAAACACATTCTCGAACAGTGTCAGCCGAGAGCAACACATTGAAGCGTATCAAAGCCACGCTGGCACCTTTCTGGGAATCCTTGCAAGGACACCAGGGTTCGGAGCGACAAAGCACCAGGTTTGCAAGAATATGCAAGAATACTCCTCCCCAGGTACTCGTATTCCCGTCATTTCCCGTCTATCCTTTTGATCTCGTGCTTGCAAGACACGACCAACATCATGAGGCCCCGACCCCAGTGCTACCACCAACAGTGTAGCTAACAGCCTCGGCACGGCTCATTAAATCGTAGTGACAAGCAGCAACTCTCCAGGTGGGGCCAGATCGGTTCTGCAGAAACTGCTTTGAGAGCTCAAAATATAAATCCAAGGAATCTCTGATGTCGTGTAAACTGAGCATTCCAAGGACTTCAACAGCCATCCCCGACATGGCGATCAGTAAGTGGCACTAAGTCTCTGTAAGTTTGCAAGTGCAGGTTGTCAAGCGAAGACTATGCTATGCTCCCCGCGAAGAGGTGCAGAGAAATGGGAAAAACATGCGCCTTGCTGAGAAAAAAGCGAGCCAAGCCGAGTCTTGACCGAGTCTTACACAGACATACTACGCAAACATTGTCACTTGTGATGCGTAGGAGACTTGAATCCTGCGCAAGATAAAAGTGGGTGTCAACTGTCGCATTTTTTGGATGGAGTGTTCATGATGTACGGCAAAAGTATAGGTGCATATACAATCATCAACACATTGTACATCTCATAGTATGACAATGCAGAGATACAATGCATATATACATATATTAGTAATTCTGCAACATTCAGGGATGGCGACTTGGTTCAAACCATTTATAGTTTGAATAGCATGGGATATAGGCCAATGCAAAACCATTTGTTGATTTCCGGCACCATCCCAGTAGGAACGGGACCCATCACTGGCGGAGTATGGCGGAGTGGTATCACTTATATAATGTATTATACAATAATCATATATATATAGCTATGTATACACTATACATAGTTGATATTAATTAATCAATATTATATACTGTAATCATAATTATACATACCGAATATATGCGTGTATATATATGACATACACCAGTACATCCTGTGTCAAACTCTCAAACTCCGTGAGTTGTCTGTATTTTTTCGATTGCACTTTAAACGCCCAAGTTTTGCGGACGTGTTTGCTGGTTTTGAAGTATTCTTGTATGTAAGGGCAAGCGAGAGGCAGAGAAGGCCAGTGTGTGAAGTTTTTATTCGTAGGTCCTCGCCTGCCTGACAACCTGCTTTGTGACTGGAAGTGACTCTGGTCTCTGCAAGACTTTGCATGGTTCAGTAGTGTCTCACTTATTCTTCCTCACTGTTTGTGGTTCCATTTTGGTGTCTCTCACGGAATGCTTTTCTTGTATCTTAGAGGACATGTGAAAAAATCTGTGTTCCACATTCGAACCCTGTTCGAATGTGGAACACAACGGTTGGATTGACACAGGTTGCGCCAATAAGTACTAGCTTACCAGCGTACCAGCGTATCAGCGTACCAGCGAAACAGCGTATCAGCGCATCAGCGTTGTAACCTGCCTGTGGCATCCTGCCTTTGGCATCCTTTGGCTTTCTTTACGTTTCTTTACTTTGCTTTACCAGGTTTACCAGGCTGAATAAGAGCGGCGAGCTGCTGCGGGGGAGTTGCACACTGTATTTCTTCCGCTGACTTCATGCCCTCATGCCTTCATGCTTTCATGCCTTCAGGCTTGCCTTTGCATTTTACGATTGCTGTATGTGTAGGACAGCTGTATCTTTATACCTCATGCCGTCTCAAGTCATGGCTTCACGACATGCCTTGGAATCTGTGAGATTGATATCCAGCGTGTAGATGCGGACAAAACTATCGAGGCTCCAAACCTGGCACAAAGTCGAGTCCCAACTGACCGTGGTGAAATCGTACTGAAATCGTACTGCTTGTGTGGAGTCAATGTGGAGTCAATGTGGTGAAAATGTTGGCGTGAAGTGCTGTAATGCGACTTGTCCTGTTTGGAATGCCAATGCTGTAAAACAAGAGAGCATACATATGAGGCCCACCTGCACCCGCAGGTCCAAACCGCATGAGACTGCAAATCCTAAAAGCGGAAAAAAAAACGGCAAGGAATTTTTCACTGGGGTGTCACTGGGGTATCTACCACAAAGTCTGTCTCTTTCTGATACTCCTCTTCCGTTCTATCATGTTCTAGTTATAACCATTTGAACCGCACCAGCCTCCTAGATACTCGTACTTGCAAATTTTATGAATTTTGTCGAGGCACTCTGTGCGACTGCTTTCTCTGGACGGTTGTAGAAACAAACCATTTCAACCTTGGTGCAAGCCCCGATGCCCGTGTCTGTAGAATCAACCGCAGGTGAAGCGAAGCAGTCTGTTTCTGTCATTTTCCATCTACAAACAAAGCTGAGCTTGGTGCAGGCCGTGTGTGACCATAAAAGGTGTGCTCTAACCTAGAACACATGAGGCAACGGTGTTTAAGTTGTTTGTCAAATCGAACGCTCACTTGGAAATGTTGTTACAGAAGAGTGGTGCATTGGTAGTCTGTTAGTTTTGCCACGTTTTGGCTACGGTACACATCCTGTGCATGGGTAGTCTGTCAGCTTGGCATGTTTTGGCTCCTGTGCGCGGCTCAAGTGGCACCAAAGTCCCACCTTGTACAAAGACCATCTGAAACAGCGCTGCCAACAGGTGCGTCAAAAGCCTCAGGATCAAGCACACCGACACGCCAAACCTTCAGCTGTGGCACTGAATGCTACCGGGTTCTCACACAAATTCAAAACATTTCAAAACCATAGCTGCGGTGGCTATGGTATAGATTCATAGATGTCTACAGTCTGCATTTCACTGTCCCTGCCAAAGTCAGCGATTGAATCATGGCCTGTATGCTCCACAAATGGACAGCGCCACTAGCAGCACCTCCAGACTCAAAGAGCAGAGATTGTTTGCAAACGAAATAATTAAAAAAACCGCTGTCTCAGGTGTGCTTGCATTCTTTTGATTTGTTTTGTATTCTTTGTCCTCTCTCAGTTCCAACCTGCATTTGAGTTTGCGAACCTTTGCACACAACCTGTCAAACACCAAGCCTGTCATCATCTCGGCTTGACTGGATGACAGCATGTGTAGATGTGCACTACAGACCTCGAAGTGGACAAGAAGGAAATCTTTCTAGACTCTCAGCAATTAGCTGAAGAAACCCGATAAACACAACAACACGCCAGCATGAGAAAAAGAAGGACTTCAACAAAGCAGCTTTCGGTATTCAAACAGGCAGTAAGGTGGGTGCGAAGGGCATGTTGCAGGATGCCACCAGGGTCAACTGCGCAGAAGAGTCTAATATAGTCTAATGTTCTTGTATATACTGATTGACACGCTAGTGAAACAATGGAAACAAAACAACAGAAAACTTAGCTCCATGCAATCTCAGCACGAGAGCAGTCTCTTGAAAAAAAATGAAACTCTTTCGCTTTCGACTGATGTTCAAAGCAAGCACGACGCGACTCTGAAACCTACCTCATTGTCCAGCACTACCAGCGTCTTGTACCCCGCAACTATGACCCTGCACCCAGGAAGTTAATTTGTATGGCACCAAGAGGCCATGCACAGCTTCTGTAGCTTGTTAAACAAGATCATGTAGACGAACGCCGAAGAACGCAGACTAGACATGTTGGCACCTCTGTTCCGCACTGCACACAATCCGGTACACCGGCTCGGTGGTGATCTGACAGAGAAAGATCCCTGAAAATCCCAGAATATCAAAACAACATAGCATGAAGAGATATGAAAAGGTTTTGTAAATGTGTGAATGTGTGTAACATTTTGCAACATGTCACGCGAAACTGACCTTCAACACTCACCAGGTTGCACAAGTCAGAAGTCAAAGACGGACCTGCTTCACCAGATTTAGCTGCAAGTGATACCTCTGCCACTTGCCGTGCAACAAAAACGAAAAACGGTCAAAGTAGATTGGCAAGTGTTCAATCTAAAGGATGAAATGATACCTGCAGTTATCATACGAAAAATGTACAAAAACAATCAAAAACACGTGTTTCAAATATTTGAGGACGTTGGTGTGAAGCCACTCCTCGCAGGCGCACTCAAGACCACGCAACTTGGAAGTGTTGATTCGTCGTTCTCGGCTCTTTGTCAGCTGCCACCTTTGAGAATATCGCTGGCTCATCTGAGAACTTCAGCAGCAAAGCCCACGTATCTGCTCTTCTCTAAGCCCATGGCAGCTCGCAACCACATTCACTACCAGCCAGGATCTGAGCCGAAGACTTGAAGACGTGAAGACGCGAGGACGAGACACGGTAGCGACAACATAGGGCCAATTCCAGGCTCAATGATGCTCAAAAGATCTCAAAAGATCTCAAAAGATCTCGAAAGGTGCAAGCAGAGCAAGCTCTTGAGGCCACTGCAAAACTCCCAGCTGTGGAAAGGCATTCCAAACAAGTCACCTGGCTGAAGCTTGAGCTGTCTTCAAGTACACTAAGTACACGTTCACTTCCCCAATTCCATCCAATTCCTAGACAAGTAGGGGTCCTGTTAGAGACTGGATTCTAGACTCCACTCCAAAATCTGCAGATGCGGCTTTGAAATGTTCTATTCTGCTCTCACTCGCCTTGCCACTCGCTTTGCGGCCACTCTTCTTCTCCTTGTCTCCTCGCAAGGCCAATCGAGCCTGCCATCGTCTTGAAAATCGTAGTGAGTCAGTCAAAGTCTATGTCATCTTGGTCCACATCAAGCTTTGACACGGAAACTGTCCTTTCATTGCAAGATATCCATCTTTGAAGTAACCACTGGAACCTATCTAACATGGTGCAAAGTACATGGTTCCAAGGTGCAAGATATCGGTTCAATTTATTAAAATTCATTTCGTTAAAAAAATGCAATAGATTGCAACACTCCCAACAAATTGATCAAATTGCTCAGTCCAAAAATGTCCAAGAGCTCACCTGCTCGAGCGCAAAGGACTCCACCAAATCCAGGCTCAGCGAATAGCACTGGCAAACCGAAAAGCACAACGAAAGGCTCAGGATGAAGAAAAGGGAGAAAAAAACAGGAACAAATGACGAAAGGAGACCGTTGTGTTGTCACGATGTGGTGTGGTTTGCACGTTTCGTCCCACAAACTTAACTCATACATCCCTGCTCATGAATATACTTTTAGCTTGCAAATCGCCTTTTTCACCACGGTCAACAGCATCTGGCTGCCCAGAACAGAAGATCTAGAAAAAGATCATCCATTACATCTGGTGTACATGTCTTGTACATGTCTTGTACATGTCTCAGTCGAAGATGGCAACGTCGAAGAGTTTTCAAAGGTGCGCTTCCGTCAGATCAATTGATTCGGTAGCACCTTCCTGGCAACTGTCAGGCAAAATGCAGAGTAATGTGGGGAAAGCATTTGCACTCTACGAAATATTCCCAACGAAGTGATTTCTCATACATGAGTCAATAGGGAGTGAGAGAAATCCGTGTCTACAATTGACAATGGAACATTCATGTTTAGGAGTGTATCTATGCACACAGATCTGTACAGGAAAGTAATGAGAAAAAATATATATTACAAATAGGGTATCGGTACGTATTTAGTCTATTGATGCATATTTAAAATATTTATATGTTCCTTGCAAATGAGCTCAGAAAGAAACGTGCATTGCGCGAGCCTGGCGAGTCAAGAGTCACAGGAGCCTCGGGCGCTCAACCAGGGTCGCCACTGCGCCAGCTGTGGAGCGATGGCCTCTGCTTCGGTTTTGCTTCGCATTGAAGACTTCGTTGAATCCGTTGAATCAGATTCTGAGCGATCGCCCACCATTCTGGATCTTGGCAGAGGAGCCGTGCCTTGCTCAAACATGTCATATGTCAGAATCTGATTCCCCAATCGCTGAATCTTTCCAGTGTGACAGTGGTCAATGCAGGTCACCCAGCGGAACCGTTTGGATCCGTTTGCACTTGGCCAATGTGGATACTGCTTCGCATATGTCTTGCAAATTTGTCCTAATTACAAATGTCATCAAATTTCATCTTTTTCTAACTCTGCGACTCTGTGTCACTTTACAGATTGGAAGCAGTGGCTGAAGGCCTGCAGGAACTCTTGCCTTCTGTTCTGGAGTGCAGCTGCGACTCTTGCGGCTCAGTGTGCCTGACGAAATGTGCTCCCCTGTATGTGTGTGTGTGCGAAAGATTGCGTACAGTGTTGCGTTGAAAAGGTTGAAATCTGAGGCCGAACTACAAAGCACAAAGTATCACAAAGTCTTAAAGTAGCACAAATCACTGCGATCCAAGTGTCCTCGGATTCCGATTCCTGGAATTCGGACAGGAACATGTGCTGATTCATGGTGGCGACGGCAACGTCCTGCCAAGGTCCAAGCCCACTATTCCTCCGTATTCCTCTCCCTTGTTCGATTTTGCTTCAACGAAAGTGCAAGAAATTGATGGAAATCCAGTCTTTTGGAAAGTTGAGAAACTTGAATAGGGCCTTGCTAATGCTTTGATGTTCTGTAGCGAATTGCTGTCCTGCAAGTCTGGAAGGTCGCCATTCTCTGAGAAAAGCTGCTTGACGACTGGCGTCGAGGGATCACGAAACATATACACCTCAAAATGCAAAACTTTGCAAAACATCTCAAAAAGTCTTTTGCAGAGTCTTCTAGGGTCTTTTGCAGAGTCTTACCGGACGCAATGGTGAAAACATCAGCACTGAAAAAAAACAAGGAGCTGAGTGTGCTGCAGAGTCTAAGGGGCATGTTGCCATCATGTTCAATGCATTGTAGCTGCAAAAGACAAAGAGGGCCTCACATCAGCAAAAGGTAGGCTTAAAAATCATTGGCAGGTAACAGCATCATCACTGTCACCGAGGGTGATTTATATCAGCTGAGTTGCCAAAGGAATCACATAGATGGGCACTGCCACAGCCCACCACTTGTCCGGGTAGTAAGTTATTCCCCAGCTATGCAACCTGGGAATGGTGAGCAAATGCTGTGATTGTTTGAATGTTTGTTTCACACGTTCTGCAGTTCTGTCGTTTCACCTCCAATTGCAGAAAGCAATGTGGACAAACAGTGGACAGATACCAGCTCACGGCTGCCATTTTACCAAGTAGCAACTCTTCTGGTAGGAAAACCCAAACAAGCCAAACCTGAAAGCAGCAATACATGCTGCAGTGACAGCATTTTGTCCGTAGTATCTCAGTATCTGAAATGCGACGCTTGGAAACCTTTTAAATTCCAACCTGGAATTTTGACGGTTTTGACGTAGTTATTTGATCTTATTTGTGTGATTTCCAGTCTAAGCACATTTCCCGAAGCAGGTCTGGTCCAAGTGGAAGTCCCATAAAGCGTATCTTGAAGTAGTTACTAAAGAGGACTACAGTCTGGTACAGTCTGCTTCAGTGCAACCGAAGAGCCAGTAAGGCCAAATGCGACGCCAAATAGCTGGCAAAGCTGTAAACCTAGTGCAATCCGACTTTGAGACTCTCGGTCAAACACTGGTCCACCAACATCTTATCAAACCGAAGCTGCCGGGAGAAGTATCATTGGGAATGCTTTCAAGGGGGAGAGCAGGTGAAGGAGTGAGCTTTAGAAGCTTCCCTGGATCAAGAGGATGATCTGTGCAATCCATCCATTGCAAAAAAAACAGCCACATTGAAGCACACCAGCCGTGAAGCGACTAAGTAAGTGATAACTTTAGAACTTTTTATAACTCTCGTCATTGCTAACTCTCTCTCTCTCTCTCATCCAAGAATGCTTCTTCTGATCGCGAGAAATTGTGGCATTTGTTCTAAATTAGCTGGTGCCTCAGTGCACAGGCGGTCTGACATCTCCAGAATTTTCGGCGACGGCAACAAGTTTGTTGCAGGTCAATGTGAGAATATGTGAGAATGCATGTGTCAAAATGTGTCAAAATGTGTCAAAATGTGTCAAATTGTTTCCGCATGTCCTGTGCTTTGTTTTATCATGTCGTCTTTTGAATTTCACTTTGAGGCAATAACGCAGTGAAGAATCCGACGTGTCTACAATTTTCCCGCCATTCGATTTCTTTGCTTGAGCATGCAGACAGCTGGGAAAATGTGGAAAACGTGCAGTGCTCAGTCTGTGTTGGCTTTGAGTGTCCTATGTGTCCTTCACGCTTGGCATTCTGCAGCATCCACCAAGGCTGGCCTTGAGTGTCATGTCTACCTGTCAAAGCAAATCAATAGATTCATAACAGGTGTCTGTTGTACAACTTACGTTAATAAATTAAATATAAATTAATATGCATTTGTACATGTTATAACAATTTTACAATATATATATAGAAAGAGAGAGAGAGAGAGACATCATTGTACATACAAATATGGATGCATGAGGTATGTACTGTATCTGTTTGTATGTATTCTGTGTACATGTTTGTGGGTGTCTCTGTATATGCATGCATTTGTATGCATGTGCCCAATGTACTACGGCAGGACTGGAGGTTTGCCCGGAGGCCATTTGATGTAGTCTATTGTCGGAAATCCATTTTACCTGCACCACTGCAGTACAAAAAAAAAATGGGAATGTGCATCCTGTGCATGCTTTAAATTGAGTCAAACAGGTTATCTCTGTTCTTTTCTTGGTAACCTGATGCTGAGAAGCACGGTCCGTTGGGCAACCCTTTGCACAGTCTTCAGAGGGTTGGTTCCAGTTGCATGAACCCTACATACCATATTTAGCCATGGCTTTAAGTCGACCCAGATTGGACCATTTCGAATGTAAGTTAAAAGACTAAAAGAAAGTGGCATCTACAAGATTCTCAAAATCGATTAAGCACTGATCGAATTCACCTCCCACTTGGACCCGGAAACCCCCACCTCTGATGCCCACCCCAAAGCTGAAATAAAAGGAAATGCCAAACCAAGCTTGTCTTCTAGAAATGAGTTGGCCCAGTGGTGCAAAAATACATACCCACTGAGACAAAAGGCTCGCAATGTCCCCCATTCCTGGTAAAGAAAAAAATCGAGCGCACAGGTTTGCCCGCATGTTCATAGATGGGAATAAAGCTGCGGTTGTCACAAGCTACATCGCCTGTCCTCGCAAATCTTTGTAGGCATGTTCAACATGTTCACTGACGGTAATTAATCCTTCAAACTCCACATCGGTGAAGTGTAGGCCTCCCCAGTAACAATGGTGGAAAAGTTGGGGCAGAAGGTCATCGCAGAAACCATGGACCTCAGCCACAAAATGCGGTGCCGGAAAACAGAGCAACTCGCATAGATCCTACAATGATCCTACTGAATCCACCAATGGAGCCATCACAACTTCATCACAACTTCATCACAACTCTTCAAAAGGCAAAATCCTTTGCAATATTCAAGCGTCCAGAAGTAGCTGCAAACTCCCCTACCACAATGTTGCAGTGTCAGCATATTATATCATGTTTCAATGCGGACGCACCAACGCCTGGAATGGGGGAAGAAAGCTGATATGGGAACAGAACTTCGCCGACTCATTACACACATGTGGATGTTGCGTGCTGGCCCGCAACGGGAATGCCGAAACCAGTCCTGCAACGAATACTGAGCATCTTTCTCCGCTCATTTTTAACGCCCGCCAACGTGTTCAGGTAGGACTGCTAGGCGTAGACTAAGCGTCTGGTTAAGCATCTGGTTGCTCCAGCTTCCCAACAGGTCTCGAGTCGGTCTCGAGCATCAACACAGCGGAGTACTTCATATAGTACTTGTATAACTTATATAATATATCTCAACAGGTCTAAACCCACTTGGAACTTGGAACCGCTGTGCTGGCAACTGGAACGGACACGTCCTCAACTTGCCTCAAAAAAGCGGCCTGATCTCAGTATTGAACTTGCCTCAGCAGTGCTGGCAATTTCAAGGATGGCGTCACTGATGGTCAAGCTGTACCAGCCGTACCACGACAGGCTTCTGTCAAACAAACATTCTTCTCGCAATGCTACCGTAGTCGTCTCACAAATGAACCTCAAAATCTAGGGGATGCGGTGTACAGAATATGCATTGCCAATTTGGCGCACATAAAGGCCGAGCCGCTTTCTTCATAAGATGTCATTGAGATTTGCCTTTCAGGATGTCATGTTTCGCTGTGGGATCTGATAGCAGATGGGGGACAAACTTTTCTGCAATAAGGCGGGGCAGAACAGCATACGACAATTTGCGTAGTTCATCGAGTCTACATACACAGGAATTAAGCAAGTTGTTACGCTATGTTGCGTTGATCAACAAATGTTTCGAACAGGCCTGCCATCATACTTGCGATGGCCCATTGCTCTCATCACGTTGGTGGCATCATCGGTGGTCGCACATTGCAAGTAGACATCACCTGGGCACGAATTCTCTAGCTGCACTGCCGCAGAGCACATCGGATACATCAGGTTCTTTTCGCATCTTTTCGACATGTTCTTTTACAATGTATTATGTCAAATGGCATACAGTGTTTCTCTCACCTGCCTGGCTTCAAGGTAGCATTGCCCTTCGCATGCTCTGGCTTTACAATAACCACCTCAAGATTCACAGGATCGAGGGCCTAGAATAGAGTCGAAGGGACATCAGGAATGCGATCAAATGCACTCTCAAAGGGTTTGCATAGGTTGAGTTGGATTTGCTGCTTGAAGGACTCAGCTTGCGTGATTCATGGCCATTGCTGAACCTTCAGTTGCTTGTGATCAAATAATTGATGACTTCCTCCAAATCAAGCATGCAAATCATGCAATGTAATAAGTTCAGCAAGGCTTCCATGACGAGCTTTCCATGTGCTCCACAACCTTCTTGCATGTCTTCCTTGACATCGTTGTAGTCGTCCTGGCGTCGCCAAGTAGATATGAAAGTCAGCATTGTCTAATTGAACCTTGTTCCTCTCACATGCTTCTTGTCTTGCCCTGCCTCTGTCGTCTTCTCATCGACCTTCAAGATTTCATCAATCCTTATCACTGGACTGGTAGCGCTCACCTGTGATGCGAGGCCAAGGAACTCAATCCCAAAGATGTACAAAACAGGCCATTGCCATCAACGACCACCGACCTTGTGACTTCTCAAACCTCGTTTGCAGATCCTAAACACTTCGGCCTGTGCAGAGGGCAGAGCCAGCATGCCACCCTGACCTGAGAAAATCAGCCGAAGGCTGACGTCAGCTGACACTCAACAAGTCTTCACATACGGTGCACATGCCAGAAGCCTGGTACCTGCACATGGCTGTACTACGTTGAACTCATCGCCCTCCTCCCAGCCTGGCATCTGCATACCCACAGGAACACCGCCG